ATGACCTAGTCTTATTAATCCGCTGTGCGTTGTCAACTCTCTCAAACGGGGGACGGTGACGTCACGGCCGCGCCTACTCAGGAGACGGGACGTGTGCAGAGAGAGGTGATACCTCGGTTTACCCCGTAGTGTGGACAATAGAGGTAAACAACTCGGCTGGTAACCGTGTGTCTTTCATTGCCTCTCGGATATCGAAAGGACGGACGTTACTTCAGGCGGTGTGTGTCGGTAAGTCACTGTCAGTATCGAGACGCCTGCTTGTTTTGTTTTGTATGTTAAACATGCTGCTCACTAAGATATAACCACTGTAACTGTTTGACATTGAGGACCATTGTAAGCGAACGTTACTCTCAGTGACTGCGGTCATGTGGACCGTAGACTTCATATATGTGGACGGCATCTCGGGCGAGTGAGCCGCCGCCTGACATGGAATGCACCTCTATTGGCGGTGTTACGGTACGGGGGCTTGTACGGCCCAAAAGGCACGGACACCGGACCCGTAGTGAACATTTGTCCAATTTGATATAACGTGTCAGACGCATTCAACATTTGGAAATATATGAATTAACAGTATAATACCATAGGAGGTTACCCCGCTGTACTGATTTTAATTTAATTAAATATTCTGAAATTAAAAAATATTCATCTCACAATGTTTGCACTATAAAGGTTATGTTGTAATTTCACTGTATTCTTGTTCACGACGACCTCCTCTATATTGACGTTTATCTATTTTACTGTACAGTTTTTGAGGAACTCAACTAGGAATATGTATACAGATAATTCACTCAATCAATCAGCTCACTCACAGGTTCCCCTTTATCATACAGAAAACAAAGTCCAAATAGACAAAGTAGTTAGACAAAGAGTTATTACACTTGTTATTATCGTTATGCCATTTCCAGAGGAAAGGCCAAAAAACAAGCTAGTCACAAAAAGTTTAAAGACATAGTCAGTTGAAATGACATGATGACATTCATAATGTATCAATATTTGAACTTCTTTGAACATTAGGTAATGTAAAAATGTCCCTGGAGGTAGTGCAGTGGGGGCGTCTGCCCTTCCGGGAGGCGCTGGCCCTCATGCCACCAGAGCTCGGTAGAAGAGCGCCGTGGTACTGACTCACTTCTCACTTCCCAAGTCCATCGCCATGACTTGGTGGATGGAAAAGTAATTTGCAAGCCAAAAAAGTGTGGTCACCCCTGCTGTAAGGAGTACTGTGACGGTGTACTGTGTACTATAGTGTAAGGAGTACTGTAACTGTGTACTGTGGTCTGCATTAAAACAGCTGTGAGGGGCATGCGGGGTCCGGGGGACAAGCAGACACACCAACAGGATGAACCCTCTGCCTCATGTGCTCTATCTCACCTTACTCCTGGATACCGGTGAGTCAACCTGTTCATCAAGACGAAGTGAATTCTCTGTACAGCAACATTCATTGTATACCTCAGGCAGATACCGTTGTGCCGGCACACCTACTCTTATCCAGTCATTGAAGGGCCCTTTGCCGGGTGGTGGACCTCGTGCTGTGTTTGAGTCTGACTGCATCACCTGTTAACTTGTTCACACAGTGCTCGGTTCCCTTCCTGCTCCGGTCAATCTGTCCGTCAGCTCCGTCAACTTCCACCATGTCCTGCATTGGGATCCCGGCCGAGGAACCCCAGCCGGAACAACGTACATTATCAAATGGCGGTGAGGTCCTCTGTCTCCCGTCTCGGTATCACGATGTATTCTGTAGCTTCTATCATGTGCTCACTCGGGCTCCAGTGTTTGTAAAGGAGGGGGTCAAACTTCAACACGGTTCTTCAGTAATATTTTGAAAAGGTCAAGACCCCAAAATTAGAGTACATTTTACTCACAAACAAGACTAGACAGCAAATTATGTCATTTATTCTGGCAATGTTTTTTATTGAAAAATATCTTTTTTTCATTTTCAGAAAAAAGGCAAACCACAGACAATGAAAAAGATAAGAAATACTAATCAACTAAAAATGAATAATTAGTCAATATTTTACCAAATAAACATGACCGAGCTGTGAATAGAGAAAATGTCGATGCAGCACATCGTAACCATCTACTTGTCACTGGTCATTCTCGCCCCAAATCAAATATTTTGGTATAAAACACGTTTTGTTTATTTGTCAAATGGTCTGAAAATAATGGAGGTTATTTGAGGTAATCGGATTCAATTATGGGTGATTTATTGAATTTAATAACTTTATCAGATTTGATCCAGTGGTGAGGTTTGACTGCTTTAACTTCTGCTCCTTTTGATGGTAGCTGAGGTTTTGTGTCACAACGGCTTCTTTTTCCACTCGTAAGGCGTCCTGTGCGTTCTCAGTGCAGCTGTGACCACAGACAGGCCAACTCTTCGTTTTTAAGGAAGTGATATTTAAACCACTCTTGTGACAGGATTTGATCTTCTGACAGTCACTGTGAGGGTTGACATTTGATTTGATTGAACTGAACACACAAATTTGTTGAAGCACTTTTTAGGGGGGATTACCTGGAGTGTGGATTATGTCAATGATTAGCGCTAACTTTGATTTTGATACGTTATTTTCTGTACTGTAGCACATTTACCTGCTGAAAATAACAGAAAAAATGACAACCAAAGGTGACGGGGGAAAAGAGATTTGCAAACATGTGAGCCGGCAATAGTTTTGAAAGAAATAAAAAATAACCACAGCAGTTAGTCATCAGCTAACTTTGGGCGAGCGACGGGGTAAACCCCGGATTGCTCGTCAATGGCAGTGCTGACACCGAGACGAACAAAAGCGTCAGTCCAGTAAATTTACATAACTGATTAAAATAGACCAATTTCTTATTCTTTCTATATTGACCTTAGGTGCCGATTTTTGTTGTCCTTATGTTGTTACACTTTGAAGCCGGTCATGAGGTAAGGCTTAAATTTGCTAAGCGATCACATTTAACTCTGATTGGTATGTGTAGTATTAAATGAAAGCATCTCACTGCTAATATGTCCATTGTTGCTGTTTTTATTCAACTATCTCCCATTGTTCCGTCCACAAAGAAAGAATCATGATATCCAGTAAAGACGTGCTAAGGGAACAACTTCCTTAAGCAGCTTAGACGGAATCGGATCCAAGAGACAAGTAGAAGATCCAGACTTTGAAATTGTAGAAGTCAGTTGATCAAGGTTGATGGAAGAGAAGCCATCCAAGGTTCTTACTCCAGAGGAGGGGTCGACACTGGTTGAAGGAAGGAGACCATCAATTTCCTCTTTGATAGTCAGAATCTTATCATTAAATAGTCGTTACTGGTGCGGTCCAAAGGAATACACGGCTCAGCAGAGCTGTGACTCTCTGTCAGTCGGGCTACAGTGCTGAAGAGAAACCTGGAGTTGTTTTTATTTTTCTCTACTAATGATGAGTAATAATCTGATCCTGCATTACAGAGAGCCTCCTTATAAGCTTTAAGGCTGTCTCGCCAAACTGGCCTGGATTCCTCTAACTTGGTGGAACTCTTTAACCGTTGGAGTGACAGTAACTCTTTATTCGGAGCGGTAGCCGCCTGATGTTGAATCTGCCAAATGGGGTAATAATGGTAGTGAGCTTACAGAGGAGGCAGTGCTGTAACCTCATTAGTAGGCAGGATATACTGTTCTACTGTTCTCACAGTCTCCTGATATCCACACAGATGTGGGCTCTACCGGTGGCCTAATGGCCTAACCGATGGCCGGGGGGCAGACACAGTCTCTATGGGCTTTAGAAGGTTGAGTAACTGCTCTGATGGAGGAGACGTCACTCCTAATCACACCGGACAAACTACAGAAACTAACGACTGAATCCGTGCTTCTAACTAACTAAGCCTTGCCTCCAACCAATCACATACTACCAACTATTACATTTAGCATTATTCAATTCAATTGTTTCATTTTGTATAGCTCAAAATCGCAAATGACAAATTTGTGAAACATCTTCATGAGATGGTAATTCGTATAGAAAGAGGGAAGAAGAGAGGAGCTCAGTGTGTCCTTAGGGGGTCTCCCAGCAGCAGCTTATCTAGGGTCTTTCCTGCGGTTTCTTTTTAATCATTGATACGCATATGTCTAATATGTGATAGTGTCAGAGTTTATACACAAAATAAATGATCTTGCCATAGTGAGAGAGCACCGACAGCATGAAATAAAATGTCTGAGCTGCGTCTTTTGTTTCTGTGTGCAGGGTGTACGGGAAAAGCAAGAGCTCACGTTCATTCAACTCAACGACAACATCATTTACAGTAAAGTTTCCACCCAAAGATGTGATGTTTTACCTGAGTGTCCAGGCGTCCTACAACAATACTCAGTCTAAAGAAAGCAGCATCCCCTTCAACCCGTCCACTCAGAGTACGTCTGTTTGTTAACTTCTAATAACAAATGACATGCTATATTATGATTTGTCGCCAACAGATCAGTCTAATTAGGGAATTACATTAAAGAAATTGTGATATTGTCCTTATTTTATTATTTTCTGCCGAGGTTTGAGGATATGGAAACATTGAAGGTGCCCCGGTCACCAAATGGGTTCTACCTTCTTTGTTTGAAATTAGGAGTTAGCAGCTATGGATATTATATATATAATATATATATACTATATATATTTATATATATATGTATTATTCTTTTTAAAATAGGTACATATTACCTCACTTTTCCACATGAGTTCATTATCTCGACTGCAGCTTCTGGACAGTTTTCCAATTTATTTTCGAAAAACTTAAGGTGCTTGTTCACATGATCAGGGGGGTTTTCAGTGTCTTCAAATACTGACATTCACACGCTGGGGTCTCTCCTCGTGGTGTTTGTTAAGCCCAGGGACAGATCGCCTCATTATATTCTTGTACTTTTCCCCTTTTTTTGGCCGTTGTTGTGGTTGCGTTGCTGTTACAGACTATCATTTGACATCAGTCTAAAATCTGTCCATGTTACAGGTTCAGATTTCACAACAAACCATGTCTGCCACCCCAAAACAAATATGCTTTCTTTTTTCTAAAAGCCATATTAGGTCCTCCAAAGGTGTCTCTGTCTGGATGTGGCAAGTGCATTCATGTCAACATTTCACTCCCTGAAGCTGACCCGAGGTCAGGATTCAAGAACATCATGTCATTCTACTACGGCGTTAAGTTCAGGGTCTTTTGGAAGAAACGTAATGAAACAGCAGAGGTAAGACGAGCATTTCCCACCTTTAGAAGACATCAAACAAATGTCTTTTACTGAACTATAATGTGTATGATGTTATTACATTACAGTTACAGCAGATAGGATATTATACAATATTAAATCTTTTTATGAATTTGATTCACCTCCCTGTCGCATGTTTTCTTAATGTTGACTTCCTATGATCATTTCTGCTTCTGTACCTCTGCCTCAGCGCTTCCACCCAATCGATCAATGGTGCCATCCGCCAACTCGGCACCCTGTACATTACTCAGTGATTCGGTCACGCAAAATCCCTTTGCAAAAGTTATCCACAGGGCCTCCTGTATTATTTCATATATACATATAATGGTTGCCCAAGGGGAAACTGACCGAACTGGAAGGCTGATGGACAGAGTGCCGGCGTCTGGGGTGATGCTCAAAACGCTTTTGTCTGTATTTCACCAGCAGTGCTTCCTCACAAAATCCAGGAATTCTACTGTGACCAACCTGCAGATTGGCACGGAGTACTGTGTATGGGTTTCCACAGAGATTAACATCAACCGAAACACTAAGCCGTCCGCTGTGGAATGCACCTTCACTGGCAAAGAGGAGCCAGGCAGAGGTAAGCCGCACTTTCAAACAGAGAGCCGCATGAAGCGCAGTTAAATGCCACCTCTGGTTTTTGATGAACCTTTAACGCACCTGAATTAATGGTGCGATCAGAAATGATTCATTTTCATAAATTAAATGAAGCCCTTTTCCTGCCAGCTGGGGCAGATTAGGAATCCATGACAGGTATTTTATTTACAGAGAAATGCATTTTTGTCCAGTTATAAAGTGTCGGACCATTTGGAAGCTCACTAAAACATTTCACACACTAGGAATTGACTTTTTAATGTTGGTGCAAAGACAGTAAAGATGAATATAAAATACAGAAAGTACATAAAGTACAATAAATGGTATACATAATGTCAGCTAGGACCCTGGATAAGCGGTTACAGATAGTGGATGGAATAAATAAATGTTTACAATATAACTCTACAAAGATTATATTTAACATCTGGAGTAAAATACAATCATGTATGACTTCGGTCCCACTTTTGTGTGTGTGTGTGTGTGTAGGCCCAGTGTTTTCAGGTGCAGTTGCTGCTCTTGTGATTGTTAGTGGTATCCTGGTGATCTCCTTGTTGTTCCTCTACCACACTGGATTCCTCTGTAAAGTGACCACTCTGCCCAGAGCCCTCATTGTAAGTTATTTGATTTGACAATTGGTCTTTGTATGAATTTAGATTTCAGACTATTCCCTTGAACATTTTAAGATTACATGAACCTGTATTCAGTGCGTCAGTGTGCTTCAAACAACATTATGCAATATTTGTAACAATATCTGTAACTTTCTGAGACCATTCAGCTTCCTGAAGGTGGAGCACTCGCTGCTGTTTGAGATTTTCTAGCTTTACTTTGGCCTTTGAATTTCACACTTAATATTTGCAGCCTTAAATATTCTCCTGTGCCATAATTCATTTAGTTGATTAGGTGAATTTAAGAGAGCTGGTGCATTGTTGGGTTGATGGGTTTCACTCTCTCACTGTCTCGGCACCTTTTCCTCTCTTCTTTGCCACTCTAGAAGTCTCTGAGCCAAGGCTGCACCCTCACGCCGGAGAGGACGTACCCTGACAAGGTCTACGTTGGCGCAGAGATGGAAAAACAGAGAAATAACAACAATCCCTCAGGTCCACACGCTGCCAGCAGGGGCACTAACTCCGATGAGGAGGAGGAGGAGGAGGATGAGGATGAAGAGGAGGAAGGAGGAAACGTCTACATGGACAGAGACGCAGAGCTTTCCTCGGGTGAGGGTTCCTGCCGGGACTCTGCGGATGTGTGGAGGAACAGCAGAGGGGCTGTGTCAGGGGGCTCGGGGAGTTTCAAAGTACAGGACACAGAGTTTGAGGTTGAGGTCAGACATTGGGATCTCGATCAAAGTCAGGGCAAAGCTGGAGGGACAGACGTTTCTTTCCTGCCCGATGGACCAGTCACAGTGAAGTTGAAGGAGGACGAGGACGAGGAAGAGGAAGAGGAGGATGATCACTTAGGCGATATCAATCTGTTCTCAGTCACACTTGCTGCACTGGCTGCATGCGAGGAAGGGGAGGAGGAGCAGACTCCAAGAGACCATCTGTCAGACCCTCTGTTGGATCCTGAGCCGGTGCTCAACTCAAAACGGACCCTGAGCCACACAGACTCACAAAGAGAGACCACCAGCATTAATGCTGGCTACACAAGAAGACTTCACTGAAAGCCAAAGTAGTCTTTATTATATTCAATGTCTGTATATGTATGTATATATATATATATATTTATATATATATTTATATGTATTTTAGGTGGTTGATGTTGAAAGAAAAAATCATGGGATATTGAAATAAAATACAAAGAAATTCATTTCTATTTATTGGATTTTATTTTTCTGTATTGTTAAATGGGATCTCAAAATGCTAATATCATTTTTCCTTTCATCTCAATTGAACTGAATGAATATACAACACATAGGCCAACAGTGAAGGAATGTATTATTTGATCCCTTGCCAATTTTGTTTGCTCACTGACTGGTGTGTAATTGTTATTGTCAATTTATTTTTAGAGTGTGAGACAGAATATCAAAAGGTTACATATGGTTACAAATGGATTTTCATCTGATAGTGTTAAAGCAGTATTTTATTTTCCTACAAAACATGGGTCAGTTATTAGTGGAGATACTGTTTCTTGTAGTTGTCACCACATTTGTGCACATCTCCTCTTTGCAGGTTGTCGCTTAGACACTCCGGGCTTCAGCTCCCTCCACAGATTTGGCCAGGCCGCTGTGACCTTGGTGGGTTCCTTGTTGATCACCGCTTTGTTTCCTTGGCTGGGTATTTTGGGTATTTTGTCGTGCCCATTTTCGGTCTCCAGGAAGGAACAAATATTCCACAGTAGATGGCCCAGCCCATCATTCCCTTGATACAGTGAATCATTTTGCTGGTTGCTAGGAGATCAAGTACTTATTTCACACAATCAAATGCAAATCGATTTCAGATTAGAGTTTCTGACTGCGTATATAGTTGCGTTAGGGCTGTGGCTTCATGCATGGCAGCCATAATGCTGTATCACTCTAATAAGCCAATGGCGCATAGATGGATCAATTTTTCTTTGTTAATCCTGCGAGTTGACGTTAACATGTCATTTAAATGACGCTTTTATCCAAAGCGATTTACAATAAGTGCATTTCAGCCATAACGATGCAAACTCAGAATAACAAGAAAGTGCAATTTCATCAAATAAGTCGATTTACAACTTGTTAGAGATAAGAGCCATAATAAATATGTGATCGCCCAACATCTTCAGATCAAGTCCTGTTGCTATTCATCAACTCAAACCCAATAACTTTCAGGGGGGTTTAGAATATTGGTTTTGTAGAAAAATTAGCCCCATTAAGTATCAGGATGAAATCCTTGACCCCATGGTCAGACCCTACGCTGGAGCAGTAGGTCCCGGGTTCCTCCTGATGCACGACAATGTGGCAAGAGTATGCAGGCTGTATATGGAGGATGAAGGAATTGATACAATTGAATGGTTCTCACGCTGACCTAAACCCAATAGAACACCTGTGGGACATGATGTTCCTGTCCATCAGACGCCGGCAGGTTGTTCCTCTGACTTTACAGGAGCTCATTGATGCCATTAGACAGATCTGGGACCATCGTTTGCCTCATTAGGAACATGCCGCGACGTGGTCAGGCATGCCTACAAGCATGTGAAAAGCATTTTGAGATGCAGAAATTTAAATTGGGCTAAATTAGCCTGCCACATCATTTTTTCACATTGATTTTTTTGGGTGTCTATAAAATGAAGCTCTATGTAAGCTGGAACTTTTATATCCATTAAAAGATGTGGCATGCTTTCGCTCATAAGACTGTTATATCAACTGTTCATATCAGTATAGATATCCAACACAATTTTTTGAGCAGTGCATTATATATATTGTATCCTAATATTTGTCACAGAAATGAATTATTGGTAATTTGCAAAAGTCTGCAGAAATGCACACCAACGGAAAGTCTTTATTTCTTTTAGGTCACGTGATTTCCTCTCATCTATTCTGTCAGATGTAACTTTCACTTCCCCATCGGAAAAATCAAAATCCTCTACAATCTACGTGTAATGCCACAAAGCGTGCAACATACAATTGTATTCATATTTTCTGTATTCAAAAGCCAGACAGCGCGCAGTCTCTGTGGTATCCAGAAAGTCTGTCACAAGCCGCAAGGCCCCGTCAAATCAGAACAACAATTTGACCGACGTTCTTTGAAGGCACCACGAGCAGCAGCTCTGTGTCACGCTGTCACAGCCTTGTATGATCAGTATTCCGCTATGTGGGGTTTTACCCACACACCCACACACCGGCTTCCAATGCTGAACTTGGTGGATAAACGTGGGATCTTAGGACAAGTTACTGTAAGTTTATACCTGACATTTATACAAGTGCTGTAGGGGTTTGTGTGTATCCGACGACGATGCTTCGGCTCGCCTATTGTTAGTTGACATGCTATTCCGCTAGCTAACGATAGATTCGTTACCGGTGTGCACGATATAAACTTGCCGTTTTTTTCCTTTTAATTTTAATTTGTAATTTTGGCGTGCGTGAGGCAGGCGTGTGGTGGGCGTGGCCTTCCGGCTCCGACGTCGAATACCCAGGAAACGGACGTTCTATCGATCGCCTCGCTTTCACATTGATTTCGCGGTCATTTTTTTGATGCATCACATCGTTACTAATCGTATGTCGGGTCGACGTGAGACGTGTCTATGCTTTCATATCCACGCAGGCAGTGCGGGAAATACACTGAGCTCAAACACAGCGTACACGTGTAACCTTAACGTGTAACGTTAGGCAAGTTTTACATGAAAGACTCTCTGATCATAACGATGCGCCGCCCACGATCATCCACATCTGACGTCACTTTTAGTCCCCGCGGGTCAGTGTTGCCTGGTGAAGCATTAGGATGAAGCTATTTGGCTTGTTGGAGCATCCATTTAAAAAAGGGATCTTCATTATCAAAGTATCAATTGTTATCTGGCGACATGACAAAGGAAAGGGAGAATCGAACCTCTGAGTGGTTATTCTTATGATTAAGTGTGTGTGGCTTAAGTGTGTGTGGCTTAAGTGTGTGTACAGGTCGCAGACTCCTTTCCTCTTTGACTGTTGGTGACAGGAAGCGAGTCGTGAGAGGTGCTGATGGCGGCGAAGCGGGGATGCTGTCATGACGTCTCTCCTCTGGATGCTGGCGTTGCTGCCTCCGGCCCTAACAGGTCAGCGCCCAGGCGAGAGTTTGAAAAACCAAAGTGTAAAAGGTATCCAGCTCTCTGAAAGGTTTGCCTTAGAGGGAGTAAAACACATAAAACAGTGGTGCATTAGTTGTTGCTCCTTGAAAAGAAACGTGTTTATAAAGAATGGTGCTCGAAGCTTCTGTATGAAGCGTTTAAAACCGCATCGTTTGAGTGTATCACTGCGATGTCGAATAGAAATGTTCCTAAGATCCGTTTAATGTCCTGTTTGTTTGTATTCCAGCAGTGAGTGAGCTCCCAAAGCCCGTCAATGACATCATAACCTCGAGCCACTTCACTCACATGCTGACATGGGAGCCTGGACCGGGATCACCACCGGGAGTCTGCTACAATGTCACAGTGCGCACATCAACGTCAGTTTCATCTCTTCCTGTTCCACCATGACCCCCCACCCCCAACTCCAGAAACACTGTTTCCCTCATCACCAAGTCGCCCCTTCTTTGATGCAGGAGCTTTTGGGTTAATGATGTCAAATGTCTGTATGTACAGACAAAGTTTTCCTCGCACTCCGGGAAGTGTCCCGTTGTAGTATTAACTTCTTCTCTGCTGATCAAGTCATACAAACAATGTAAATGGGTTCGATGTTGTGGACATTCCCAGAGTGAGAGTCTGCAGCTGATTCTTCACCATGTGTTTCAGAATAAATCATTTATATATATATATAAAGGCAGTTAAAGTGAAAATACAATGGCTTATAGCTCTTTTCACTGTCTTTATCTCGACCACGTCTGGACCCGGCCCTACATTACAGTACATTACGTTACAGGTAATTTAGCTAAAAGGAATATAAGAGCCCTAATGCATTCATTCACCTATAAGGAACGCTGTTAACAGAGAGGAGAGGAGCTGCTCTCAACAACCACTGAACCACAGAAGTTCCTGCACACAAATGTCATGAGAATATTATAATATCATTGAATTAAATCTGAAAGATGACATTAAAAATTGTTCAAATATTGTTCAAATACTCCATTTGATGTGAATGTGGTATGGGACTAAATCATAGCGCAAGTTAGACATTTCATATTGTCTCTCTAAATGGACTACGGACCGTAAGTTGTTGAATATTCATGGGTACGCTTCTCTCCTGTCTCGCAGGGGGACGTCCTGGGTGCCAGTGGTCGGCTGTCAGCATGTGCAGCATCCACTGGTGTGCAACCTGACAGAGGCCTTCTCTGAGCGCTACAAGGTGTACCGTAGCAGGGTCACAGCACTGTTGGATGCACAGGAATCACAACCAGTCATCCAACGGGAATTTAAACCCATCAGAGATAGTGAGTACAACTAGAACGGCATGGACGGATAGTGGAGGAGATGTCCAGAAATATCACATGTTCTTTCTTTTCCACGCTAGCGGAGAATAGCTTCTTCAGTGAAATGTTCTACCTACGAGAGACACTTGTTGATCCAGGATGTGTTGCATCAGAGGACTTATTTATAATCCTTAGATTCGTGGGCAGATGAGCCTTACTCTGAGGTTTTCTTTTCAATGAGCATTCATCGCGCAGTGGAAACGTGGGTTCATTTAACAGCCGTCTTCTGTCCTTGTGTCCTTGTGTCCTGCAGCTCTCCTGGATCTGCCGCTGCTGACTGTGACACCGTGTGGCCCAGATATGTGCGTGGAACTCCAGCCGCCCGTGGAGCGCCTGAGGGACATCTATGATTCTCTCCAATACAAACTTCTTATGAGCAACGATGCAGACAAGTTCCAGGTACGTTACATGGTGCAGCATGCAGTGTAAGAGTGCATTCTTTGATCTGACCGCTTTAAGCAGATATTTATGAGCGCACTCTTGTGTGTGGTGGACATTAGTGGATAATGTCATTGGGAGAAATCAAAAACCTCTTAAGCTCATTTTGGATTAAGTGAGTTTCCTGGCGTAAAAAGACTTTCGTACACATCAGGGATGTCCAATCAGCAGAGGACCACAAAGGAACTGCTGCAGGAAACGGATGTTGAAGGAATACACATTTTGACCCCCTTCAGTGTGACCACAGTCAATCAAGTCAAGTCAAGTCATTTTATTTTGTATAGCCCATAATCGCAAATTACAAATTTGCCTCAGAGGGCTTTACAGTCTGTACACATACAACATCCTCTGTCCCGAATCCCACCATCGGCACAGGAACAACTCCCCAAAAAATGAAAAAACCCTTCCAAGAGGGAAAAAAGGGAAGAAACCTTAGGGAGAACGTCAGAGGAGGGATCCCACTCCCGGGATGGACAGACTACAATGGATGCCATGTGTACAGAATGAACAATGTATAATACATGCAATTCCTATGACAGAAATGATTCAAGTAATTGTGAGTAGTAAGCCAGGCGCACAGCAGGACCACTGCAGGGGCATCAACCATCACATAGAACCACCATCAGATAGAACCACCATCAGATAGAACCACCATCAGATAGAACCACCATCAGATAGAACCACCATCCACAGGAGCCTGTGGGAGAGAGAGCACAGAGACTTAAGGAGAGGGTAATGTTGGTTTACGAGTACAGTAATATGATTAATATCTAAAATAATAATCATGATGATGATGGCAGCAGCAGGCGTCAGCATGGCCACGGTAGGTGTCAGGACCAGGGTCCCGAAGGAACCACGATCTACGGAGACCTGATAGGGGAGAAAGCACAAAAAAAAACTCCCGGAAAGAAGCTGAATTAGTCATGTGCATTGATAAAATGTGAATTATGGTAGAACGAGAGCGTGAGAGAGGAGCTTGGTGTGTCCTAAGAATTCCCCCGGCATTCTAAGCCTATAGCAGCTTAACTAAGGGCTGGTCCGGACTAACCTGAGCCAGCCCTAACTATAGGCAGAATCAAAGAGGAAAGTTTTAAGTTTTACTTTAAAAGAGCTGACCGAATCTGCCCCCCGGACTGAAAGTGGAACCTGGTTCCACAAAAGAGGGGCTTGATAACTGAAGGCTCTGGCCCCCAGCCTACTTTTTAAAACCATAGGAACAACAAGTAACCCAGCTGCCTGCCTTTTATCTGCCTGCCAATCATGTTTGACAGGCAGAACGAAAGATCAACACATGCATTCAGTTGTGGAAATAATGTGGCATTTTCAGTCCAGGATAGTTGATGGGAGACGTCACAGAGGCCTGAGGGAACTCGCAGTGTGCACGAGAAAAGTCACATCTGGGACCCTTTTAAAGTTTTAAGTTTCATCAGACAACAATGACTGATCCAATACAATAACAATCTACAAATCAATCATATGATAATCAGCCCCAAATCTGCTCAGCTGGACACTTGAATCAAAGCTGTGGACTGAGTGGAGATGGATGGAGGTTTGGTGATAGTTGTGATATGACAGCTGGAGCCTTGCCTTCGTCCTGGAGTTCCCTCACTGTCTGGGATGTTGGTCTTCAATGGAAGTGAGGCAGGAAACATTAAATGCTCATGCTCAAATGTCATTAAATGCTTTTAAGATGAATTGTTTCAGAATGGGTGTAAAATTCTGGATAGAATGCAGCAGACTATCGCGTACCGTAGCCAGCTGTCTCAAACTAAGCTTCCTGTGGTTTAATCTGTGCACATGTCGTGTTGTACTAATCGAACATCTGTCTGTGTTCTCTCTGTTTGCAGGTCGTTCAGCAGACCACGTCTTTGAGAAGACGCATTTTTAAGAACTTGGCCTCGGGCAAATGGTACTGTGTGTCGGTGTGCTTCTCACCAGGTGTGGTGCAGCGGGAGTCCAACTACAGCCGGCCTGTTTGTGCTTCTACGCCCGGCCACTACACAGCAGGTAAAGAGCCGCTGTGTCTGTGTGCTTGTTCCTTCCATGTCCAAGTTACTCATCACTCAACCCACAGAGGTAGTTTCAATCCCCGTGGCTTCTTTAGCCTGACGCTGCACGCACCTAAAGGGCCATTACGCAGTTTGTCACTCTGACAAAGGTCATTATCCAGCTGTAGAGGTTAAACGTGAGCTGGTGTTGGAACTTTTCTCCTTCCATTTCCTAACAACAAGTACCAGCTAAGATTGATCAAGTAAACGGAAGCCCAGTACTCACTTATAGGCAGAATGCAGTCCAGATCCAGACCCAAACACCATCAATCAGGACCTGGACCTAAAACCGACTAGTTTGTGAGACTGAGCAGCTATTTTACACCGTGTTGTCCATAAATAAAAACGTGGTCAGTGAGATTAGTCTTTAACCAATAATGGGCCGACAATTTCATGATATACATATACACACACTATGCAATACAATATTTTAATGCAGTTAAATATTATATTTATGTAATATATTATAGAATTTTACACACGGTAAATGAACCAATGAACAGCAACGTAAGGAAATTAGATATCAGACATAAATTAGCCAAAATATCTCAATGGATCAGATCAAGCTGCAAACCTCTGGGAAACAGTGGTACTGTTGGTACTGACAGTGATGAAATGCTCTGGGAATAATGTATGGTATGACCCCCTCCTCCATGCAGACCCCTGGATATCATCAGCGTTGTGCGTGTTGGTGGTGTTGGTTGTGGTCTCTGGGGCCCTGTGGGTCTATACTCGCTCCACCTGTCGGATCGACCTGCCATCGGTCCTGGTAAGTATTTTGACAAGTACATGGTGGCACAGAACGCATGGTAGCAGATCGTAGAAGATGATCAGGCTGCCCCCTTTAAGTCAAAAAGAAAATGAACTTCTCTTTAAATTAGCAGTCAAAAATCTTAATTATTGTCAAAAAATATATTTAGCTATATTAACAGGAAGTTTATAAATAGCGTATTTTCCGCACTATAAGGCGCACCTTCAATGAATGACCTATTTTAGAACATTTCCCATTTATAGGGAGCACCGGATTATAAGGCTCATACGATACTGCAGTCGTGTACAACCAGTATGGATCAACCGATTAACCAATTGATCCATATATATATATATATACATATATAAGGCGCTCCGGATTATAAGACGCTGTCGTTTTATGAGAAAATGAAAGGCTTTTAAGTGCGTCTTGGAGTGCGGAAAATACGGTACTCTTCTATTCCTTTTACATGAACAAATTCATCCCCACATTTTTATTATCACATGTAAAACTATTTTTGTGATTATTAAAATTGATAAAACATTCCATACAAATAATTGTTATAGATTAGTGTTTTCCAACTAACATTTGTGCAAAAGCTTAAATTGAAACACAATTGTAGTAATCTAAAGTAACTCAACAGGATCAATTCAGCCATCTTTCTGTAAAATGCTTTAGTTTCTGACTTGAGTTTGTTTGAGTAAAGCAACAGGAAGCAGCACATCGTGCACGTTACTGTGCACCGCTGTGGTGTAAGAAAAAACCCACAGGATGCTAGATGTACTTATATCCTGTCTTTGCTCAGTTTCATGTGCCAGTGCTGGAGGACACGCTAGATGTGAGAAGATGAAAAAATGCCCTGCAAGGTTCAGCTATTGCAGCTCAAAATAAGCAAATCTCATTACGTGTTTTTGTTTTGAGCCAATGTAGCTGATGTGTGGGTTTCTCAGGGGATTCTGACTTTAGATGTGTGACATAATTCTACAAAGTGTAATATTTGACTGTCCAAAAAGCACACCAAAGAGAACAAAGGCATATATGGCGGCAAATCACTGTCAAAATTCGAGAGCGCAAATCAGGTTGATGCGTAAATCAAACATCCGCGAGCAAATCTCCGTCTCGCACGCGATATTTGCGGAGCGTGTACTTCCTTTGTCGCGAGGTGAGTCTCTGCTCGTGCTGGAAGGTGTTTTCTACGCGCTCGCTGTTTTTCTTTTTGACAGTAAGGGGGCGGAGCCAGTCACCATGGTCTCTACATCTGATTGGTTACAAACCCCGTCTTTGGATCGGCTGGAGTGATGCATTCACACAACTATAGAAGCTCATTTCCGCACTAATGAAAGTCGAAGGAGTCAAAGTCAAAACACAAACGCCCCCCTTCGGTAATCTCAGCAAACCTCAGCTGCTGGTGAATATAGACAAAGACTTTTCTGCATCCTCCGTTTTGTGCTCTGCGGATCGATACCGGACTCCGCGTCCAGCTGGCGGGCTTCCAGCCGCTCAGAGCGGACCGCGACACGGAGCTCTCCGGCAAGACGGAGCTGGAGCTCCAGCAGCTGGTGCAACGACGTAACGGTGATCCCACAACACTGTTCCCCTGATCTGGAGTTATTCACCATCAACTGTAAACCCTTTTACTCCCCCGTGAGTTCGCTTCATTCATCCTGGTTCGTGCTTACGTGCCGCCGGCACAGCGGACACTCGCCGACCGGATACGGCGTGTGGAGCGGACCAACCCGGACTCCTTGGTTATTGTTTAAAAAAATAAATCTCAGCCATGAACTTCCTAAATACAAACAGTTTATTAAATGCCCAATCCTAAAGGAGAACATCCTGGATCACTGTTACACCACAGCAAGCAGGGCTCATCAGTGGGGACAAAGTCAAAATACAGGTTTAACAAGGCGCTGAGAGATGCGAACCACTGTACTCTGGAAACGCTTCTCAGCAAGTCACTGTGTTTACATGATGGTATAATTGGAACCTTTGCTGCGACTGGGTGAGTGGGGAGCGCGGTCGTCCTCCAATCAGAGGGTTGTCGGTTTGATCCCAGGCCCGGCTAACCCGCATGTCGTTGTCTCCTTGGGCAAGACACTTAACCCAACATTGCTCCTGTAGCTGCGACTACAGTGTGTGAATGTTAGTTACTGATGTGCAGGTGTCACTGTGTGTGGTTCTCCTGTCATCAGTGTGTGAATGGGTGTGAATGGGTGAATGATGTCATGTACTGTTAAAGCGCTTTGAGTGGTTGGAAGACTAGAAAAGCGCTATACAAGTACAGGCCATTTACCATTTACCATTTTCTTAGTGGGACTATGCTCTCTTTCGGGGGAGGTGCTTTTATCCCAATATACATGGCAGTGAATGAATCGAATCATTGGCCGAAAGCATATCGTCATATCCGATATGATAGGTGGCGTTTTCATTACAACTAGTTGTGATACAGCCATTTCCGCTTGACCTCTTCACCACTACCAACAACATTAGGAGAAAGATGGCGAGCGGAGAGCAAGGTGAAGCTACATCCCTCTACTATGTGTGCATGATGTTAATAGGAGCACAGCGAATGCGAATGGCGCTATTGGCTGATTTGATAACGGAGAGAAGACGCCGTCGGGATCTCAAGCATGCGCAAAGACGCAAAGTCAAGTTCCTTATCCGATTCACCGTTACATGCCGTAGTCGGACCGCACATAGTCGGACAAAGGTGTTTACATGAAACGGATAATTCGATTTCAGTCCGACTTAAAATACCTCACAAACTACAATCCAAACCCCCCCTCCAACCGCCCTCACCAGGAACAACCTTCTCTATTCTGAACAGAGACGTTAACAGGCTCTTTAAAACCCTTGCAAATCAGCCGGTCCGGACTCGGCCTCCCCTCACACCCTGAAGCATTGTGGTGTTCTCACAGACATCTTCAACACCTCCCTGGAGACCTGCCACGTACCAGCCTGCTCCAAGGCCTCCACCATCATCCCTGTTCCCAAGAAGCCCAGGATCACAGGACTCAATGACTACAGGCCCGTCGCCCTGACCTCTGTAGTCATCAAGTCTTTTGAACGGCTAGTCCTGACCCACCTGAAGTCCCTCACCGACCCCCTCCTGGACCCCCTGCAGTTCGCCTACAGGTCTGTGGACGATGCTGTCAACATGGCCCTCCACTACATCCTCCAGCATCTGGACTCCCCAGGAACCTACACCAGGATCCTGTTTGTGGACTTCAGCTCTGCTTTCAACACCATCATCCCGTCTCTGCTGCAGGACAAACTCTCCCAGCTGCACGTGCCCGACTCCACCTGCAAGTGGATCACAGACTTCCTGTCTGACAGGAAGCAGCACGTGAAGCTGAAAGTGGCGATGGTGGCACATGGAGGGTGCGCCAGGAACCGCACGAATTGCGGTTCGAACCCTGGCTGCTCCGTGTCCCATGTCGAGGTGTCCCTGAGCAAGACACCTAACCCCTAATTGCTCCCCTGGCAAAATGTAAAAACTATGTAAAAGCCTTTAATGAATTTACTGCAGTCTCAAAATCTTCAGTACCTAGAGCAGCCTTAGAAATGATTCAACTCCCTGTGTCAAGCACACCTGGTGCTAATCAGGGGCTTCATTAGTTCAGGTACGCTTGAACATATAAATATCTGGGGCCTCATTTATAAAACCGTAGGATTTGCGCCAGAAGTGGCGTACGGATGAAACAGGACGTGCGTACGCACAGAAATATTCAGACTTATAAAACTCCTACGCAGTTTTCCCTTAATAAATCACAATCACTTTTGCGGCTTCATGTCACGCCCATAGTTGCCTATATATAGTCTGTGGAACGCCCACAAATTAATATTCATCCATTGCGAAATCATGACAAACACTGGGAGGAAAACGAAGAAACGTAACTTCACTCAGTGTGAAAGTGGAAATGATCATTGGGAGGTGGAAAGAAGAAGTAAAATGCCTTTTGGAGGGCACAGTATGAGCATCACTAATGCCAAAAAGGCACTTGAGTGGCAAAAGGTTGCAGAGCAACGCTGCAGCCTCACGACCTCGGACCGTGTCCGAAATAAAGAAAAAATGGTCTGACATCAAAGTGGATGCAAAAAAGTGTTTAGCGCGCCATCGCCAAGGTGTGTCTGCCCCGGGTGGGAAAGGAGACACCGGAGCTGTCCCCTCCTGATGAGAGACTGGCGGCAATGATTGGGGATCGGGGACAGCATCTGGGCCAACATCGGCGTCAGGGGGTCGAGACACGTTTGGAAGCTGTGCCACATTATGTAGCACCGCACATGCAGCACGATGTTGCACACCTTCTTAGGAGTAAACAATAACCTCCCTCCAGTGCAGTCGAGGCAGCGCCATCTGATCAAAAGAATTGTCCGAAAAGAGATCATTGCCTTGGACAAACAAGGAAAAGGATACAAAAAGATGGCAAAAGCACTGGATATCCCTAGAAATACAGTTGGAAGCATAGTTCACAAGTTATAAGTTGAAGGACCAGTGGCTACACTACCGGGACGTGGCAGTAAGAAGAAGCTATCAGCGGCCGCCACCAGATTCCTGAGGAGGCAAGTGGTCAAAAACCCTCGAGTGACTGCAAAACACCTGCAGCAAGACTTGGTGGCAGCAGGCACTGAGGTTTCAGTTTGCACAGTGAGGCGCATACTAAACACTGAAGGGTTCCATGCCCGGACTCCAAGACGCACACCACTACTGACCCAACAGCACAAGAAAGTTGGCTGCAATATGCTGAAAACCATATAAATAAGCCACCGAAGTTTTGGAATTCTGTTCTGTGGAGCGAGGAGACAAAACTAGAACTATTCGGGCCTATGGATCAGCGGTATGTCTGGAGGAAGAAGAATGAAGCATATGCTGCCTACAGTGAAGCATGGCGGTGGCTCAGTGATGCTCTGGAAACAGGAGCGTGTGGAGGCACGATGGACTCAGTCAAATATCAGGGAATCTTAGGAAAAAACGGCATGCCGTCTGTGATGAAGCTGAAACTTGGGCGTCATTGGACCTTCCAACAGGACAATGATCCCAAGCACACCTCAAAGTCCACCACGGCTTGGTCTCAGAAGAAGAAATGGAAGATTCTAGAGTGGCCGTCACAGTCGCCTGACTTGAACCCCATCGAAAATCTCTGGTGGGATTTGAAGAAGGCGGTTGCAAAACGCACACCAAAGAATATTACTGAACCGGAGGCCATTGCCCATGAGGAATGGGCTCAGATTCCTCAGGAACGCTGTCAGAAGCTGCTGTCTGGCTATGCATCACGTTTGCAGCAGGTCATAACAGCCAAAGGGTGCTCTACTAGTACTGAAGATGCTTGTCATGAAGGGGTTGAATCATTTTGAGACTGCAGTAAATTCATTAAAGTCATTAAAGTAGCATTTTGTGTTGAATTTGGACAAAACCTTTGTAATATTAGTTTCATTAAACTACTTAAACAATCCTTGTGTAATTTTTTTTATTGCAAACAGCTGATAAATTGTATATTTTGCCAATAAACCTAATGTGTTGAATAATTTTGATTGCAGCTGTATGTGGAAGCGGGCGTCAGTTAGTTAAACTTGTTTGTGGTATTTTTCTCATGCGAGGGGGATTCAAACCCTTTTTGTAGAATAAGATGCTGTTTCATGTTTCACTATGAATTCCTTTAGTCCACCGAAGTGGCACTATGGGTTTCCCCTCACACAGGACTGCTTTGTGCAGCCCACACATGCATGTGAGATTAGGCTGAAGACTTTTGGTTGTTCACCAGCAGCTAGCATTTAGATTCAATTGAATTAAACTGATTACTAGTGGAGAAGATGGCACACAAAATATAGGACACTGAAATGTGAATGTAATGTTTTCTCCTCAGCATCAAGGATTCCCACTACTGTTCATTTAAAAAGGGAGAGCGCCTTAAGGCAGCTTGCTTCTGCCACTGTGTATTTGTGTTAATGGACTCGTTTTAATTCATGGTTCTAAAAGGCTTGTGCGGGGTACATGTCGGGGTAAAAAGGCATGGAAGCGGCACACAAGGGGCTCATGCGTGTGCCGCTTCCATGCCTGACAGTGACAGTTTGTAAAGCAAATGACTTCTCTATTAACCGAGTGGTTTGTAGCCTGTTTCCATGAAACTCAAAGTTATGGCTCAAAATGTTGCCGAAGGGTTATCACAGCTGACCAGAGAAAAGTATTTGATCAAATGTCCCTGGTGGACACAAGTGGATTTCCGTTGTATGGAGAGAGGATATCTGCTATTTGAAAACAGGCTGGTTGGACATGGTTTTAACATTTGTCTTTCCATCTTTGTCTCAGAAATCCATCCGTCACCTTCAAGAGGCTCTAGTCATTCCATCCTACAGCAAGTCGTGCATCCTGAATGTTGAACCAACTTCGCCCTCTTCAGGTGACAAGAGGAACAGCCAGACATCCGATGAGAGCGACGGGGAAAGTGTCACTGGAAGCACTGCTGGGAGCAGTGGAGGACAGTACAAAATGCGACTGGGCAATAACCTCCTCTCTTCCTCCTCGGCTTCATCTTCATCGTCTTTGTTAGATCTTTCATCCCCGGAGCCCAATCCCTTGACTTCCATTGGTGGACAGAGTCCACACACAGCCCGCCCCTCTGATTCTGTACCCACATCACAAACAGTCAGTGGCTCTGAAGGACTAATCCCAGCAGACGAGGAGGACAGGAAGTTGGTGGGAGAGGTGGGCGACCATGATGTGGACCTGGACACGTTAACCCTCGGCAGGCTCGTAGAGAAAGTGGAGCAGGTGGAGAAACTCCATCATGACTGGGAGGTGACGGAGTCAGAGGTTTGCAATCCCATTTCAGCCCTGCCCTCACTCACAAGAGGCACCAAGGAAGTTGCCATAGGAACCGTTTTCTGCCCTTTAGATGATGATGAAGAGGAGGAGGAGGAGGGAGAAGAGTACGACAACGACGAGCAGTTTGGATATATGCGGCGTCCATGTAAGTTTCAAAACTGAAAGAAAACCTCGGGGGTTTCCAGCTGGGGGGGCGGCACACTATGAAACTAGGTGCACTGTCATTGTCTACTCACTGAAAACAGACATTTTGGTACATATGGTTCTAATAACAGGACCCACCCTTATAGGAACGGCTTGGGATTCCTGCTGAGCAAGAACCACATTAAGATAACATCAGTTTCCCCTACGGCGGTCTGAAAAAACAAGTCTAGCTTTTATTTTCTTTAAAGTGCCAGATCAGAACAGGTCATTTAAGCTTATTTTACTAAACAACATAAATAGCCTCATGTTGTTCATCTTAGATCAAATATAAAGCTGTACGCTGAGGGGAAACACTGCACATAATATGCATGCGTCATAGTTTTATTTTTGCTGGTCAGACAGTATTTGTTCTTTTAAACTCAGATACCGTTTTTTTATTTATCAACACAGGTCTGCCCATCATTATTCGCACAGGAATCAAATTATGATTCTTAAATAGAAAAAAAATCTAATTTTAATAATTCTGGCAAATTGGGAAAAAAGGCCTGTTACATTGCAAATAATAACTTGTAAAATATCTATCATTCGTTCCACAGATATTTGTCACATTTCTATTGGTATTTCTACTCACCAGATGTCAGATACACAGATAGAAGACATGTGTTTCCTATCTGAATCCTCCACAATATTCACATATTCATTCAAAACTACTCTTCCTTTGCTCTCATGCCTCCATCATCACGGCCTGCTAACTGGCTGTAACGACTGTAAAAAGCTGTTTTTATATTATGTTGTATGCCGGCTGTTCTAAATGTGTATTTTATGCTTAAAATCTGTAATGCTGTAAAGTCTTTCATTTATATAACTCATGTCGGACACTTTGCATTTAATAAAGATACTTTCCTGAACTACGCGCTGTGTTTTGCTTGGATTGTAGCAGTAAACAGATAACTTGTTGCTGTTGGATAAGGAGACGCACGGGACAGCTGACTGTCTCACACAGCTCTCTGGATTGCACATGTACAGGGAGGGGCTTCTGGGGAAACAGAAACTCAGCTGTGCACACGGTAGCAGCGTTGGTTTACCAACCCCCATCTGCCCCAGACAGCCTCACCTTCAGCATCAAGCCGTAGAACATCCATGGAGACACGATGGGATTGTGGAGGCTTCTTCTGCATTTACACCTCGGTAAGGCCTTCTGAAACTACGCAGGCATGCTGTTGTTGGACTGTGTGTGTCCAGCCTGAGTAGTGCCGTGAGGGAGCAGTGTGTGTGTGTGTGTGTGTAGTCTGAACAGAGCTGAACGACAGGCTGTGTGTATACGGAGCTCTCAATGAGCTCCACATGTCCATGTTTCTGTAGCGAGGTCAGACAGGAGGAAAACCCACTGTTGTTATCCCGTCCTGCTGTGTAGCGCTGTGTGTTTCCCTCCCTGCTCCTTCCAACGTCTCCATCTCCTCCTTCAACCTGGAGCACACACTCCGCTTCCTGCCCGGCCTCGAGACCCCGCCGGACGCCCGCTTCACTGTTCACATCCTTCGCCTCAGGTATGATGAGACGCATGAGACAGAGGTCCACTCCTTATGACGCCGCGTCTTCACTTCATGTCGTCTGTTTATCTCAGTGCGATCTGCTTCCAGGAAACCGCCTTCCTCACAAAGCGTTACTTTATACGTTTAGTCATTTCCTGTAAGCTGTGCAGAGAATGAAGAACAAACCCACGCTCAGGTTGAGATAAACGCTCTTCTCCGGGTTCAAACATGAACCTCTAACACTGGTATAATGGATGTCATTTCCTTACACAAACTATTCAATTCAGCTCTTTATTAGACTGTCAGGGAGGTCAGGCGTTATGAGTTCCTTCTTGCAGCCATGAGTGTTGACAGATCGTGTCCCTCCCTCCCGGTGACAGTGACACCTTGATTTTGGCCTGGTTGTCACTCCTTCGTCCCTCCCTCTGTATTTCTCTCCCTCTCGCAGGAGGAAAACGTGGAGACCAGTGACGGCGTGTTTGGAGCTGAGGGCCGGACAGACGTGTGACCTGACCTACGTGTTCAAGGACCTGTCGGACCCCTGCAGGGCCCGCGTCCAAGCCTTCACTTCCACCCAGACGTCCAACTGGGCTGTTTCCGAGCGCTTCACGCCTCTGTCCGACAGTGAGACACACACACACACACACACACACACACACACACACACACACACACACATGCACACAGACCAATGTAGTTTAGATTTTAAAAACATTCAAAGTTGTTCTCAGCAAGGAGGTGAATACCTGGTTCATATGAATATGGAACATGTGTGTCCTTCATCCTGTTTACAAACGGGTTGTCCTCTCAGCTGTGTTGGGACCACCTGATGTGTCGTTGTCTGGCTGTGGGAACTGTTTGCTCCTGCACATCACACTTCCTATGAAGGCACCGAAGCAGCTAAAACAGCTGTATAGGAGAGTTGTCCTCCATGTCCGGAGGTCCAGGGATGGTGCTCAGGTAAAGCTGCATGCACCAACATTCTTTTATTCAGAAACATTGGAGACGTTGTGTTAGTTGTCACAGCAAACAGAGTAAAAAGAGAACAGTGTCTGTGTCTGCTGGGGAGGAGGCGAGCTACTTTTATCATTCTATGACATTACAACTTGACGGTAACGCCAACACCCGCCCTCTACTGGACATGTGCCCATCCTCCGGCCCCTGTTGGCTTCTCGTGCTGAGCCAGAAACAGAAGCACAGGTTGATCAGCGGCACTTTAACTGCACAATAAATATCAAGAAATACAGCACAACCAATTTACGATAAGAAAACTTTATCTGCGTCCAGACAAAAGCTCTGACTTGTGATCATTACTGCAGAACTCTTTTGTGTGCCTGTCATGCTCTCTTCAGGCGGACGATTGGCTGCAGCTCTTAGTTAAAGGAGCACTGGTAGTATTATTCGATTTGTGCTCCACTGCAAAGAAACAGTACCTCACCAAACCTAGAAATGGCACCGGGCAGCCGCTTCCACAATGAGTAACACAAGTACCTTTTATTTCACACTTGGCTTAAGTTATGGAACTGGAACCAGTGTTAGTGTCACTCTGAAATGATGGTTTGGCTTCTGAATTCTTTCATTCAACACTATATATACTGTGACTCGGTTTGAATACAACAAGCTGTCTGACCTTAAAACCATCCCAAATATCACACTTGTTCAAAACTTAAATGAGCACAATTAAGAGGATTTAAACGTTATTAAAACACACTGAGAAATGATGATCTGTATGTCCTTGATCACCTGTTTCTCTGTGGTGTTTCAGTTCGATCTGAGTCTGACTTACAACGAGGAAAACAAGATCTCCTACCTGCAGCAAGGTGTGGAGTACTGCGTGAGCGTCTCTGTGACGTCACTCACCAACTACAACTGCGTGGCGAGTCCACCTCGCTGTGCCTTCACCAGCCCCCCTCGGCCCACCAGCTCACGTACGTGTTGATCCCTCTCCGCCACGTCCTTCGGTTTCATGTTCATCCTCTGTGCACAAGCTTTTAATACGCATGTGTGATGACGTTGGGCTGTAATCTAATAATAATAATCTAATATCTGTACCTGTCCTCAAGTCTCCTTACACAGACTATTGAATATACCTGACTGCAATCAGCTCACACATGCTGCACCGTCTCCACCTCAGCACTTAGATTGACCTCGATAAAGGTCAAACAGATATGAAAACATGATATAAGACATCCTTTCATCAGTCCACTTTAGAGAGCAAGTATATTTTTAAGTGAATAAACAGAGTTGCTCAGTACTGACAAAGTGAGATAGATTATTTTATTGAACACAGGACATACGAATCCTTTCAATGACATATTGAGGGGATGTGCTCAATTTGCACTGAAAACAAATGTAATAAGTTGCAATATATTGTACTGCTTATTAAGTACCATGTGTTTGGTGATGCTCGCTGTGCCGCCAGGTTATCCGGGTTGTTAATTTAATTTAACCTGTCCAAGCTGTTAAGAACATTTATCTCTCCTACATGAACCTCTTTTCATTCTTCATCAAGCACCAGCTTTTACCCGTACGCCCGATCCCAAACATCCACTGCCTCTTTCCTCTTTTAAAACTACCTAAAATACTGATACAGGATTCATACATGAATGGGCTTAAATGGTTAAATAGCCTTGCAAATCGAAGGCTGATTGATTTCCCCTTTCTATTAGCAATGTAAATGTCTGACATGAGAAATGTAAATGTGTACTGTGACGTGTTGCTGTCCTGTTTCCCAGCGCACATCCTCCACAGCCTGCTGGCCGCGCTCTGCGCGTCGGCGTTTCTCCTCGTTGGACTGCTCGTCTGCGCCAGTCGGTTGTCCTTTAGCATACGGAGACAATCGCTGCAGAGAACTCTGGTAACGTGTCCGAGAATGTGTGCTGCTCTTCATCTCTCGTGCCCACATGACACGTTGTGTCGTAACCAGTTGGAGAAGTCATTGATCCTTTAACATGCATGACGCGGCTCTCTGAGGCGGCACGCTGGTGCGTTGAGCTAAAGGCTGGCATCCATGACCTCACCTAACTGATGGTTGTAAAGGTCAACCATCTCTTTTTAGAGGTGTGAAGTGTTACCTTACCTAAGTAGACATTTTGGGTATCTATACTTTACTGGAGTATTTCTTTTTCAGACGACTTTTTACTTCTACTCCTTACATTTTAAAAAAAGCCTTAGGATCCTTTTCAGAGCGGCACAAGCTGATCTCGGTTGGTATTTAGCGACATGGAGCCTCCTCCTCCTCCTCCTCCTCCTCCTCCTCCTCCTCCTCCTCCTCATGCAAATCTCATGTAACGTTAAATGAGTATCTTCACCGAGTACCGTGGATTTGCCGTAAATGTTTCTAACTTCATTGTGAGTCTGGCACAACTTGCAAGTAGCGCAGCGTCTTGAATGAAGTGATGTGCGTCTCAATGCGGCTTTAGAAATGAACACAAAAGGATTCTGTATTTGCTCATAAAGTCTAAAACGGGTCATTTGGACAATGTTTTGATAACCAAGTAGTGAACGTGGGGGAAACACTGCAGTCTACCTAATCCATACTTCTCAAACTCGGGGCCCGCGGGCCATATCCGGCCCGCCGCCGGAGTGTGGACGACTTTGGCACCGTCAGCGCCACCCGTGACCTAGTCAATGGGAACAACGTGTGTACGTCCTCCGACTCGGGTCATTTAGCGGTCACTGGTTTTATCTGTTTAAGTTATACAGCATGCGGGTGGATGCATGTGTCCCTCTCTGAATATCGGCAGGTCACATGATCTGAAGGCTCCTTCCCCTCATATCGTAACGGACTGACATGTTCTGTGAGCGAGGTCACACTTTAGGAGTCGTTTTAAACCCTCGTATCTGTACTTCTACCTGAGTAATGAATGTGAATACTTTTGACGCCTCTGCTCAGCATACAAACATTTTCAAATGAGCGTTTAAAGCAGCGTGTAGCTAAGACTGACATAACCTGCCCGCTAGCCAGCAGGGATTAGTCTGACTACTGGCTAAATGATGCGTGATGATGAAGCTCGAGGAAAAGTCAGAGGATCACTGAAGATAATTCAATGTATCCTGAGGGGAACACGAACGCGTGCAGCTCATTTCAACATCCAACAATCAGATAAGCGTTTCTCTAAAGGATCGACGCTCTAAAGAAAGAACAGCCACCTGCCCTGTGATCCTACATCCATGCAGCAGTACAGCTAGAAAAGCTCCAGCGTGTTCTTCTCTGTCTAATATTACCTTAAAGTCAACTTTTGGACTGCTGGGCGTACTATAGATTTCTTTTAAACCTTTGAACCCACTAGTTAATATCTCACTTTGCTTTGCGCCTGCTGTTGTACTCACTCGTCTCAACAGGGTGGATGTATAAAAGTAGTGATAAGGCTAGCTAGTAATCATCATCATCATCACTCAAGGAAGTGCATGTCCAACTTTTATTTGAGTCGTTTTGGTTCCAGGTGAAGACGTGTCAGCAGCATGTAACGTGTCTTTCTTATGTCCAGTCACATGTGCTCCAGTGGAGGAAGGGCAGAACGGCCCCCGCTGCAGCCTCAGATGGGATGTCCTCCCTGCAGCAGCACAGGGAGGACTCTGCTGACTGCCTGCTGCCGGCCCCCCCCAGCAGCTGCCCCAACGCTGTGCAATGGCACTGAAATCCAATGTGCAAGTGGACGTGTTTGGAATGGGGAGTTGATTTGTTTGGGGGTAAATTGTGGTTTACTATCAGTAAAATGCTTTTGTAAATTGTTATAATTCTGTTTCCATGCCAACACAATGAATTCTTTCTTCTGATTTAATGATTTGGTTATTCTTTTTTATAACTCAGATCAGAACTGTTTCGAAATAAGAGAAATTCAGAGTGGCCTTTAGGAACACTTGAGTCAGTTATGTCATACCTATGACTCAATCAGTATCACAGTGATCCAGCAGCCATGCAGCCATTCCTTCTTCCGTGGCGCCATGCTGAGGCTGGTGTTTCCATTCCATACGTTGGTGCATCAATCTGATAAGCTCTAAATATAAAACACATCTGCTGAATAAGGCTTACTCTAACTGGTTTAAAAAAAATACAGATTTATAGGTTTATACATTTCTGGCAGAACAAAATAAAAAGTTCCTCACGTGCCTTACTCCCATAATGAAACGCATCCACGTGAAAAGTAGCAGTTATGACCTTCGTCCCAACCCCTAATGGTTTGCTTAGCTAGAATACGTTTTTCCAACTAACCAAGTGTTTTTGTTGCCTGAATCCACATAAAGACGAATCATAAACACATGTGTGATGTCCAGATGATTGTAGATACGTTATTTGTGGTCATTCAGGTCAGCGCTTTCTTTCTTCAAATAATTGTAATAGAATTCCAGCATTTTACTTTTTCAGAACTCCAAAGCAGAGCCTCCAGCCTTCAGCCCCCTTGGCGGTGGACCGGGCCGGTCCCCCATCACCGCAGGGGCGCAACCGAGCGGTCTCAGAAAGGGGACGGTCCGGCCTACTGGGTCACTTCCTGCTTGCGTCATCAGCTTTACCTCCACTGCTTCTGTTGCCTAGCAACCTGCTGCGCTTAACAATAAAAGCCTTAAAAGCCGTAAACGTATAAAGTATGTAGGTGGGCAGCATGACGGAGTGGACACCGGTTACCAACGTCACGTTTCTTCACTGATAACATTTTTATCGGTGAATTCCAGTGAATTCTATTGCTTAAAGTTACATTTAAAAGGGAACTATTCTGCGCTGTCGGATAACCCACCTCCGTCCTGAATCCTCGGCGGCCCGCACTGCATGCTGGGATATGCTGAGCCTCAAAGGACAGATCCGATGTGTCCTCCAAGCACCTGGAGGGCTGCGTCCCTCGACGGATCGGGACAGGCGAGTCGCACCTGAAGTGACGTAGGCGTCCTTAAGGATGCAGCCTTAGCGACTTTGAGACACGGCCCATGAATCTAACAACAAAATGGCTGGACCCCTGATGGTGCCTTGTAGTCTGTCCCTGTCCTGTCTAGTGGCCGATCCAAACCACATAGTTACTGAAGAACAGAGAACAGACTGGATGATGGCGGGCAGAACAGGACCAGCAGCTCCTGAGGGAGGATGAACCTGAGCTTCCTCGGCTGGGCCTTCTTTCTGGTGGTGGCCCACATCCCATCCCAGGAGATTCTGGATCCCAAAAACCTGCAGGTGTCCACAGGAGGCAGTGGTCAGAGTTTGGGTTCAAATAACCCGGGACGATGGTGTTGGAAGCAGAGGTCCATAAACAGAACCTGTGACTTTTTCCATGGTGAGTCGAGGTGGTGCAGGTGGTGCAGACCTGCATCACCTCGACTTTTGATGTTCTATTGATGACAAAAGAAAAGTTTCTGCCCGACAGAACCTCAGAAGTCATGTCTGAAAAGACATCAAAGAATGGAACTTTCCACATTGTGCTGCCTAAAGACGTCATTTATACCTTTTAGTACATTTGGGCCTCAGACACACACTAGAGTGGATGATGGGAACTAATGCGTTTCAGTGGAAGCATGAAGACGTAAGGAAAACATGCGAGAGAGGAAACCAGCATCGAGTTTATGAGAGCAATAGTTATCCTCACAGTATCTTCTCTCTGTGGCCGGTTACCGGATTAACAAGTTGCATTGAGTATTTATACGGTGTTCTGCTTCAAGGCACAAGATCCACTTCTACCAGCAGATACGATTTTATGATTCATTCATTATTTGTGTTTATGTATTTTTATTGAACACAGGACATACGAATCCCTTCAATGACATGTTGAGGGGAAATTAAATAATACGTTGTTAAAACCAATGTTCTGGACTTGTGAGCTGATGTCTTCTCTTTTCCACAGTAGAAACCATGGTGGTCTCCAGGTAAAACATGAACCACAGCTTAACCATGAAGTCCAGACTCCAAATCCATGCCGGCCCGGATGTCACACAAAGCATTTTCAGACACATTTCAGGGGCTTTTTGAAAAACAGGCTGCTTTTATTTTCATTGTTGGAATGAGAACTACACCGAGAACAGAATACCAAGGTGTGTCGGTTTGTTGGTGGACCGCCACCTCTGTAGGACTGAAACAGCAACAGATCAAATATTTCATACATTTAAAACAAAAATGTAATCATCAAACCATTAGGTCATAGTCTGCAGGGGTCACTGGCACTCAGCAAAGCACTTTTCAAAAGTTAAACATTTCCAAAACACAATGAGTCAGTTTATTGTGGAGCCAGGCTCAGATTACAACATCTTCATACGCTCATTGACCTCAGCGCGTTTGATCCCACTGACGTGGTGGAGCCTCAGCCCGGGTTAGGAAACACTATCATGTCATAATCAACACAAAAACAAAGGATCTTGTGTTGATTATTGGAGATGTACCCATGCAGACCTAGAGACAGGAAGAGGAGGAGGAAACAGAAACCTTCAACTGGTCATCCTGAACTAATCACCACTGTTCCGGCGCTACATCTGCTGGGTGGAGTTCCCATTCCAGGTGTTGTTCTCGTCCTCACTGTCCTCCTGAGTCCGCAGCCGGCAGACTTTGCCATCCTTCGTGAAGCCCTTGGGACGCTTCTCCTCAGGCTGCTTAGAGTCAGTTTCTCTGATGGGAGGACACAAAGCGACTGAATCACCACAGACAGAGTGATACCAGGTCACACCACAGCAAACTCAGTGGGCTCCATTGGTGGAGAATGAGTCAGTCATGGACTTGGGATGCGTTACGGCCTGAATAAAATGGGTTACAGATCATTGAATGAGATAAGAGCACCACGGCCCGATCAGTGAGCAGCTTCACCAGCATGACGGGACGTGGGGGACGTCCCACATCCAGCGGATGAAACGGGATGCGATTGGATCGCTTTCCTGACTTGTTGTTTGTTATATCATCATCATCATCATCATCCATTATTATCGTGTGTCAATCCACTCCTTGCTGCGCGCGGCGGTTCCACCCCGACACGTGCACATGTGCAATGACTGCTACCCCCCCACGTCAGCCGGTCCTTGCGCCCCCCGCGTTGTGAACCCAGGGGAAGCACTGACCTCTTGGCTTTGTCGGAGGCCGCGTTGGCGTAGGAGCCGGACGGCTGGCCGTGGCCTCTGGATTCCGCTCCAGCAGGGGGCGGGCTAGCAAACAGGAAGGCACTGAGGAATCTCCACACAGCCAGCAGAGGGTAGAGGAGTGTGCCCAGAACAGCCCAGAGACCACCATCAGAGGACTGCATCACTGTGTTCGCGGGCCGGCTGGACTGCTAGAGGGCAGAGCATCCGCATACGATGAGGCAAGAGGACGTTAAAGGAATACAAAGCTGCGCTAACCACATGGGGGGGGGGGTAGTAGATGTTGCGGACGGACACACGCATGTAGGTGAGCATATTATACCACATTCAAAATGAGATATTCTCCTGTTGTTTACAGGAGAGATGAAGTCAGGAGGGACATCACATCTGAAGCTGACTGCTCTCATTTAGTAGACGTTGTGACAAGTTATTGGACAAGAAATGAATAGAATCTAGAAAGTGATCCAAGGTGTGTGGATTTACTACTGATGAATATAGAGGGGGAACTTTAGTAAAACATGGCATTAGGCCACACTCATGTCAGGTGTCCCTCCTGAGCTGCTTTGGTCTATTCGTATGCTTCAGGGCCCACGTGGTCCCGGGGAGGCAGAAGGACTCTGGTCTACTCACTGGGAGAAGCACGATGGAAGCACTTGGAGCCAGTTCCAGTTCCAGCAGAGTCTTGTCCAGGTCTTCACTGGTGAACTCCCGCCGAGGGAACATGGTCGCCAGGGAGAAGTTTCCGTAGCGGTTTCCTACTTCCTAAGCAACACAAAACTTTACTAGCAAATGTGACCTGCTGTCTGACGTGGAAGCATTGATGTTCTCCATCATACCTCAGACCCTAGAATATGAACACAAGTGTCACAACAGTTGATGGGAATGATCCAGTACCCCAGTTCTACGATTAAAAGCTACTATATGGTGTTGGTAAGTCCTGGATTTCTAGAGGAAGGAGTTCTTGTTCCCTTGAGGAAATCAAACATGGATGGAGCAGCATGAAAGGACTCGGGTCAGACCTGAACAGCAAAGTTGCGAGCTTCCTGCAGTCTGCTCTGGGACGGGAACTGGTTGGTGAAGGCCGAGCCGTCTGGGAGGCGGAACTGTATCCTCGCAATGGTGCTAGAGGAAGAGAGTGTGTTACTCGGGACCAGCAGCCGTTTGGATTTGGTAAATGAGCCGATCATTAGTAGTTCTACACCGGTGGAAAGGCGCTCTAGACAGCATTAAACAATGAAAGCTGTGTCCTGTTCAGGTCCCCCTGAGCGGAAAGAAGCCATCCTCAAAGTGTACTCGGAGCTTTGCTCATTGTGGCTGCGTGTTTGTCCTTTAACGCTGTACGTGGACATTTCTTAAACATACGGAGCTTCTTTCTAACATTGTTCATCATTCTTGAAATATTATAAAATGGATGGACAGAATGCCAACAACTGGCAAGGATTCATGGGGCAAACCTCTTTCAATGTTCCCTGTCCCTTTAAATCCCTTTAAATGTTTCCTGCTCATTTTCAGCAATGAGCATCTTTTCTTCTGCCGTTTAGATTTTAAAATGACTTGTGTGTAAGTGGTTTTAATTTGCCTACGTGGATACGTTCACTCCAGCATGATAAAGGCTACGATACCTCCTCTCTCTGACCACGGCCTCCTTCTGGGCCTGCCTGGCCTGCAGGACGGCCTGCTTGGCCGTCCGCTCCTCCTCCTGGGTTCTGGCATAGCGAGCTGCCCGGTCAGCTCGGTCCTGCAGGACGAAGGTTTAATGAATACAATCAAATCAAATTGAAATGTGATATGATCCTGTTGAACTCACACCAACAGTCAGAAGCAAAGCGCTTTTGAAAAATGACGAGACTAATACGGTTTGTACATTATGTTTGTCATTTACATCATCCCACGTACAACAAGCTGCAATACATCAAGTATATCAAATATATTGCCATAGCCCCAAAGAGAGACGGGTCTAAGCTGGATTCTCATAGTTTTTAGGATCTTGGGGGACACGGTCTGGAAAATCTTTGAGATAAGTGATTGCACACTGCACAATCACTGCACCGATTTGATGTATTTATGATGCTCGTGTTGGCTGTGAGTTGAATAGGGCTGCAAACCTCCATATGAAAGATGAACAAGCGATTAACCAGTAGTGTGTCCAGTACATAGAGATGTAGAAGAACAAAGAATTGTCCACGGTTATCCTCAGTTTTCTTTGAAGTCATATAGTAATGTCCCAAGTGGATCCAACTTAATAGTTAATCTGTGACGTGAAGGTAGAGACGTGCGTACCAAAGCTATCTGCTGTCTGACTCGCTCCCTGGCAGCCTTTTCCTCAGCCTTCTCCTTGTTCCTTTCTTCCAGGAGTCGCTTGGTCCTCTCCTCTTCCTGCTTCTTCTTCAAGTCCTGCACATCCTTCCCCATCTTCCGCCGCTCTACTTCCACTTGGATCTCCTTCTGAATCACAGGCAACACGAGGAGGTCAGAGGTCCTGTTTGAATCCACAAATTCACGCACTGGCACAAAGTCTGTAAACTAACTGCTTTTGTAAACAATAGGCCTTTGTTAGCATTTTCCTTTTACTAAAGTGACGTTTGCTAAGCCGTATGACAGCAGCCTGGGCTTATTACTGGAAGCTATTAATACGAGAGCTTGTATAAAGGGAAACAAACTTTGACACCAGACAGTCGGATGTACTGGTACCAAGTACTCCAGACTACACAGAGAGCAAGGACTGTGTGCCAAGCCTCCATAGAAAAGTATGCAGTGCTCTTGTGCCCGTTAGAGGCCATCGCCTTACCTCTTCTTCTCCCTTCTTCTTTTGTTCTCTCCTCTCCTCCACTTTCTTAGTTAACCTGACGGGACAATACGAGAAAACATCTACCTTCAGAAGGTCAAGTGAACAGTGACAGGCTGAGTGAATGCCACTTCCTTCCTCACATTGATTCCTTTCGGTTTAAATATCAATCTCACGATCAATCTCAGTATGTTCGACTGAGACAGACCATCGCAAATGAGAGCGCACATTTTCTGTCTAAGAGGCTCCTACCTTTCCACCCTGGCCTCCAGGTGGCCTTCACTCTGAGCAGCATTCTCTGCAGGAGCCATTGGGGCTGCAAGGCGGCCGTCATCAGCTGTGCTGGAGAGGGATGCTGCGAGAAAAGGGCGGAGTTAATGAGTTATTGACAACTTGTTAGCACAAAACAACAAAGTGTATTCATTCTCCATCCAAAGATCTGTCAAAATGATGGCTAATGCTTGCTTGTCATACAAGTATCTAATGGGATTTTTCTGTGGCCTTTATGAAAGCGATGCTAGTATTTAATGTTGAAAGAATCAGACTGAAAAGTTTGCAATGACCCATGAAGAAATCTAAAGGACTGGACGTGTAAATATGTGACTCCACGGTGAGCAGAGAAAGCTGTTGCATTATTCTCTGAAAGCCTTTAAAACAGTCCACTGTACGGAGGTAAAACGAGAACGAGTGTAACTGTAGAAACGCCAACAAGTATTTAAGGCACTGTAAGGAAACCAAAGTTGAATCTCCTGTAAACAAAATGAGTTGGTTGCAATAATTACTTCGATGTAGATTAAGAAAAACTAGTACTAGGATTTTAAAAAATCTTGGCAGAAAATGTTTGTGAATGTTTATAGCAGTCTTATCTGATCTCACTGCCACAGCTGTGCATCACGCGTATCGCTACAGATTCACCTTTACTCCCCCAGACATGTCAAACTCACTCAGTTTCTTATTTGGCCCTTTCTGTGATCGGGTGTGACAACCCCAACATCTGTTAGATACATATTATCTGATAAACACAGCTAATGTTAGCTTAAGCCAAAGAAAAGAAAGAGTCATTAATGCACTTCACTCAGCTGTGATATCACAAATATAGCAAAAATGATACGGGTGCATGTCTCCTCTTTCATATACAACATTAAATTAAATGTACGTTCAGAGTAAAACATTCAAAACCCTTTTCCCCCCCAAACTGACCAACGTAAAAGGACTTTATCACAAACAAATCAATAAAGAAAAGATCCAGGACAAATGTGCGCTGGCATCTCCATAAGACATCTGATTTATAAACTATATCAGATGGTCGAAGTGTCCCTGAGCAAGACACCTAACCCCTGATTGCTCCCCGGGCAAAATGTAAAAGCCATGGGTTAAAAATGAAATGCAAGTCACTTTGGATAAAAGCGTCAGCCATATGACCTGTAATGTAATGTAATGTCATACAGTATCTCAGTCTGCCTTCTACACATCTAGAAACATGTTGGATCTCCTTTTACTCCCCATGCTGAAAACGGAAACGGATTAAAAGCAGTAAATTATAAAATAATGATGAATAAGGTGCACTAAACTGTCCTTTTGAAACTCACTGGATGTGATCCACTCACCTGTTGCCATCTGTGGCACTGCTGCAGGTTCTGTGTCCGACCCAACAAGCGTTGCTGGAGCTGGCACTGGAGTGGTGCTATTGAGAGGGGTGGTCTCCACCGGACCACTTGCCGCTGGTAACACTGCATCACATCCAAACTGCTGAGCATGCATCTGTCAGAAGAAAAGGCAGAACCATCATCAGAGAACATCATATAGATATTGAGCAGATACAGAGGCAGTAGCTCAGATGTAATCGAAAATAGTGATTGGACATGATTGTCTGGAGAGACTTTCATGTCAATCCACATAAGAAGAGAGATATTTCGATATGGACCAAAGTCATTCCTTTGACTAGCCAACACACATTTCCATCCCCAGCTGCTAGCTGTTTCTTGGGGTACTGCGGCCGGCTAGATAAAACATGCAAAGGGCTCGAGCCAACTGTAAATCCCTGTGAACGAATATTTGTGGCCGTACCTGCTTCACCCTGTTGATTCTTTTCATGAGTTCTTCAGCAGACACGCAGCCGGCGATGACCTCCAGGGGGATGCCGTTCTCCCCGATAAAGAAGCTAGAGGGTACGCACACCACTGGATCTTCACGCAGGTGGGGGGGTGCTGGTTAAGGATCAAGCTCCTGGAAAATTTCATTTGTTCGCGGTCTTGCATGATAAATAGCACCCTTCACTGAGCCTATATCATTCCACCACAGTCATCGAGATAAGATCATGGCTTATTGAATTATTGAAATGCGCTGTCAAAAGTCTGACTCAAAGTTCTAGCCACGAGATAGTAAACAAATCAGACCCAGACGACTCAGTTTGTCCATGTATACTTTAAAGTGAACATTCTGCTAAAGGGCAGAGAGACTAAACCAGCCTTACAGGCCGCGCATTAATCAGGTCATTCTGGAGGGAATCAGTCCCACTGGGCCCCTTGAACATCTAGTAGCGCGTCTATTTGTGGTACCTAGTGTCATGTTTACAGGGTGCAAACTCCTGCCAGAGAAGATGATATTGTTAATGTTTGAGGGTTTAAATGATCATTTCCTGTGTTATTCAGCCTATGAGTAAAAGTAGGTCCACGCTATTCATTCAGGTTGGAAATATATAGGATTACAAAAAAGATACAGATCTGTGAGAACTGCACACATGGCTCACTGTGGAAGAAAGATTGCAGCATTATGTTGGATCTCAATAAACATGAACATTGTGAGCAGTGAAAAGTAAACCAGAGAGGCTTTCTGAGGGGCGGACGCAGACAAACTGGCAGGCGAGCAGCCAGGGTTGAGAACACGGAGGTAAGGGTTAGCTAGGTAAGCTAATGCTAACTAGTAAACTACTTGGACTCGGATTGTTCAGGCATCACACGCTGTGGGGGGACATCGTGTGTTGCTTAGGGGAGACTGCCATGGGGACATGTTAAAAACAGTTACTTTGCAAATACAACGTAGCTGTACATGTATGAAACACGTCGGTACCTCTTGGCATCGACTCTGATGGTCACACAGCAGTTCTTCGCTTCCTCTGACACTTTGTCATCCTCCCAGCTGGCGATCAGCTGCCCGGACAGGTCGTCTGTCCCTGAGGACAGAGAGCAGAGACACAGCCTGGAACAAGTCGGGACGCTTCACGGAGAGCTATAGTTAGCTAACTCCGTCACGGCTAGCGCTGCTGCCTGTGATGCAATAATAACCATGGTGGTGACTTGACCTTTTATTTACCTCCCAGCCGCGTAACCATCTGCCCAACAAAGTCACACCAATAACCGAGGGGCACACTCATTTATCTGCTCTCATCATTAGTCCTTCGTCCTCTATCGACAGTAAATGGACGTGGGGACCAGTACGGCTCCATAGGCCGGTGAAAACACTGTGAGGGAGCAGCGTAGACGTTAGCTTGTACGCCATAGTTATGTTACCGTTTCTGTCCTGTCGGCGCGTTCCACTATGCACAATGACACGTATCATTAGCAGCTGCTTATGCAAGCTGGCTAATGGTTTAATGCTAGCGCGCTAGCGCGTTAGCTTCCCATCACTCGGTACCTATTGAGGCTTGAATTAATTTAGCTAAGTTAGCTAACCGGACACGTACCTGTAATGACAACCACAAACACGCAGCTCCGCTGTTTCGCTAAGTTAATGGCATCAGGAATTGAGCCCTCAAACCAAAGCATCTTTAAGAGTTGTGTTTTCTGTCTCTGGTTTGGTGACACTTTGCTCCACCAAAACTACATTCATGAAGTGACGTCAGTCCGTCTGCGTAAACCGAGTCTGCGCAACGGGCAGTGCGCGAGGCGGGACTGCGCAGGGCCGTGCACGTCACGTGATCCTCCTGTGTTTATCGTGCACGGCGCTCGCCACCGTGACAGGGTGTGGAGAAGTTAAGCCTAGTTTATGCTTCTGCGTTTTCAGAGCGACGCAGACGCGAGCGTCGCTTTTCACACCTCCTTGCGTGTGTCGAGCCATTTTTCAAGCAACGCAAGCCGCCCGCAGCGCACCAGGCTGCGATTGGTCCGCCGCCATTATTAAAACGAAGAATGTTTACGAGAGAACGGATCAGATTGAAGAACTTTTGTCGGAAGAAATGTGTAAATATGACCGCTTAAACAACCCGTCATTGGCGGGTTGTTCAAGCGGGTTGGATTCATGGAGGGAGATCGCCGCAAACGCCGGTTTGCCGGTCGAGAGGTAAACAAAGTTGTGGAGGAAAATACGGGACAAATGTGTCCGCGATGAAAAGCAGCAGTGTGGATGCACGGGGCAATAAAGTCTATGATAAATAAACAAATAAATAAATAGACGTGACTCTCTAGGTCGTCTTCAACAAAAACACGTCACTCCACCTGTTGTTCTGGAGGTGAATTGCTCTGCAACGCACGCGAGACTTTAGAACCATGCATTGAAACAAGTGCGTCGACGCAGAAGCAGAAGCATGCGCCAGCCCTAAAACTATCCAGGAGTCATCATAACATCATGAAAGTGATAATGGTTCCGCACCTTCCTGGATTCCCAGGTTGTCAATCAATGCATTCTTCTATTGTGTCCGCTTTTGGCCTTTTCTCAGCCTGCAAAAGCTTTAAAAGGGATGAAAAGTTGAAACGTTTTTAAAAAAGGTTCAATGAAGTCAGGTTGTAAAAATAGCCAGAAATGAAGATAACATCAAGAAACTGAGACTTGTGCATTCCTGAGGTAATTTGATGAAAACACAGTCAACCAATGGGCTCTTCCAAGCTGTTCGTTTTAGGCATTCATCATGACACGACATTCCTCAGCTAATAGGTTGATGAAAACACTATCAAAGCATTCCTCCATAATGTCTGTTTTAGGCATTATTTTACCCTGCAAAGGCTTCAAAGGTGATTAAAAGGTTAAAAAAAACTTATTTTGAACAAAAAAGGTTGTATAACTATACAGATGTCATGATAGCATCATAAAACTGATACGTACATTCCTGAGTTCCACAGGTTGATGAAAACACAAATTGACACATTGATGTTTCATCCACCTTTTAGCCAGTTGAAAAGACGTTGAAATGAGGTCTTATACGTTCAGACCTAATTTCAACCCAATTTCAACGTTGAAATGTCGTCTTGTGCTCACCGGGTGCCTTCTGCTTGGCCCAGAACGTATCCTTTTCGGCAAAGAAATCCACCCAAAAAATTCACATACATACATATAGACACAAGTAAATAAATAGTAAACAAGTAAAAATACAAAAGGGACTAAGTTGTTTAATTGGTTGTGTTAGTTTAATGGTTCATAAGTTTGAAAATGGAAAAATGGACACAAGATAATGTGAGTCCATGTGTGTTGATCAAGCGAGTACTAGAATGCCGACCACTTACATTTTGAATAATACTGGGATAATGTGAAACATATTGTATTACACGTGGGTGTGTTGGGTTATGCAGAAATAGGGTCAAAACCTTTCATTCCAGGATACATACACTTCACTCCTTATCAGAGGGGTACTCCTGCACATTCACGCCTTTCTGCTCTTACACTGTAAACCCGAATTAGTTGACTTTACTCGCGAATCGTGTGGAAATCCGTTGCCCTATCCCACTTTAGTTTTTACACAAGCTGAAACTAGAAATGTTGCGTTGTATTAACGTGGAACTGTAAGTTTTTACACAACCTGAAACTAGAAATGTTGCGTTGTATTAACGTGGAACTGTAAGTTTTTACACAACTTGAAACTAAACATGTTGCGTTGTATTAACGTGGAACTGTAAGTTTTTACACAAGCTGAAACTAGAAATGTTGCGTTGTATTAACGTTGAACTGTAAGTTTTTACACAACTTGAAACTAAACATGTTGTGTTGTATTAACGTGGAACCGTAAGTTTTTATACAAGCTGAAACTAAACATTTTGCGTTGTACTACCGTGGAACCTTAACTTTAGTATTTATATTTATTAGTAGTGTGTACTCAAAATCATTAGATAAAACTAGCTATTATGACTTGTTATTGCTACTCATCATTTAACACAATTATTGTATTTTCCTCTAATTTAATTTGCTTTTGATTGGTTTTTAAATATGTTATTAAACATTGTTTCAATTAAATTGGATAAAAAAAACAGAAACACCTGTAAATGCTCCAATGCATTTTACTTTTAAGAAAAATGGCCAAACACAGCTAATCACAAAAAGGATCTGTTTCATCTGCCTCAATGAAGGGAGGCCAGAGCATGAAGCAACAGACTATCATATCAGAACAATATCTAATTCCATCTACATAGACTGATGAAGAACTGAAACATGTATATAATATAACAATGTCCTATGTCTTTCCGCTACAACTCCGCTCAGTTTATATTGTCACACAAGTCACATCCTTTAGCACGCTTCCCACAAAATATAAGTGTGTATAGGTGTGTCAGTTTTGTGTGTGGGTGTTGTATGTGTCTGTGTGTGTGTCTGCGTTTTATGCGTCTGTGTGTCCACCTGTTTTACAGAAAATAAAAAGGTTTACCCCACAGGTAAGAAAACAAAAATAGTCAACAGTTTCTTAAAGTAGACTTGACATCTCTTTACATTGCGCGCTGATTTTTCAAAGTCTGTAGCTTTGGCTTTAGGTCAGTGTGGCCTAACAAGAGCAATACCTGTTGGATGAACTGAAATGTGAGCTTCATAGTCTTGGGGTAGTTAAGATGGAGTGCATACATGAGTCCAAACAGAATGCACATTGCTTTGGGCAGATCTTGAATGTTGTCCATCACGACTTCTCCCTCAATGATGATTTCCAACGAGGCTGGACTGAGATGCTGGGAGGATGTGAGCACAGCACCTTCACGCTCAATAAGAAGTCTCCCAATGTCTGGGTGACAAAAAGAATCCTCATCGTCAGATTCCTAAATAAAGAAAAACAGAAGAGCCCACTCATTACATTATATTTCTCATTTGAAAAAAAACTTTCATTAAAAATGATAAGAAAGCAAGAGCTTACTCACAAAGCCTGCTTTGAAGACGTCTGTGGGGTTGTCCCCAGGATGATAGGAAGCCCTCTGACACTCAGTTGGCTCTGTAGTCTTTTGGGAATTAAACACAGTACCACAAGTTAGATAGCTAAATAGAAAAACAAATAATGACCTCTAAGAAATCTTAAACAGGCCGAGCAATGTTTGGATAGAATTATGCAACTAATAGAGGAGCATTGTGATATGATGTTTATACCTAACCTAATAAAAACAATGCCAAGTACATAATGTGGATGGACTTACATTGGTCTGTCCAACATTCCCTCTCTTGGATCCAAATAACTCGAGGACACGAGGACTGTGCCGGTCGATGCTCTCATAGAATTCCGTCTTGAGGTTCTTGCCCACAATCCTGCTGAACTCCATGAAGACCTGAAAAATACAGAGAACAATAAAAATCTGAATTTAGATCAACTGAACTATACAAGGCAGCTAAGCCATCTGCGAAGTAGTGCTGTCCTGAAAAACATCCATGAATGTCCTTTTTATACGATTTGAAATGTTGATGTTTAAATTAAAAACATCATGCCCCAAATTAAAAATACCAATGTTTCCTTTAAAGAGGTCAAGAGAAATATACAACTAGACACATTATATAATAGAAAGATAATTATTTGTCATGTTCTCTTTCTTAAACACACTTGATCTTCAGTGAAAAGGGCAGGCCAGCGTCTCACCATCGTGCTTATGGCAGGTTCCGACTCCACTACCTCTTTTCTTCTCAGAGCAAACGTCTGATCCATCTTCTGTTTCACAAGAGGTCCATTTGTTCTCTTCTGCATTTCATCAACCAAGTCTTTACAGGCCTCCAGGGCTGCCTGATCAAATGCACACACATTGTTGGTGTAAGCAGGGAAATGGGACAGTTCTACCATAGTTTCCGTGTTTTAACCGATAATGTTTTAAAAGGTAACCCCTTTTCTCACGGATAAACTCACAGTACTTACATTTCCACAGCATCCTCACACCACAAGAATCTGTAAACTAAGAAACAATGTCACTGTTAAATAAAATAAGGTAATGAAACCGAAACAACACCTGTGTTACAGAGAAAACCGGCATGAAAACAAAGGTGTGTGAGGCCGGTTACACACTGCCGGCGTGGCATTTCTGTTGCGTGTCAGTTGCGTGGATTTTTCTGTCTTTTCACACCAGAAACGTGTCTGACGCGGTGCTGCTGCTGCTAGCCTCGTCTGGACACATGCATGTTTCCCATTGATTTACTGCACTCAAGCAGTATACTTCATGTTACACATCAATATATACTGATTTGATTACAGCAAAGACAACGTCGGCAGTATTGACGGTAAATACACTACAGTATATTGCATTCTGTACAGGTGCAATATTTGAAAATCGATCATCTTTTTGTTTTTTAAATTACATTTGTATATCTGCATTTATGTCATAAACTTGAGACTTTCAAACATCAACATGTCATTTATTAATTTGTATTCATGTCAAAATGAAATATACTAATATATCTTTTCATATAAAATTTAGCCTGGAAACGCTTCCAATGCTTGCGTGTGGCGTGAAATAGCCGTCGGTCCTGTTTCTAGCAGGCGTGTGTAAGCTCCAACCGTTTGACTGTAAACAGACACGCCACGCAGCCAGTGTGTAGAGAGTGAGGGGGGAAAAGAGAGCGGCCAGTGAATCAATGGCTGCAAGTAGCTCGGGTGTAGCTAAACACCTCCACAGCGGATGTAATTTGCCCCGACAGCGGTTGAATCGTTTTTCTATTGCGTAAAATGACGGTTGAATAAATGATACAGTAGAACAAACTAACGGTATGCGAGCCGTCCTCAGACTGTTAACACTAAGTTAACTTTAAGTTCAGCTAAGACTTTTTGAGTAGCTAGCTAGCTAGTTTTAGCAATAAGCATGTATTAACACCATGCACAGGTTCAAACATTAACATTAGGCGGAAATAAAAGCTGCGTCAAATTATCTGCAAGCTTTTGGGCATTAAACATTCCCACAAAGATAACTAGGCTGGATAACGTTGGTCTGGTCACGTGACCAGGCAGCTTTTTGAATTAGCCCCTCCCCTTTCTTCCAAAAGTAAACATACCGAATTATCTGTGCTAAAAATGATTAGTGCAATGAATTTTTCAGCTAATTAGTACAAACAACTAATGTTGTTTAGTAATGATAGCAGGTTTTTACTAAACATAAAAGAATAAGTAATGATCACTCGTAAGTTTAATTAGAAACAAAATCCGGGTTTACAGTGTAGAACAGGAACACTAAACCCCCCAAACAAGCCTGCAAATGCCCTGCAAGCCCCCAAAAGCTTTACTATCAAGGAGGGATCCGTGTCACAGGATTCAAGTTATATACACAACATACACAATACACAATCTTTTGACTTCCAAAACTCAGGCCTTGTCTCAAGCTAAGAGGAGTCATGAGAAAGTTAAGCCTTCAGGCAGTCAGGCATAAGGTCGTTCTGGCTGACATTTTAATGTGCAATTTATTTATACATCATGACGCGTTGCCGAGACACCCCTCCCCGTGGTGGTGAAAGACGTTTTTGGTTGCTTCATACTTCCTGTCGTGCACAGTCGCTCCATCCACGAAGAGTTGAACACAACTGTCAACCACCCGCGGCTTCCTGTCGATAGTAAGTTTGCGTTTATAACAATGCTTATTTGATCAATATTCCCCGCTTTCATTTCTTTCTTTTATATTCTTATCATAAGAAATGTGTGAGATGCTTCAAACAAAGGCAAAGAAAAATGTAATGTAATGTAAAACAAGAAGAGCAAGCGTCATCGTTTGAGGAAGTGAAGTGAATCAACTACTCCGACATATATTTAATTAAAAAACAAAAATAAATTGCAACAAACGCACAATTTTTTTGAACGCTTGTTTTTGAAAAACTTCCAATAAGACATGTCTCCGACATGTGTGTAAATCTTGAATTATTCCATATATGTAATAATGAGTGTATAATGTATGAGTGTATATTGTATTTCATGACTGAACAAAGTAAAGGAACTTTGACACAGAGAAGCTGTGCTTATTAAGTGAGCCAAAAGTCGATTTGCTGTGTTCTATTGGACTACATATTTATTTTTTTATATTTATTTATTATATACGTGTTTTGTAACGTCACACAAATGTGTCCTTTGAGCTTGTGTTTTAACTAGTCATTTTAACCAATGAAGGCAGAAATAGATTTCACAAAAGATAAAAATTACCACACATATAGATACATGGATAAAGCCTTCTTTTGTGTCGCAAAAGGGAAATGTAATGATAAAAAAACACTTGGTTCCCTTTTACCTTAAATGGTATGGACAGTGTTGAGCGAGGGTGCAACACAAGCCTTTGTCTTACAGGAAACGAGTTGTTGGACTGATCTGTAACACTGGGTGGACACCCAGGTTGTTTAACATCTGAACATAACACAGTATCCACACTTTCAATTCATAAAGTTCCCATGTTCTATTCCTGCAGGTGTAGTATTTCTCAATTTAGGTACACATGGCCACTGTTTTTTACGTCGATCAGTAGGTCTACTTACAAGATTTTATTATTTATTTATTTGTTTTTTATTATTATATTAATTCATTTTATTTTATTTTTATTTTATTTTATTATTATATTCATTTTATTTATTATTATTTTATTATTCGACATAAAACCTTGTGTGCAGTGTTGGCTTCTCTTTCAAAACCAACGTAATCCCCAAAACCTCTTCGTAAACATGTGTACGAAAATCTTGAACATAGAAATTGGTAACAATACATAGTAACTGGCGGTGGTTAACCACGCCCCCTGAGTGAACAACATGGCGGACCATGTCGGATTCTTGAGTGAACGTCTGTCCGCCATGTTGGATGTTTTGAGGGGGTTAGGGTTTGTATTCTATTCTTACAAGGTAACATTGATTTCTCGTTGAAAATGCAATTATAACACGTTTATTTCACATGGTCAGACTTCACAAAGTGTGTTTACGGGGTGCAGGTCCCCGTTCACTTTGAACAGGGTGTTGCATCAGTTGCAGTCCGTATTTATTTCATATGTATCACTACGAATTTGTATCTTCAAGATTTTCGTACACATTTTTACAAACAGGTTTTGGAGATCAGGCTGTTAAAAACACATGTACAAGGTAGTTGGGAATAAAATAAAAATAACAATGAACCATTGACCTTTAGTGTAAAAATGACAAGTAGAAGTACCATTCCATTAAGATCGGTGTTTCCAGTTCAAGCACTTAGGCTGATCTGTTCACTGTCATTACTTGTCAGAAATAGGAACGATTGTGAAGAGAAAAGTAAAACCAAGGTTACCGGCAAAACAGTGCCTTTTCTTGTCAACTTGACACTCCTCTACTTCACTTACCGGGTATACAGACATAATAAATCAAATGCAATAGCTTGTGATTATTACGCCTAAATTGTGTTGTTTGTAATTTAAATGGTAAGTGAATGTAAGTTTAGGGTTTGTTTATTTGACTACATCTAACATCAAAAACAAGAAAAAGACAGTTATTGTTTTTCCTGCAACCAGTGCAACCTGGACTAGAGGAAGGTCCATATTGTTTGCTTTATTCTCCCACTTATTTTTTAAATTTAATCTACCAAGTCTACTCTACCCTATAGTTTGGGTTAGTGTCCAAGTAAACACACAGATGGAAAATGTAAACTATACGGGAGGATTATAAGGTTTATGTTCAACCGTTTAGTTGTATTTTGTTTAATCTTGCCACACTTATATAATGGGCATTGCTTTGGGGAAACTGTGGCTACTGTAAGTAGAAAGCAGGATTGTCCATTAATCAGAGGATTCCCAGCTCTGCTAGTCCATGTCAACGTGTCCTTAATTGATTTCAATAATGTATTTTCACTGTGATCTCTTATATGTTGCTCTCCGATAACATGTTTACATTTATTTTGTTTTGATTTGTAATCAGGAAATGGATTGGTTCCTCTTTTTTCTTCTCCTGCAAATGGGAAGAATAGGTAAGTATTCTGAAACAACGTGGTGATGGCGAATTTTTACTGATTCACTAGTATTCGTGCTCTGAATATTGATTATGAATGCAGGTCTGTTTAATAACAGATATAAAAGATAATTGTTTTTCTACAATACAACTTATTTTGATAAAATCCTCATGTTGATGTTAACAGGATACAAAAAGGGTTGGAAATAGGGATTGAAACTAATGACAGTAAACAAAATGATTTCAAAAGGAACTGTCAGATTAGAGCTCTGATTAATAACAAAACAAATAATATACAGTTAAGAATGAAGGATTTTGAAGTTGTTAACAGTTTTCACTTCAGTCTATGATTAAATGGAACATCATGGGTATTCAGCAAAAATGTATTTACATGATAGTAAAGGTGAAACACCATTGATCGAACTAAATAAGACAGTTTGTGCAGTGTCTCAAAGGACATAGAGTTTGTGTTTTTCTTTGCAGGAGCGTCTCAACAGGAGGAAGTTTGCTCAAAGTCTGTGGTTAACTCATGTGACGACTGCATCAAATCCGGACCCTTCTGTGTGTGGTGCAAACAGCTGGTGAGAGCGAGCGTCTGTGTAACCCAGTATTCAGCCTGTAGGTTTATAGGCGCTGACGGACACCCACCTCTCACCTTGTGTGTGTGTGTGTGTGTGTGGAATGCCGTGTGCGATACAAAGAGCAGTGGAGAATTATAAACACGCAACCATGTAGAGACAGAAATAACATGCAGTCGTGTAAATAAGTCAACAGGAGGCTGTTTAGTTTGTTTAATAAAGAACAAAGTGTAGACGTGGTCAACTGATTTAGCCGGATCATTTTCAGGATAAGATTACATAGATCAGGTTTTCCAGTTCCACAAAATTGGTTTGAATTAGGGCAATAAACTGATAATGTGGGAAGGTTAGTAAACATGCAGGTGACATGAAAACAAACTACAATGTGGTCAAATGTGTGACAGTTTCACAGACTATAAGTAGATCTACCAATCACAACACATGGTGGCATCACATAAATGAAAGCTTATCTTTAAATCAAACCAATGTTTTATTCTATTCAGATTCTTTTTGCTGGCTAGACAGTGTACTGCTACATGCCAGGTTTAAGTCAAAACTGCACCTATAATCACTTGGTTCAACCGAACGTCCCACCTCTGACCAGACCATCCCCAAGAAGACCACTGAAAACAACCACAGGGCTGACAGATGAATATATATATATATATATATATATATATATATATATATATATATATATATATATATATATATATATATAACAGAGGCCAAAATTAGGCTTGGGACAACATTGGTTTTTCCCCAAGCTGGCGCGTTCTTCTGTTAGGGACATTCCTGACATGTTCTATTTTATATATAATATCTAGTAACGTGCGGTGAGGTGAGTGGCTCGGGAGGAACTCACTCTTTCAAATTCAGATTCATAACTATATTAATTCAACAGAATAGCAGACATTCTCCATAACTGGCTGCTTGCACATTGACTACTGGTTAACTTTCATATCCTGAGTGGTAAATTATTTTGTATATGCGGGTAGATGAATGCTTTCAGTCTGGACGGGCTGATAGGGTGCACTTGTAATACATGAAAAAGAACAAAAGCAGAACAAGCCTGTCAGCTCTCACACACACTCTTCAGGGAGGCAGAGGCCCTGTTATGATGCATCAGCAAGACCCAAAGATGGGTTCACTAGGAGGCGCGATGTGGACGAGGGGGAGCCGAGGGGGGGTTTAGTAGAAGTATAATTCAACTATAAATAATAATGTTTGTCTTTATTGTCTCTTTGTACAGGACTTCACCAAACCAGGCGAGCAGGAAGCAGTACGATGTGACACCAAAGCTCAGCTGACAGGGAGAGGCTGCACCGAGGGAGAAATCATTTCCCCACAGAACGACCAAACAATTGACAAGGGAGAGTCTCTGTCCGAGTCATTCAACAACCAGGAGCCTATCCAGCTGAGTCCACAGAAGATTAGTCTGAGACTACGATCTGGTTAGTGACATGAGTTCATCCTGACGGGTCCAAAGCAGTGTCGTCCAACCCCGTCGACTGTACCGGTTTTAAACCCAGGTTTAAAACAAATTGGTATGGATGTAGTTTGGGTTTAAATGTTGTTTCTCTGTTTTTACAGGTTCTCCTAACACATTCAAGGTATCTTTTAAAAGAGTTGAAGGTTATCCAGTGGATCTCTACTATCTGATGGACCTGTCTTACTCCATGAAAGATGACTTGGAAAATGTCAAAGAACTCGGAAAAGATCTTTTTGCAGCCCTGAAAAAAATCACTGAACATGCTCAAATAGGTAACTTGATTATAATCTAATTCTGAAAACTTAACCCAGTTGACCCCACAGCCTGTTTTTTGGTCTCTGCTCTGAAGATTGCGTGCACATACCGAAAATGCAACTACAACGTCCATCTGGAATTTCTTTGGTGTCATGATAAGGGGAACACTTTTTAGTGTGTTCAGATGTGTAAATATCAGTGTATGTGTTTTAAAAAACATTTTGTTTCGTGCTACGCTGTTGCCATGGCAACCTGTTCTTGAAGGTCAAAATGGAGCTGCATTTGAGGGGGAAAAATATGCTTAACTAAACTTGGCACAAGTTAAAGACGTAGTTACTTCATTGGATTTCAATGCTTCCAAATGTCATTTTGTTTCGATAGCGCCCCCTAAACAGGTGCACTCACCTGGAGGCCACAGCTTTGATCCAGCTGTGCCGATTCCTCCTGCATACCAGCAGAATAGCCTCTAAAATAGTGGAGAGAAATGATCCACTTGATAAAAGTAGAGGTATCTGCAGACCACAGCTCTGCTCTCTTCAGGAAGCTATCCAAGTTAAATGCTGGTGTCTTTGACATGCAGAGACACACAAAGGTGTGCACTTCACAAGTCAATTCATCTCTGTTTATCAAAAGTTGTGTGATTAGCTCCCGTTCTTTGCCTTGACTGAATGGAGGTGATCCTACATATTTTATTGACTTGGACACCACGTGTCCAGCTGACAGCTCAGGAATCAGGAACATTTATGTCAGGAATTTGACTTGACGGTTGGTGCGTAACATCAGACAGCAAGACAATTGACAACAAGACAGATAAGACACCATAGTGCAAGAAAGTGGCATGTTAGTAAAATTTACAATTTGAATCTATGGTATAAAATAAAATATAAGGCTATGTGCTCGGGGGGGATTTAGAATAAAAAGTCAAAAATAAAGTACACCAATGAACAGATAACCGTACCCTACACAACTGTGTTGTGAGTGTATGTGAAAGTGACAGGTGTATGTGCATGTGGAGTGTGAAGGGAGTGACCGGTGGAAAGGGATGCCAGAGAGAGGTTTGTGTGGACCTCAGCCTCCTGCCAGATGGAAGGGGTGCAAACTGTTTTTGTCTGTGGTGAGGGGGGTCAGAAACAGAAAATGTGTTAAACCAAATATGTTAAAATAAGGAAAACCACAATATTATAAATCATTTCTTTTTGGGTGTGAAGTATGAAGTCAAAGAAGGTTTTTTTTTCATTGGATGTGTAGAGAGCATCGGTAGGTAAATTGATGGGAGGGAACCCAGGTAAAAGGTTGGGGGCGGAGCTATTTACCGGGAGGACCTCACAGGTGAGAAATTTGTCTAGGGGGGTAAAGAGAAGGGGGCAAGGAGGCGACTTAGCGTGGATGCAGGTGCAGCGCACTAATTTCGCTTATGAAATTATCACTATCACTTGGGGGCGGGGCTCTGTGGAATATGAGTCGAGCACAAACTGTCACAGGTGTCGCCGGATTAAATTAAATAAATATACCTATAATATAGCGTGTTATATGTTCAACGTACAACAAGCTGTTTGTGTTTTGTTGGAATCCCATTTTCACACACTATTTACACAAAATGACAGCTTATGTTACAATGTACTGTATTTTATTTAAGTTATTCATTTCTTAATGTTTCTCAATGATCTGGAATCTGTGCTACCTTTTAAAGAAGAATAATATCCATTTCCATAACAACAGGGTTTGGTGCCTTTGTTGATAAGACCGTCCTTCCTTACACCAACACCAACAAGGAGAAACTGCTGAAGCCGTGTGATGAGAACGACCAGCAGTGCCAAGCTGCTTTTGGCTACAGACATGTCCTCAGTATGACACCGAAGGAAGATGACTTCAAAAACAAAGTGACAGAGCAGTTCATTTCTGGGAACTTGGACTCTCCAGAAGGCAGTCTAGATGCCATGATGCAGGCTGCCATATGTGGGGTGAGTACTGAACCAAACAAATCCTGTCTGTATTGTTTATGGTTAGAGAACAAATCAAACATTGCCTCTGTGCCAACTTTAGCACAGTAACACCTGTATAAATATCACAAAGACTGTGTATTTCAACAGGATTTAGCTTGAAGGCCATAGAGCCACCACTCCAACTGTCTTCTGTATGACAGATAAATGGGCCAGCAAATGTTATGATCAGACATAAGAAAATTTTTCTTTTGGTCAAATTTACAATGGACCCATAGGCTGTAGTGAGGCCCTCAATCATAATCAGCTTAAACAAATGAAAAGGAAGATCTCATTTGGGGAAGTTATTTATTTTGTTTATCCCGTGACGACAACATAAGTATACAGATATAATTTCCTACCTTACCCACCTTATCAGGAACAAGGAGCTTTAAAGTCCACACAGGGTGAAAAGAAAGATGTGTGGGTCCATCAAACAGGTGGTTTTGTTGCCTAAACATAACAAGTTCCTGTGAAGAACTTTTATTTTGAAAAGTATAATAATATGATAGAGAAATGTGTAAACAAAGAAAAGTACTATTTTATTCATTCCTGCATGAATCCTACTGATTCAATTCAAATATTCAATAATTATAGAAAATGTAATGTACAGTCTGCGCCTATATATTGATTTACATGCATTGCCTTATGATAATAATAAAAAATAATAATAAAATATTGTTACCAAGTGCTTTACAATAAACACAGAACCCATAACAAATGTATTGAACTAAAAGCTAAGAACCAAAACACATAAAAACCCTATTAAACTAAAATGTCGTAAAACATAATCAAGTCAAAATGTGTAGAATTTTGTGAGGTTGTTGTTCTAAAGACATATTGTTGTTTAGGACAAAATAGGTTGGAGGAACAGCAGCACTCGGCTTATTGTGCTGACAACTGATGCTGGATTCCACATGGCTGGAGATGGGAAATTAGCTGGAATACTGGAACCTAATGATGAACACTGCCACATGGACAACAACCTCTACACCAACAGCGCTGAGATGGTCTGTATGCAATAAAACATTGTGGCCGTCATAACAATTTCAACTAGAAAGGTACAGATCCATGCCAAGTGTGTCTGCAGTGACAACTCAATATTCGATTGAATCAAGACAAATCTATTTCTTTTACATTTGACACTTTTTACGCTGTTGATTCTGTACACATGACATATTACACTGGTGGCCATCCTGGCAGAGGGATCCTCCTCTTTCATAACCCCATTCATGACTGAAGAGTATCAGACGTGTTCTTATTCAGACAACTGAATGAACATTTATTAAACCTCAATGTGTCTTTGGGCTCAGATCAGCGGCGGGAGTCAGTCATGGCCTTCTGAGAGTAGTGAGTGTGGTTTTAGCCGTTTAAAATAGGCTTTAAAAGTTGATTTTAGAAAGCGTGACTCAACGCAATCATGAGAGGTCCTTGAGCGTGCCAAAAATGGTCACATGAAATTTGGAGCAGTTTGCTGAAGCAAAATGTAGGATTAGTTGTGGACAAACACACAGGTGTTGTTCAACAGATGTATGCATGTATGCAACAACACACACACACACACACACCTGCTAGTGCAGACAGGCAAAGTATGACCCGCATACGGCCCGTTGGGCTTTTTAATCCGGCCAGCCAAACTTATATTTAAAAAAATAAAAATAAAGATTGTAGTAGCACTTAAATGAAAACTTACTTATAGCCAGGACTTGACATTAGCACCCGACCACCCGCCAAATGCAGGTAGAATTCGGCTATGGCGAGTAAAGCATGGGTGACTGAAAGACTAACTAATTGTAGCATGTAAATTGTACTTATAATGACTCTTATCTATAGCAAATTGTAAAATGGCTTATTTGATTAAATTGCACTTTCTTGTTTCTTGCTCTTCTGTGTTCCGTCGGCCGGTCGGTTCGTGGCCCTCGAGTCAAAACGTTTTCCCACCCCTGTGCTATTGGTTGATGATTCTCAATCACTAGCATGATGTCACATTTCAACTATCCATCATAAATTATTATTATTTTTCTTAAACAAAAACGGACTTCTTTATTGAAATGTCAGCATATAAGAAGTTTCCAAGGACATTATGTGATAAACGTTTCACAGATTTCTCTGATGTTGTGTTTAGGACTACCCATCTGTTGGACAACTAGCCGTGCAGTTGGAGAAAAACAATATTCAGCCAATATTTGCAGTGACCAAAAATGTGGAAGATGTGTACAAGGTAAATCAATATTTTATTTATGTGCATGGATTTGTTTATTCAAAACAACACACTGTATTTTTACCCCACTGAATTTCTCATTTGACCTTGTGTTTCATCCCAGGAACTTTCTCAAATGATCCCAAAATCCGAGGTGGGAGTTCTGTCAACGGATTCTAAAAATGTGGTTAAGTTGATTGAGAGCGCCTACAATGTAAGTTGTTTCTTTGCTACTGACTCATCCTTTTTCCTTTGTGTGTGTGAAACTATCCATTGTAACAAATCAATTTTCTTTTAAAAGTGTTTTTTTGTATATTTGTCTCTCACAACACGTCCATAACAGAGGTTGTCCTCCAAAGTGACTCTGACCCATGATAATCTGCCTGATAATGTACAAGTTATCTACACACCCAAGTGCAAACATCCAGGACCATCAGGGGAGACTGAAGGGGTTTGTGAAAATGTACAAGTGGGACAGGAGGTCAGTTCGTTTTGTACTTTTCAGTGTACTTCTCAAAGGGATGTTCATAAATCAAGTGCATATGGTTCTTCATCAATTTCATAGCTTGTTTCAAGACCTTTGAACGTGCCCACTGCTCTAGTCATTTCGTTCATTTGGCATTAATATCAAACTGCTATGGGGTAAAGCACAGTTTCTTCTTCATTGTTGTCTTTGTTGACATGTTACTGTCCCTCTGATCTTTTTGTATGCAGTCTTCCTCCTTTGGGTACATAACTAATGATCTTTTCCAACTTCCATGTCTTACAATACATTGTAAATGTATTAACAGTAATGGTACTGGCACCCATTACCCATGCATATCAAGTGGGGAAGAAATAGATATTGCTTCTCCCAAATCTAGTGTTCTATAGTTTGTAGAGGATCTTTGATGATGTAACAAAGCTCAGAGGTGTCAAGGGTTGAGACTCAAAAATCTCCTGACACTGTTGATCCATTATTTGACATTAGCATCTTTAATGTTGCATGTTCAATGAAAGTGCCTGATACTCATTTAGGATATGAGATTCATTGTTTTCTCACATGGAAAGATAAAATGGAGATTTTAAAAATGGGGCATTGGAGAGGTATAATGCAGTAAGATGAGTACCCTAGGGGATCAAGAATGTGAATATATTAAGTCTTTTTTAATATTTCCTAAATAGAGGTTATAATAATTTGTATATTAAAGTGTATTGCACTAACTGCATTGCATTTCTGCAAATTACTTCCCTCTCCAGATTTCTTTTGATGTCACAGTGACAGCATACTCATGCATGAAGGACAAGTCTTTTACTATTCGACCACAGGGCATTAAAGACACATTGACTGTGACCATATCTACAAATTGTGAGTGTCAATGTAGTGACCCAGGACCCAGTGGTCATACACACTGCAGGGGCAAGGGAAACGTCAGCTGTGGTATATGCAGGTAAGCTATATGTTCTTTTTCATTGCTCTGGAAGTTCAGGTTTTTGTTCAAATATTAAAATACACATTTGTTTTTCTGATATGCAAAGCTAGATGTTATAACTTATATGTTATATATATATACTTTATACTATACTATATATATATACTTATATGTTATAACACAGACAGGACAGTTTTCTTAGCGCTTTAACGAATAAGGGAAATGTCAAAGCAAGTGATTAATGATTCAAAGATTCAAGATTCAAAGATTTTTATTGTCAGTTACACACGCTCTGTGTATTGAAATTCTTGTGCTTGCCTTTTCTGGAAAGCCGACCAATTTTAAAATTAAAATTAAAATAAAAAATACAATATTTACATAAATGTACATGAAATAAAAATAAAAATGAGGTAAGGATAAGGCAGAAATGAGGTAAGGAGGAAAAGTCCAAAACTGAGCAGGTTGTAAAAGAAAAACTTAAATGAAATGAAATGTGTGGAATATAAATTAACAGTACAGTAACAGTAAGTGAAATCCTAACAAGCTAAAGTGCAGACCAGTTGTGATAGAGTTATAGGTTACTCATATATGTATATATATATCCATACCATCTTTCTCTATGAGGGTACATTGTCTCATCTATGGAGGCCAACTTATTTTGGGTCATGTAGGGCAATACCTGTGCTCTAGACTACATCACCTTTCCCCTACTGGTAGGTCACCTTCAACGGGCTCTGCATCAATTTGTATTGCACATTGGGTCAATTTAGAACATATCCACCACCGCCCTCTTCAATGTGATTTAACTTTAATGTGTTTACGGCACAATTCTAAAAAGGACCCATTGACACTGACCTCTTGGGAAATTCAATATTTGGCAATTAGAACTATTGGAAAGATAAATATACAAGTAAGTAAATCCTGGTTGTGTCCTCAGCTCTGTCCTGCAACACTTCACTCTAACAGGCTCTAACAGACACGAAAAATTGATTATTAATAGATACAATTACTGCTCCCTGGTCAAAGACACATGTTCATGATGGTCCCTGTACAGAAAAAACAAAAGAATTTTACCTATTTTTTGACCTATTTTTTGGGTGGCCTATTTTTCTGTTATTTTCTATTTTCAATCTAAATAAAAATGTAATACCCTGGAAGTGGCTTTGGTTTTATATTTGATTTAATTAATATTTATCTTGATTTATAAGAAATGCTGCTAACTGCTTGGGCGTAAATAGAATACTGCTGTTAGAAAGCACCATATTAGTTTGAAGGGATTCTATAAATAAAAGTCAGCAATACACTACTTTTGAATTAATTATTGAGTTGATTAATATATATAAAATCACATATTTTTACTTGTTTTCCGGTACTCAAAAAATCCTTAAATTAGAAACAATTAATAATAAAATGAATAATAGATTTTAGAATGGCTGAAACTAACAATAGGCACCTATGTGAATGTGGCGTCTAGAAGCTGAAGTATAAACACAGGACCCTACAAACCTATTATGAGTTAAAAGAGTGTAGAGAATAATAATTACAAAAGGATAAAAAATATACAAAAAATATAATGTTTTGCATAAGAAAAAGGGGTTTGGCTCATATAAGCAATGAATGGAAACCTTTTGGATATAATACATGACATACGAGGGACTGCTGGTGAAATAAATTCTCTCTTTAACATATGTTTTGTTACAATATACATTTTCCATGCCAATTTTAGGTTTTTATAAACCTTTCTAACTTGTCCTTATGCAGCTGCCGTGAAGGCTCCATCGGTCAGTTCTGTGAGTGCGACGTTGGTGGCAAAGACGAACCTGCCCTGCGAGCGTCCTGCCAGAGGCACAATGGCACTGAGTGCGAGGGGAGAGGAGACTGTGTCTGTGGCAGGTGCGAGTGTCACACCACAGAGGGTGGAAACAGTTACTATGGTGACTTCTGCGAGTGCGATGATGAACACTGCGAGAAGTTCCAGAATAAACTATGTGGAGGTAAAGTTTAAGTCAATTTGAAATTATCGACATTTCAAAGTAGTGCAGACAAAACATTTCCTTTGTGCAGATACCAAATACATTCTGTATTCTCAAGACCTAACACATGGGTGAAATGCTGTAAAATGCTATTCATTATTATTATATTATTAGTATTGTTAGTGACAGCAGATGAGGGAAGAGAGTGTTTTTCATGGGCATTGTTTTGGCATTCCAGGGCCACAATGTTTATACAAAAACACGTAACATACAGACCCATTTTTGGGACTATTGTGGAATTGGTGGGTTGTGTTAGGATCTTTTCTATATGACAATTATTAACGAGCATCTCTCTGTCACTAACGTTCCAGGACCTGGTTGTAAAAACTCCCCAGTTTCCTTCGTTCCTTCTAGTCCCTCTATTGAACTGCCGGTCGTTGTTGTCTGTTTTTTCATACTTTCTTGATTCTTGTCATTAATTCCTGAGGTTGTTTCCATTCGCCCTTAAGAGGGAATGCAGGATATGTTTGAACACAAATATATGCTTTAAAGCAAGTACACCACCCTTACTCTCCTTTATGCTCCTCACAACTTGTAGGGAATGGTAATTGCAAATGTGGCAAATGCGAATGCTTTAAAAGCCACGAGGGCTCAGCCTGTCAGTGTGGGGTGTCTGAGGAGGGCTGTCGTACCCCCAACAACACGGTGTGCTACGGGAGAGGGACCTGCAAGTGTAATCGCTGTGAGTGTAAGGAAGGATACCAGCAGCCCCGATGCCAGACATGCCTCGGCTGCACTGACCCCTGCCAGACCAAACTGTAAGGAATCCAAACTTCTACCTACTGTGACCTTTACTGGGTTTTACTCACACAATTACAAAAATGACTTGTTCACCAACAAAGATACTTCACCACTGAGCTGTCTTAACTACTGCAATTAACCTTGTTCTCAGGAACTGCATTGAATGTCTCGGCTTTGAATCAGGTCCCTTTAAAAAAAACTGCAGTGAGGCTTGCGTGAGCATTCATCATGTTATGGTGGATCAGTCCACCATACAAAGCAAGAAGTGCCATCAAAAAGACTCAGAGGGCTGCTGGATCAATTTTAATCTGGACCAGTTGGTCGGAGAGGATAACTACAAGGCTGAGATTCTGAAACAGAGAGGTAAGCTGTCATATGCTTACATTTACTGTATGAACCATTTTTTTCAATGCAGTTTTCTGTGGTTCTACTATTTGGAAAAAATCAACAGGACTAAGAATCGTTCGGGCTTTAAGCTATTTGAGCAGCTATGACGTTGATTATGCTCATGCATGCTAACATTTACTGGTTATTTGCAGAGGAGTAAGTCTATGCGGAAAGGTTTTATATAAAAAAAATAAAGAGAAATTGGACCTACTTTATTTTATTGATGTATTACTTCAGTAAACATTGTGATTGAGTTTATGGTCTGAACCTCTCAACCCTACTTTTTACATTCAATCTATGACCAAGTAATACAAAATACAGCTTAGGCTGTTTTAGAAGTATAGGTCACAAAATAATGTTGACCTGAGGATGGCGCTAGAGTCAGGCTGGAGAATCAAACCAAAATGTTCAAACCAAATTGCAAGGCAACTTTTGATTTCTGCAAAATTTAGGGACAAGAGCCGCACCACGCCTCATCCTTTTGATTTTTTTTTACAGCCAAGCATTTTGAAAGAAATACAACTTTCTGTTTTAATTCGTCTTCCTCCAGACTGTCCAGCACCACCAAGCATCGCAGCGATCATCAGTGGCTCCATTGCTTCTGTGGCTCTCATTGGCATCCTTCTGCTAATGCTGATAAAGCTAGTTATCTACACGAAGGACCTGAAGGAGTTCAAGAAATTTGAAATTGAAAAGAAGAATTCCAAGTGGACAGACGTAAGTCTCTTGCATCCAAGACACAAGACACAAATTTGGGTACACGGTTTCAAACTTCATCAGAATAGAGGCACTCATCATGAACAAATATAATAACGTACAGTCTGGGCTACAAAGCCAACAGATCAGTTTCAACATGCTCTAACCACAACTCCAACAATCATTACACGAGTTATAAAAGTATCAAACTCTATTGTGGACCCATTGATCGGAAATTTTTTTTTTAAAGGATACAGGGCCTGCAAGTACTTTTTTTTCAGGCAAATCTGAGACACAATTGATCAAATTTTAAGACACACTGATGACAGATGCAAAAGAGGAGAAATCAGCAGTCATAGAAATTGCAAGTTCATATTTAAACAGGAACGCCTTCTTGTTTCAGAAGGTTTTACATGAAATCAACCTAGAATAAACTGGCATTAACCGTAAAATTCTTCAGACTTCACAGTGGAAAAAAAGGTTAGTTTAAGGCAGTTCCCAGACAAACAAACAAAAAGGCCCCACCTGTATTTCTAATGCGCCCTATAAGACCCAGATCAAACGGCAAGTCTGTTACATCTGTTAACAGCAGCACGAAAAAAGGTAAAAGCAACAAAATATTAAGAGGCATAACGGGGTGTTCGGCAGTTTCTGCAATCAAGACCAAATGCAGAACATGTGAAGATGTGTGTAGCGCTCTGAGGCCAATTTGTGATCCCAATTGGAGAAGTTCTTCTACATTGGGGAGATTAACACATTATGTTGGGCATAAATAATCATGGGATTTTAGGATTTTCTTGTTACATCTCATTCGAAGACCATATCAAAATGAAACTGCAAATAATCTAATCTATATGATTTTTGTGTTGCCAGGGTGTCAGCCCAATGTTCCTTTCTGCCACTACCACTATAGAGAACCCAACCTTCACTGGAGAATGAGGATTATTGCTGAACTGCTGTCATTTACTCTGACTGATTGAAATTGCATTGCTTTTGTTGACTTACTATTCTAAATAAATGCTTATTGCTTATTATATTTACATGGGGAAAACTGCAATGCTCATAATATAAATGGTAGGAGAGTAGGACAGAGAATATTAAGAGTGGTTTGTACACGTCTACTGCAGAGATGTACCGCATCCAGGTAACCACAAGGCACCCTGAGTCAGCTATTACACACATATACTGGATCCATCATTTGAAGGCAGTAGCTCAGTCCACAGGGACTTAGTTTGCTAAATTGGCAGAGTGGTACCAGTCTCCCTCCTGAGCTCTGCCATGGTACTCTTGATCAAGGCACCAGGACCTGCTGCCTATGCTCGGGCGGCTTGAATTTTACTGCATGCTGTGCTGTTAAAAATACGTGTGGCAATAAAATTTGATATACATCTACAGTTTCCAGATGTTTCTGTCGATCATGAGAAACATCAGGGGTGGCATGGTAGCACTGTCGCCTCACAGCAAGAAGGTCCTGGGTTGGACTCCGCCCAGCGGCCTTTCTGTGTGGAGTCTTCTACAACGATGTAGAAGGCATCAATTTTGGTTTTGGTTCGGCCCACAGCAAGGATGGATGGTTGTTTAGTCGCTCGTCCCTGCAGGTGTTCAACGATGCTGCAGCATGACTGAAAAACATAACATGACCCCCTTAGCTCAGGTTCTTAGCCATGCAGTGGTACTAGTTTCTATTAAACTAGTAATTGAGTAATAGAATTCCAGTTTGAGCAGTTTCCTGCTCCTGTTTTGCAAAAATGTGATCTTCACTGGGAGTGTGTTCCTCCAAATTAAGTCCCCCTTCATTTTTAAAAAAGGAAGTGTGTGAAAGAATCCAAATCATCAGTTTAAAGCAGTTAAGAAAAAGGAAAAGTTCAACTGCTCACTGCAATGTGGTCTGTTAGACAAAATACGTCTTGTTCCTCTATGTCTAAAAATTCCTCACTGTTGAGGAATTGTTGTAAAGTTGTAAACACATTGAGACGTTCAGATTAGTCCTCTTTTGCCAACATCAATCTTTTTAATTGAAGTAAAATAAATATTTTTATTTGAGTTAATATGACTGAAAAACTGGCTTGTGGGATTTAAAGAGATGAGACTTACATTCCTTGTGAAAATACAACATTTCGCCCACTGCATCACTGGGACTTATTATGATCCTTGTCCAGCTGTGGGTGGCAAGCGATGGAGAAGCAGCAGCAGAGAAGTCATACATTTTAAAAACTGAAGGGAAGGGATCTTTCAGCCGAGGAAAAAGTGTAATGATGCAAGGAAAACTTCTCCTTCTGGTTACGGGAAGGAATTCTGCTTTAGAGCAAAGACAATAAAAACAACAACATGAAATTAAAATCCCCCTAATGAATATAGGGCCCCACCTTTGCTAATTCCCTGCCATGCATTTTGAAAATGAATTGCATTCCTTCTTAACTCTTTCAGTCTGAAATGGTTTAAAATTCTACAACTTATTGAAGATACACTTACCCATGCATTTCAGTCATATAGCTAGCCAATATGTTGACAAGCTGTCAACATAGCCTAGTCCAAAGTCTACATCACACAACTGGCATACATGAACAGAAGATAGAAGAAGTCCTAAAAGTAATTGAAAGGGTAAAGGGTGTATATCCACTCACCTTCATGGAAATGAGAAGGCCGACCTAGGGCAGCAAATATTTTGCTCCAGACCAAGATCCGTTGTATTATGTCATGTTCAGAAAATTAGAGAGAGCTCTAGCGATACAACTGAAACTGTTGAATGATATATGGCAAAGAACCATACATGAAAAGTAGAAGATAGAAAAACTACAGACCAATATCCCTAATCTCCCATCATGCTCATGCATCAAACAAAATTGCTATTTTAGACATTTTAAAAACAATTTGTTTTGCAGGATCATTAGCAAAATCACTAACACAGCACATAATAATAACACCTTGGCAGGACGTTTTGACAAAAGGGGTAGTGGGTATAAACTAATTCAAACATAAGTTGGAGTGGGAAGGGATGGATGCAAATGAAGGAAAGAAGGTGATAGTTTTTGTATGTATGTATGTATGGCTGAAACAAAACGGACTCAATGACATGTTATGCTCCATGAAAAAGACAGTAGTGGAGAAATGTGAGTCATGCAACTGTAAATAGACTGGTGACTCTGTGTTGATGGAGTGAGAAGGACTGCATGGTGGTAGACACAGAGGGCATCGAAGTTCAGTTTATAAGTGCTTTATTCAAATGATTTAATGGAATGGCGTTAATATACAAAATACGACTTATTTATGAGGTATTAGATTTAGTTCTCTTGTCATTTTATTATTCAATATTGGTTTTTTTAAATATCTTCTTAATTGTACACACTCCGGTACAGTAGATGGCGGCATGAACATAAACGTCCGTTTGCACTCCTCTAGTAACCTAAAAACAAGAAGAAGAAGAAGAAGAAGAAGAAGAAGAAGATCCTCAATGCAATTATTTGACGAAGCAACATGCCCGCACAGGCAGAAACCTCACTACAGTAATTTGAGGTTAGGGTTAGGGTTAGAGTAGGGACGGGGGGCATGGAGCAGCGGGGCGCGGAGCAGCGGGGCGCGGAGCAGCGGGGCGCGGAGCAGCGGGCTCAAGCGGTGCTCACGGTTCGTCTGGTCCGGTCCTTCGAGCACAGGAACTTTAGACCGCTCGTATTTCACGGAGTCAGTTTGGACGGAACGGTGCAGGACTTCGTTCAACTTGTCAGGGACGGTAAGTGAACAGAACGACAGACCACATCCTGTCATGATGTATCGCACGGTATTATGACGTCATGGTAAACCCTTTCAGATATTGCAACGAGACCAGGACTTCCTCCGCCATTCAAGACGTTCGCGTATGGTACGTATGCCGGACATTTGTATTGGTCTTTTTGTCATTTATAATAATCTCTTCTGAATTGTTTTTACTCCCATTTATTTGATTGGTTTTATTAGTTGCGCCGAGAGCGAAAAGTGGCCGGTGTTACGTCCATAGACACGTATCAAGGATGAATGTGTTACGGCGGAGGATAGAACGTCCGCACATGGCGGCCATCTTGGGGCGGGCAGCTCGCTCACCCATGTTTGTGGTACATGTAGTGTACCTATTTTAGATTATTCAGTTTTTTTAGAACGTAACATATTTTTTCATAGCATGTATGCAGTGTCATAACTACATCTCTGACGTTTATAACAAACCAAACCGTTTAAAAATCGGTTGAAAATTGAGCAGGTTATGGTTATTTAAAAAGTACATGTATCACACACAACTTTATGGGTGAGCGAGCTGCCCGTACCAAGATGGCCGCCATGTGCCGACGTTAGACTCCGTTGGCCGGCAAGGCGGACGAGGCATCTAGCCTTTATTCAATTCAATTCATTTTATTTTGTATAGCCCATAATCGCAAATTACAAATTTGCCTCAGAGGGCTTTACAGTCTGTACACATACAACATCCTCTGTCCCGAAACCCTCCATCGGCACAGGAAAAACTCCCCAAAAAATGAAAAAACCCTTCCAAGAGGGAAAAAAGGGAAGAAACCTTAGGGAGAACGTCAGAGGAGGGATCCCACTCCCGGGATGGACAGACTACAATGGATGCCATGTGTACAGAATGAACAATGTATAATACATGCAATTCCTATGACAGAAATGATTCAAGTAATTGTGAGTAGTAAGCCAGGCGCACAGCAGGACCACTGCAGGGGCAACCACCATCAGATAGAACCACCATCACATAGAACCACCATCACATAGAACCACCATCCACAGGAGCCTGTGGGAGAGAGAGCACAGAGACTTAAGGAGAGGGTAATGTCGGTTTATGACTACAGTAATATGATTCATATCTAAAATAATAATGATGATGATGATGGCAGCAGCAGGCGTCAGCAGGGCCACGGCAGGTGTCAGGACCAGGGTCCCGAAGGAACCACGATCTACGGAGACCTGATAGGGGGGAAAGCACAAAAAGAACTCCCGGAAAGAAGCTGAATTAGTCATGTGCATTAATAAAACGTGAATTATGGTAGAACGAGAGCGTGAGAGAGGAGCTCGGTGTGTCCTAAGAAGTCCCCCAGCATTCTAAGCCTATAGCAGCTTAACTAAGGGCTGGTCCGGGCTAACCTGAGCCAGCCCTAACTATAGGCAGAATCAAAGAGGAACGTTTTACACTTTATATATGTCTATGGTTTTGTCCCAACTGGTTTTCCTGCGTGTGCATGTTTTTGTTCTTCTAACAGCAGCAGATGTTGTCTGCCCCTGTCACCTGATTCGTCACACATTCACAAACATATTACTTCAAAATGCCCTTTTCACAAAGGCATGTTTTTTTTCTTTTTCGCAGGGGCACATTCGGTTTTCAGAACGGCACAGACCGATCTCAGTTGGGCACATAGATATTTAAGCAATAAGGTATGAGAGGCTGTACTTTATCGTCCAATAATGTAACAGTCCCTGGGCATTGGTAGGCGGAGGGCCGGCAACCCTCGAACTGTTACATTATTGAAGATAAAGTACTGCCTCAAGTACCTTATTGCTTTTATAATACAGCTACCGGCAAAAATAAATAGTACGTAAATAGCTGCCTTTCAGCACAAAATAGTATTGGTCACCAAACGTTGTTTATCGCATTTCAGTAGTCTAGAGAAAAATAGTCCCCGTACGTGCATGTAAACAGCATTGGGTCCCCTTCAAATAAGTTTGAGAAGTATGGATTAGGTAGACAGTGCAGTGTTTCCCCAGGTGTTATAATGATGGGAAACCCTGAACTGGTGGTTGGTTATCAAAACATTGGCCAAATGATTCAGACTTTCAGACTTTATGAACAAATACAGAATCCCTCACATTAAGCACATCACTTTATTTAAGACGCTGCGCTACTTGCAAGTTGCTGCGTTGTGCCAGATTCACAATGAAGTTAGAAACATTTACGGCAAATCCACGGTCATGAAGATAATCTTTTTTTTTTTAGATTAGATTAGATTCAACTTTATTGTCATTGCACAGGGTACAAGTACTGAGGCCACGAAACGCAGTTTAACATCCAACCAGAAGTGCAAAATAGCAAAAAGTGCAGAGTATGTGCATATGTAAAGTGTAATAAGTGAGTAAATAGATAAGTACAGTAAGAAATAGTTGTGCAATATGAGCAGTAAGAAATGGATATACAATAACAGTGCAAATGTTCAGTGGCTGGAGGAGGGTGTGTGGCAGTCAAGCGAGGGGGGAGTACAGTCACTGAGGGAGATGTGTACGTGTGGGGGTCGGGGGCAGAGTTCAGAGTTCAGGGGGGGCAGAGTTCAATAGAGTGACAGCCGCAGGGATAAAGCTGTTCTTGTAACAAGTAAGCTGGTTGAAAGTCATGCAAAAAAGGATCAGATCAAATATCACAAATTGTCAACTAGAAATCAGTGTGAATATCCCGCCTGATGCTCACTGAGATTAGTCACCCAAAGGCTACATTGGAGAACGTGTGCTGTGTGAGGTAATTAGGAATGAAACTCAACATCTGAGATGGTGGTGATTGGGTGTTCAGATACATTACATGTCAGATACATGCTCTTCATCTGATTCTCTGGTTCTGTACTTTTTAGATACAATGAAGATTATCCACCAAGCACATGGAGCAAAGGTATCTGTCTGTCGAACACAACTGACATACCTTTTGTAAATGCCATTTGATTGTTGATTCTGCATACTGAAATAAGTGTCAAACCACCAGCCACAAGCGTTTATCTCATGGACACTCAATACTGTGGCTGCAATGTATGTAATGATGGTGCTTACAACAAAAGCACAAATTAGTGAGTAAACCCCATTGACCAATGGGAATGTTAATCAAACTCTACTCTACAAACACTACTATTTCATATTTGGTGGGGCTGAAAAATATAGGTATGTTACAGTAATTCTACTGTCTTTTGAAAACCTATGTTATCATTCAAGTATAAACCTTTTTCTTGGCAGACTAACGAGTTGGTGATGAGTTTGGATGATGATGAAAATCTCATTCTGCAAGACAACCAAACCCTTAGAGCTGCTGGCGTTGGTAAGAGTTTGACTTTGTTCATTTTTTTTGAGCACTTTCTTCAGGGAACACCTGATCCTAAATTGAATTTTCATATATGCATATTATTATGTCATGTATAAACAGTCAAGGAAATAATTACTTGAACCCAAAACAATTTAGTAAGATTTTCCATTGACAATGTAATAAACGGTCTATAACCGTAACGGTAGGTTTTTGTTAACGCGGCTCAGTGTTGGAGGGCTCTCTGGCAGACATTTAGAGCCCTTTATGAACTCTTTGTGGCAGTCAGCATTGGATGCTGACTTTTCCCAAGGGAATTACCCACAAGTCATTGGGACGTTAAAAATGTAAGAAAAGGTAAACAAAGAGGATGGCACGTGTGTGTTCAAGATTATAATAATAAAATGTATTCAAAAAGATTAAACATAATACACTAAATCAGTCTATTTACGAATGTATTCATCAAATATTTAACTTTGTCATTCAAGCTTATCATTCCCTCCAGGAAATACACAAGACCACAAATTATCACTGATTGGTTTATTCCACTTATGAACATCACTCTCTCCAAACCATCTTCATACACCTTCGTTCCCCGTCATCACACCTCCTCTAATGAGCTGGTGTCAAACTAAAACTCACTTCGACATTCAAGCTAATATCATATGAACATATTGCACAGAAATTTGTAATGCACTTTATATTAGAGCAAATCCCAAAGTGCTACATGATAAAGCGGGTAAGTGCTAACAATAAAAACACATGGAGATTTTGAAAAAAAAAGAAAAAGGGCACGAGTTCACTCAAAGCTCTCCTAAAAAGGTGGGTTTTTAGGCCACGTTTAAAAGCATCCACAGTGTGGTGTCCTCAGATGATCAGGGAGAGGATTCCACAGACCGGGAGCAGCTGAGCAGAAAGCCCGATCTCCTATTGTACGGAGCGGGGGCTTCACCATGACTCTACTCTACATGTTTGGATCCTTTCCAATTTTTCACATGTTTGATGGGACTCGGGGCCTCAAGAGATGTAAAATGGAATCAAAGTCATAGCGCCACCTACTGGTAACAGGAAGTTACATTTTCTAGTATCCAGTAAACAACAAAGGTGCTTTTGATGCTCAACTTGTAAGTAAACGTGGCACACACATTTAGAGTCAAAGATGTAGTTGTCTGATATCATTTTAATGATTCAAAATGGTAATTCGGCTCAATAGCGCCCTTTACAAATATTAATTTAAGACGCCCCAACGTTTGACCTACAAGTTTGAAACTTGGTAGGAATATGTAACACAAGTAAACCGTACCGGAGGTAGGCCATTTAGATTTTTCTAGTCATAGGGCCGCCTAGTGGCAACATGTTTTTTATTTTACACCCTGCTCCTCAGAAATTAATCTGAAATCTCTCAATTGTTGTCAGGAAAGACCTATGACCTTTTAATCATGTTAAAGATGAAGTTTACAAAGCGGCATTTCTGGTGTCGCTCCTTATGGTTAACGGATTGACTCTTGGACGCTTTGTCCGATGGCCGCACAAGTTCTTGGCTGCGTTCTTAGCCGTCCGGCCGGTGCCCCGACATGCAGAGTATCGATGACCCGTCCAACGCTGCTCGCAGCTTTAATTAACATTTGTGTTTTATTTTTTTCAGCAAATGAAACAGAAGTGGCCTTCTTCAGGAAAGAAGACTACAGTCTCTACAAAGCAAATCCCAGAACTGCTTGGTGATCACAGGATTTTACTTGCTTTTCCTTTTGTTTACTACAGGTGTTAAAGATTAAGCATACCAGAAACAATAGGCAAACTTCATGTTAACGTCACGGTTTTTATATGTGGGGTTGTTTTTCAAAACCAAAGGAACAGTATATTGTCCACCACACTGGTATGCATTTCAATTGCAACTACTTTCTATTCTTTCTGGCTGTTGTGAAAATGGACAGTCATTTTCAGTATAAAAAAAAACAACATAATAAAGTTATTTAACAGTTTTTGGGATGTTACTTTTTAACCGTTGCTTATAATCAACAGAATATAACTTTGTTACAAATGGAACATGATAAAAGTAAAAATGACTTTCAAATATAAAAGCAGGCTGGACGTAATCAGTGCCATAAAAAAGAAATGGGAGAAAAAACATTTTTAAAAAATCTTTATTGGGTAAAAATATGGAAGAAATCCATCATGGAAGGTTTAAACATCCTGCCCCCGAGGCTTAACGTGTCATGAGTACAGTCAATAAAATGACTTAGATTTCATGCCTGCAATATGAATTAAACACACTTGATATAACGTAATATAATATCCAATAACAAACTATATTTCTAACACCACACATATTATAATTCCTACCTGTAAGCATGCTCTTCTGCTTAAACACCTGTCATAAAAACAGCCGTTCTCTAAAAAAGTGGATCCACCCACTCTGCTTTTTAGCTGCTTGTTGCTGTTGTGTCGCCCGACAGATGCTTGACTGACAATTGACTCTCGGTTGCACAACCAGGCCCGAAACACATTGACGAGGGAGAGTCAGGTAGATAGGAAGAGCTACATGGAGAAGCTGAAAGATGCCTTGTCAGAGTGGAGGCCTGCAAGTACTGACTAACTACAGGAGCGCCCCAAAAAATTGAAACTTCCACTAAGCTTACCACTCCCCTGGAAAGAAATGGCAGCTCCCTCCCCGGAGATACCATTGATTAAGGAACAATATTAGATTATTTCATAGGGAGAGAGTTCTTTGCCAAGATCCATTATCACATCACAATGACTTCCTGTACGGGCGTTAACGATGCTGCAGACAAGGAATCATTTAGTTACAAGAAGGCATTCTTGAGCCGTATACAGTCAACAGCGCAGCCGAGCATTGACTGTACTGAAGGCTTGCATGCATAGCCTCATGCTGAAAGTTGAAAGTGGTTCCTTTGTGTCCAGTGTCGGCGATGCGGAGAACGCACCGAAAAGACACGGCACGCCGTGCTGTTTTTAATGTTTTCTTTGACCATTATATTGTACAAAACTAGTAGAGAACTGAGCCAGAACCAACTTCAGCCAGGAACATCATGTACTCATCACAAACACATATATAAATAAATATTTATTCATATTTTTAATTTCCTGAATAATTTTGGCGACGGATGCCCTTTTGTTTTGGTTTGATTACCTGCCCCCCAAAATGTCTGTGCACCTGCCTGCTCTTTCACCTTGTTTTTATCAACTGTTTCTCAAAGAATTGAATTATTTAATTTTTGGTAGCAAGATCTCATTGGATGATAGATTCCATGAAGTATATTTAAAGAAATAGAATCTGATTACTTGGGGTGATGAGGCACTTAAAATGGGCCAATACATTTTCCCAATACTTACGCATCTAACTTGTCTGCGATATTTTGCTGTGCTTTTTGTTTTACCCTCTCAGCGGTGATGGTGTGGGATTTTGACATGATTATTTAATTCATTTTATTTAGTATAGCCTAAAATCGCAAACTTGCCTCCGAGGGCTTTACATTCTGTACACAGGCAACATCCCCTGTCCTGAAACCTTTCCATTGCCATAAACTCCCCAAGAACTGAGAAACCTCTGAAGAGAAGAGCAGCGGAGGGATCCCTCTCCCAGCATCTGCAATGGATGTCAAATATGTTAAAAATGTACAATACGTTCAATTCATATGACAGAAATGATTCAAATACAAAAATGATGGTCTTTAACTCCTCATATGCATTTGTGATTAATTCCTGCTCGTCAGCAGAGGAAAAAAGAGGCTCTTCCTTTGACTTTATTTGCCGCTGTACTGTAAGAAAATCATGGTCTTCGGGGATCGCCTCTTCACGTGCAATCCTTATTGCTGAAGTCGGTTTAAGTTAACGAGACTGGATTGACAGCGGATCAGGTTTTGAGGAACCAAGATCCCCTAATCATCGAGTGAGTTTAAAGTTCCTAACGGGACATTTGACTTAAACTGCGTACGAGGAACGTGTCCCGGTGGTAACTTTTCAGCTCTGCGGATCCGAAGTGTAGCCAATTAGCTTGTAGCCTGATTTGTAGGTGGCCTCTAGCTTTGCACCGACTGGGCGATTCTGATGAAGACTGGTCAAACTGGTCAAACGGCATTGATATTTAAGATGTAATACTGTACACTTACTGCTGATCAAATTTATTATAGCTCCACTGTCTCTGCGTACATTTCAAGTTACAAATTCTAATAGGGTCTACTTCCATAACACAAACCCGCCCAGCTGAATTAAGAATGAATTGTAATAAATAATGAATATATAGTTTATTATTTATAACAAGTCATGCCCCCCCCGTTCACTAGGGGGAGACGTTCCCACAGAACACCTCCGAGCAGAAGAAGACGCTCGCGTGCAGCTCGGCGTCCGGTGGACTTTGCTCTCACAGTCATCTCGCCCTCTACTAAAAATGGCAGATCTCCAGGTATGTGTGCAACAACTGTGCACCATTTCGGCATTTAGCAGCTATGTTTTCAGGTAAAATGAGCGATATTAGTTAACGTTAACTAACTAGAATAGCAGTGCGCGCACGAGCGTGTTGCCTTGTCGCGAGCCGATGCTAAATATGCAGCATGGCAGCTGCCATCGCGCTTCGCTCCTGTTCTCTCCAGTAGCGATCGTTAAATGGATAAATGGACCTGAAACTCACCGTTAGAACGGGAATTGTCTCCGCGTGGACATCTTCGCTGTCTCTGCCGAGTGTTGCTAACAGCTTTTAGAAGACAACTTGTAACATGCATTGATTAGTAAGATTGGACCCTTAAAATAAAACATGTTGGGGGATTGCGATGTAACTTCTAAAGTCCTGACGCCTCCGAGTCCTGCGTGCAGTGTGTTTGTCATCTGACCAGTAGAACCAGTAGAAGCGTTTTGCTGGAAAGGTATTCAGACGTTGGAGGCCTCCACAAACAAGGAAATGCCCGTCAGCGGGGTTCCAGCCAGCCGCCCTTTGCTCCACTTCACCGTTTCTATAAAAGATTAACCAACGTTACGTTTCTTCACATCCCAGCGTGTGTGTGTGTGTGTGTGTGTGTGTGTGTGTGTGTGTGTGTGTGTGTGTGTGTCCAGTTTCACTTTAGATGTTTAGTCACACTGAATATATCTGCATGCATTAGCTTCAACATCAATACTTACTACTGGAACTCTACCTTCTGTATCTCAATGCAGATAATTCACTGCTACTTTCATATGTTCGTTCTTTCAATCCAACGGAATTCTTCTTTTTTTTCATCAAGTGCCAGACAGGACACAGCAAGCACTGCGTTAATGTGCCCTAGTTATTGCACAGTAGTTGTACTGCTACATTCGCAACCTGTGACCTTCTGTCAGCGTCACCATCAACAGCTCATGGTGGTATCTTTGTTCTCTCCTCTGTAGGCGAAGTTTGATGAAGCAGCAGCTGAGGTGAAGCAGCTGAAGGCGAAGCCGACGGATGAAGAGATGCTTCAGGTCTACTCCCTGTTCAAGCAGGCCACTGTGGGTGACGTCAATACGGGTGAGACGTTGCTGCCTGTCAGATCGTCCGTTACAATAGTCTTCTCAAAACGCATCTAAAGTAATAAACTCATTGTGGCCCGCGAGTCAAAGGGTTTGCCCACCCCTGCCTTAGTGCCCGATCACCTCCCTCTTAAAGGGACATGTTATACGGAACGTTGATTATTGAAAGGTAGACTGTTCGTGTTGGTACCTGTTCAGAAAAAAGAAAGAAGACTGATATGGTGTAACAATTCCCCCTCCGGTTAAAAATGTACAACGCTAAAAAGGGAAAGGGCGGATTGACTGTCAATGGTAATTAAGTCAGATGTCATGATCCAAAACAAAAACACTCTTGCGTCACTTTATATATACAGGCCACACAGTAAATAATAATACTAATAATAACGATCCCAATTCCCCGTCTCCTTGTTTAGGCCCAAATGTTGCCCATACAGCACTTAAAGTGTAAAAGAAAAAGTTTCTCCCTTACTGGTGCCGTTTTACAGAGGCAGACATATGCGATCTTTACAATGGGAGCTTTCCTATCCGCCGACCCAAAATGTTGATGTTTTGTTCCCCGAGCCACTTGGTAACCCTTTTTCCTCCTTTATGGCAAGGATCCGTCATGGTGGAAAAGGTTTTGATTGTCCCCAAACCACTTTGGGTTGGTTGTGTGCGGTTGATCTCAGAGAATGTTTTGGTACCATTATTTATTCATTGGAGCCTCACACATGACAAATGATATCAGGTTGTAAGCCTTTTAGGGCAGGAAACCGTGGTGAACTAACTGAACATAATTTACTGCCCATTCACAGTAATAGCTGGAATCTTACGATCTTTGTTGAATGATGAAAAGCTTTTGAAAATATATTATTTCTGTTAGCAGTTTAGTGTACGTTGTAATTTACAGTTACTTCTGGTGTAAAAGTAACACAGCATTTCAGCGCCCCTCCTCACTTTCTTTGTGTGTCTTGTCTTTGAAGGACGCCCAGGGATGTTTGACTTCACTGGTAAAGCTAAATGGGATGCCTGGGAGAAACAGAAAGGTAAAAAATCCGTTTTGTAATTGGTGATGCTCTGAACATTTGTATTCTGTCTCAACGTAGTCAAACTATCTGAAAAATCTTCACTCATTTGGAATATCAAATGAGTTTATTGTACTTGCAGGATTTTGCCTCTTCTCAATTGCACTGCATTCATTTTCAGATTCAAAGCTTAAGGAAAAGATTTCAGGACGGTTGATCCGACCGAGCTAAAGCTTTGTTAATGTAGATGTCTGGTGCCTTCTTGCAGACGTTGTCTCATCAGTTTAATGTTTTTGAATATGAGAACAAATAAATACAAGAATAATCAAATCAATATTTTAAATGGGAAATATTAAGAGGAACAAATAAATGTGGAATGTATAGAGATAAATAACTCCCCATTTGTATTGATGTATGTATGCATTTGGTCTTATTTACTTTTTGGTTTTGATATGCATTTGTATTGCATATGCAAGTAATACATTTGTAACTCTTACTTTATTTATTTTTTATCTGTGGTGGAATTTAGTGGATTTCCTTGTGAGAAATCCAAAGTATCTTTACTTTACTATATTATATTACTACTTTATTTACACGACTATGTCCTGGCAGCAGCTAACAGTAGCCTTCTGTTTGTGTAGCTACAGTAGCTAGCTAGAGATTAGATTTATTTAATTCTGTTCCCCCTCCTATTAGTACAGTCTGGAAGTTTTTCCGCTGCTCACGGCAGTTCTGCCTTAATGGCCACATACATCTAAGTTGAAGTGATTAATATTCCCCAAATTCCAATGAACTAATGGATACACTTCTGGCTCTTACCGAGGGGAAACATGGTAAACAGTTATTAGCTAACCCTAACCCAAACAACTTTTGTATCGTTGTGTGTCTATTTTCCAAATTGCTTTTCTTGATCCGTAGTTTATTTTCTTTGTTATGTTACCCCCATGACTCCATAATCCACCAGTTGTCACACGTCCTGTATGCGTTTATATCTTGAGATATAGTATCCAGATCTCTGCAATTCCTTTTGTCCAACGTTTAGTATTTCATTGGTAAAGTTGTTATCAGCCATAGAAACAACTACTAAATCTATGCAATAAAATACAAGTTTTGAGAAACCAGAAGTCTTATTTAATAATAATATTCTCTATGCACATTAATCCTTTCAATTGTTTGCTCTCGCCAAACCGAGTATTTGCAGTCCATTGTAACCAGGTTATGGACGAGCGGATTAAGTTGGGAAACAGGTGTTATTTTACTATCAAAGCCAATAAGTAGGCTTCATGTGAGACAGACCAGCAGGGTCCTCACGACTACTAACTGCATGCAACAAGAATTAAGCCTTTGTTAAAAGTTGCAATAGTCCCAATTGCTTTGTTCATTTATCCATGTTTTTCTAAAATGTATTTTGATTCACCATCAGGTAAGAGCAAAGATGATGCCATGAATGACTACATCAACCTGGTGAAGCAGTTGAAGGAGACGTATGGAGTTTAACCTCACTGGATCAACTGCCTGATGAATGGAGAACATTGGTAGTCCTCATACTGTAAAACGCCTTCAAATCCAACAAGTGTATCCTTAGACAGCACTTGTGTGTCTGGTGGCTTGCTAATGGTCTAGTTAAGATTACATACGCCTGCATAACCAATGATGTATGATCATGAACTGGCCACCATTACCATCGTTTTAATCAATGATTTCAACCATGTGTATCGGCACAGAATCCTGTCATTTTCAATATAAAATTGTTCTACTCTTTAGTGTGGATGTTGTTGGTTTCTGATTTTATTAATGTACCACTTTCACATATACTGTGTATTATTCAGTGTTGCAGTGGAACAACAAGACTGTAAAGCCTTATGCACAGCACACCATCTGTTATCCTGCGGGATTAATTGACAGAATGCTGATACTGCATTCCAATGGGTGATGGGAGACCGTTGATTTGTCGTGAATAAACGGGCTGCAGTGTTTTGTGATGAGAAAAGTGAATTACAATAGCACAAGCGTGACTAAATGAATGGATGTATAATAATCTTATTCAAAAGTTGAGACCACAGATCTAAGTTTACTGATTTTTCTGATATGAAAAAAATATGACAGCTGCTTAATATAGGGTCAAATGACATGGATTGATCAAAGACATCCTAAGGTTACGCAAGTTGCAGTGGGCAGCAGAGGAGAGTGGACCAATACTCTGCTTAATCATGGGGACAAACTCATCAAGTGCCATGACTTGAACTTCTGTCCTGCTGTTGTTCACTTGTGAGCAGTTTTCTACTGTCCAGTCCACAAACCAAGAACCTAGTTACTGTGAAAACCTCCCGGGGTTTAAATGAACCATGGAGTTGTATATCATCTGCATAAAAATGATACGCAACATTATAGCGTTTTACAATTGCTCCTAATTGTAACAAATTAAGAAAAAATAATAAAGGCCCCAGGACCGAGCCCTGTGGTGCACCACAAAACAATGGAGCGATATCAGACTCACCCTCAGACACAATGAAGCTTCTGTCAGCAAGGCAAGAGGTAAGCCAGTCTAATGCTATTCCAGAAATGCTCACCCAATGCCGTATTCTCCTAACCAAGATATTATGGTCTACAGTGGAACTGAGGTCCAGAAGTACTAATGAAGACCGGTCATCTGCATCTGAAGACTGAGATGAGTTTCAGTTGTCTTTTTTTACAGAAGCCACACTGAAATTTGTCATATAGTGCAGCAGTGAGTTGGTTTGCCGCCACTTTTTTAAAGATTTTGGACAAAAGACAGTTTTGATGTGGGCCTTTAGTTTATTTGCAAAGTTGGATCTAAATTGGGTTTCTTCCATCCAGAGTGTATAGTGGCATGCTTAAGGTAAGCCTCGACAATTCCTGTAGAAAATGAGGAGTTGACAACTGATGTTACTGTAATTGGCAGAACTTTACAAAAAAGAGGATGGTATAATATCCAAGGGGCAAGATGATGGCTTTGTTTTAATAGTTAAAACCGTCAGGTCTTGAAAGCTGATTATAGGGTGGAAAGAGTCCAGAACAGTGGGAGATTGAGAAGAGCTAACCATAGATTAACCCCTCCCTAGCTGAAAACTGGCTTGATAATCAAAACGTTTTTCTTACTGCTCATTTAGGGAGTCATTGTCTTATCCTGTTTATGGAATGCAAGGTCAGAAAGAAAAGCAGAAAGTGCCAACCGGGCAGACACAGTTTTGATAAGGATGAGAGTTAGAGACACATCACGCACTATACAACACTCACGCTCGTGCTCATTATTTTTCTTTTAACGTCAGGAGACCACACATTGTATGTGATTGGATCTAGTGTTCTAGTTCAGGGCTGATCTTTTCTTTTATATCTAACAACAAGTACGAAACCTAATGTTTTCCCTGAATGTTAGTTGTTTTCCGGCTGGACGGGCCGACAGAACTGCTCACTGCCTCTACAAATGCAGCGCTGATACTTTATTACTGTCAGATATCCCCAACCGGGCTTCCAATTTTGAACATGCTTTCAGACTCTAAGAGCTTTTCAATAAAATACGTAAGGAACATGTTACAATCATCTACAGAACAGCATGGTAATGTAACATGAGGTGAAACAATTCTCTTAATTGTGTCACACAAGATTTGTGTGACGTACTGCTGCAGCACCTCCCCGCCCATCTGCTCAGAATCCTTGTGCTCGGTCAGGTGGAGGTAAAGGTGCTCAACCTGCTCAAAAGCCCTTTCCTCGTCTAATGAAATGAGACCAGTTCTGATGCAAAAAGAACCATCCATCCATCCATCTTCAAACCACGTATCCTACACACAGAGTCTATCCCAGCCAACTTCAGGCGAGAGATGGGGTACACCTTGGACTAGTCGCCAGCCAATCGCAGGGCTAAGAGAGACTAACAACCATTCACACTCACATTCACACACCTACACGTAATTTAGAGTCCCCAATCAACCTAATCCCCAGTACATGTCTTTGGACTGTGGGAGGAAGCTGGAGAACCCGGAGAGAACCCGCGCAGACACGGGGAGAACATGCAGACTCCACACAGAAAGGCCACTGAGTCGAACCCAAGACCTTTGAGCTGTGAGTGCTAACCACCACTCCACTGTGCCGCCCCACGGTATCTTGGTTCACCGAGAACCAGAGAAATCCAAAATATCCCAAATTAAGGACACATTGTCCAGTACGCTTCTATAAGGCACGCAGGAGGTCTGGTCTTTGTGGATGACCTGGCCCATCACCTCTCTCATCCGGTTGGCCAGTGCAGGATTTTGTAATCAGAGCACAGAAGGGAGGCCAGTTCAGCTAATCTTTACATCTTCCGGGACCTTTGGTAGCTCTGCACAGATATACTCAAATGGTTCATCATCATTCTTTGTTCATCATTATTCTAATATTCTTCAGAGTAAAGCTCAAAGTAAAAGCTTGCTCGCATTCTGTTTGCATCTCCTGCCCCTAATAAGAGGTTTATATGTCACGGGGTGGACGATTGGGGACAATTGCATGATTTATTGATTTATGATTGCATGTTTTATTGATTGCATATTTGTGGGGTTAGGGTACGTATTGTGTGCTTTGCTTTGCGTTGTATCCTCCATCAATTAACAATCGTCCCCAGTGACAAGCTACCAATTAGTGGCATATGGCCAATGGAAGAAGAAGAAGAAGACACGCTGCTGTGTCGGCTGCTTCTTCTTCTACTGCAGCAGCAGCAGAATAAGAAGCAGACGCAGCAGCAGAAGCAGAGGGCAGCTGGCAGTCAGAGACATAGACAGAGACGTCGGAACCAATTTATAATTACGTGCAGGACTTCGCTCTGCTGCGGTGTAAATTTGGATGGACTATTTTAGCTTTTCCTATATATATTTTAATCATTCTATTAAAATAAATAATGTTTTATTAGTATTTTCGCCCCTGTCTCCTCTTGGGTCTTTGTTCCACTGCTCTCCCCTAAACATACAAATCTTGTTTTTAATTATTTATTTCGAGTTCCTAGGGCTCTTAGTACTTACCTTGTTGGCGACACAAACCTCGGCCGCTGACATATAGCGTGGATAACTCTGCCCCTTCTTGTTCTCTAGACCAGGGATTCCAAAGTGTGGTGCGGCCGCGCAAGACGAAAAATGTAATGGTGGTCTCTGTAATAATTAATCCTAAATATAATTGTTTTTTAAATAAGTGGGCAACACGTGACAGCAACAGTGAGGGCTGTCCGAGGACGAGTGATTTAAAAATGGACGGAGTTTGAACAAGTTGCGTTTGTCAAGAACTCGGACAGACAACCTGAAAACACACACACACCTTGACCTAAAGGAATTTTACAAGATATGTTTGGTTAACTGGCTAATAAACTCAAGAATGTTAGAGGTGTGTTCTCCGTTAAAAGGAGGATAATGTTGTATATCGACTACATTTAGTTATATTGTTGTAGCAATACAACTGCTTTTTGGACCTCAGTGAACACTGTCTCTTTGTTGTTATTGTAGCGCATGCGCTGTAGGCATTGCAGAGTTCTATGGCTGAATAAAGTGAATGTTACGCAACACGTGGTCCGCCAATAAACAGTTTTTATTCCTGCTAATAACCACAAATGCTCCTACCAGATGCACAACATATCAAAGGATTTCAAGTTTGCAGGTTCTCATCTGTTTGATGCTAAAAACAGCGACATAAGTGAGGAGCCGTTTGTGATGATTGTGTACAACATGGTATTGGGAGCCAATCTCAGGTTGGTCACGGGTAGCGGTGTGTATTAGTGTGACAGGGAGTCTACATATGGGAGCACAAGTGCAATTGACACGGGTAATGATGCATGGGTGAGCTAGTCCAGACGCTGTGAATCAGGAAGCAAAGCGTATACAGTTGTGTTTTATAAAGTGTGAAAAACGAATGAACGGGAACTTCACCCAAAGAGACGAAAGACGTGGAATCTCTGTGTTAGCGAGTTAGGAACAGGATCTTCTCCTGCCGAGTGGCTTACGGAAATCAGCTATAGATGCCGTTTACCTAATTGCAACCACCATTTTAAAAACCATTCTTCTTATGTTCATGAGGCATTTCATTGCCTTGCAGCAAACAAGGCAGTACACCAGTAAGTTCCCTTTGCTCTGGTTCCCATCTATCAGCTATTCCACAAAACAGCAGATCACAAAAGTATTTTATAATCGTTACAAAAAATGGTTTAATCTTTAAAAAAGCATGTGTGTTGTTGCATGATGAATGAAAAGTGATGGAACACGAAGGTCTAATGAGGAGGATGTGGATTAAAAAACACACTCTGACAAAGTCGCAACGCAGCCTCATTTGAGAAATATTAGTGGAGGAATTTCATGTAAAATTGTATTAGTATACTTTTGTGAATACAAAAGACTGTCATTTAGTCTAATGGCTTTAACTTAGAACAGAATGCACATTTTTGCTATGTTTTATGAATATGTAAGCTGTATCAAGCTGTAAAAATCAATTAGTAGAGGCACTGTTGTCTACTTATATTGTCGGTGAGCAGTGTTAATGTATGACGTGTGCATGTATATATATTGATTTATGTGTGTATGTGTGTTTCTTATCTCCGCCAGTACAACAGTTGAAACACATTTTCTTGTTGGTCTTGTGTGTGTCAGTCTAGACACAGTACACTCCAGCATCCTCATTGTGATGGCAGTTGTTTACCCCAACCCCTCCATGCGCGCAGCTAAAGATGTCAGACTCTGTTCCTAAACATTTCAGGTCATCCAGCCAGATCCTCCCAGACCCTACAAAAGGAGAGCCGTAAGAACAAAGCATACAGTCAGCCAGTGCTTTTTTATATTTAAGGGCAATAACAAAGGTTACATTTGACTGTGGTGCTAGGTGGGGGAAGTACTTTGATACTTTGTAAAAAAAGAATAATTGTAAAACCATATTTACTGTTAAAAGTAAAATTGTACATATATTTTATTTATATATATAAATAAAAAATATGTATTTATATTTATTAATGTTAAACTTGGTCTGCATCCATTTAGTTCCATATAGTTTATTGAATGTCAAACACCATGACATACATGAGTTTATTGATCTGGGTGAAACAAATACAAGCATTTTTAACCAGTGCAGAACACTTTTAATAGCTTGCATACGCAGCCAGTGTTTTGGTTTAATGAGTGACCTTGTAAACTAGTCACTGCTTGCTTGTAGTGAAGAAAATGAACATGCTGCTGTCCTTGTAAAAGCCCTCAGTCATTTAAAAATAAATAAAAGGACTGAGGGACTGAATAAACACAGATGAGTATCTGTGTTTATTATCTACACCAACCAGTGACTGCTACTACGACAAACTGAAAGTCACACACCGGACGCTCTAAAACACTCCTGCGGCAATTATGCAGAACTTGAGTCAGGTGTTCCTTTCCTTCTACTTCATACACTACTTCCTTACTTCTCAGGATGACTGGGGAAAATGCTGCTTTTATTTCCAAAATGCATGCATTTTTATGACAACGCTGGCAGTAAAGGGGTCTATTATCGTTCTCAATAAATAACGTTTGGAAAAAGATTTCAGCTGTAAAGTTCAGCTGTTTAAACATGATTAAGTGTAGGTTATTGTTTACAGTATTTAATATTTTTAGTATTAATATTATCATCAGTTACAATTGTATAACTACCACTATTGAAACGTTTACTTTTTTATTTCATGCAGTGTTATTATTATTAGTAGCATTTTACTATTTCTACATCTGCTACTATTACTACAACTGCATTACAACTGCATCCGCTCTTCTCTGTTCATTTGACATGATGTGCGGTTGGCAGCGGATTTCTTACCCGGGCTGGCAGTGAAGGTCGAAAGGGCCCTTTGGAAGCCCAGCATCTTACAGATCACTTTTCCATCCAGAGTATCAAACCCGTCATCACACACGGTGCCCCAGACGCCATTGTGCTTCACCTCTACTCGTCCTTGGGCTCTCCCCGGCACAAGACGCACTGTCACTGTGGGGATAAAAAGCTGTTTAAAGTTTTTTTTTATTGGCAGTAGCTTTAAGCATCAAGATATATCTTGTTTTCAACATTGCTCTCAGGCCAGTCACGTGTGAAATTACCCTCTGGTGAACTTCCTTGGTCCCCCTTGTCTCCTTTTGGACCTTGTGGTCCGAGACTACCTGTGAAGAAAACATTTTCAAATTAATCTTCCAACCAATCTGATGGTTTACTTGAACTGGTACACATTTAATCCATCCAGTATTGAACAACAGTATTGAACTGGCAACCAAACAAACTGGACTGTTACGTTATTTAGTGCAGTAGGTAACGGGAAGGCTCATTGTCCCCCCCAACCATCGGCCGGACCGTCCGCGTCCCCCTCATCCACCCCCCTTGGATGATTTGGGTCGCAGCTTGTCATTTAGTTGTGGTGGTGGGACATGCAGCCAGACCACTGCTTTAGGTGCATGTGTGAACTAATATGAAAACCACAGAGTGAAATACTGACCTTGGACCAGATGCTTACATTTTTGTAAAGATTCACCATTACAGCTGTTTACGCAAGACTAATGTATGCATAATGTGAGGTGACATTCCATGTCTCAAGAGCTCGTCCTCCTCAAGGGCCCTCCGCCCGGTGAGCACAGCACCCAACCCCGATGCTTAACCCCAACGGTCTACAGGGGGCTGCTCTATCTATTTTCTTTGGGGTGGAGGCTCGGCCACCAGACACTTGCTAGCGAGATTCTCTCCTGGGTCTGGCTCCAGGAAGCTGCCGCAGTTTCCCTGGTCCGGGTGAGGTTGCTAAACGCTAGGGGTAGACTGCTCTCAGTCTGGAATCTCCCCATAGACCTCTTTGCTTGGGAAACGCTACCATACCGGCTGATGCCCTGGACAACATAGCTCACAGAGTCACTGGGCCGCCACGCCAAGCTGACAATTCTTGGAGGAGCAAATGAGTGACTTCATTAAAGTTGTTAAAGTTAATGATTTTCAAAATAAAGGAAAAAAATATAGTTATCCATTATTTTTCTAATCCGGACTTCCTTTTCAAATGTAATCATAAAAATTATAAAGTTACATCCCTTACTTTTTATTTAATCTCTTCCTAATTCTTCTAAAACGTTGTATGCCTGGTCTGAAGTCTACTGTATGTTGTGCCCATCATTGCTTTATGTTACTTTAGTACTCACTCACCTTCAGTTCCAGGCGGTCCAGCTAAACCTGAAGACCACAAAATAATATCGCTGATAAATACAGTACAAATACAAATAAGTAGAATGAATCCACAATTTTCTTTTGAATCAATGGACGTAATGTGTGTGTTGCAGCAGTTAGGTCAGTGCCAACTGACCCTCTATTAAAAACAACAACAACCATAGATTAACAACACATGATACTCAGTGTGTGCACTTTAATTAAATCACTGCAGCTTTGAAGCAAAAATATCCATAGACACAGTTTCGCTCTAAAGCACCCAGACTTACAATTCCTTTTCAAAAAGACAAACTTTACAAATTAGTACCACTAAAAATTTTTAAGAGTAAATATCTAATTACGCAATGTCAAAACCTGATTCATCCATCCGTTGAGAATGTCAATTATTATTGCATTTTCTTCCCTTGTTCCACATGGAGATCAACAGTTGTTGGACCATGTAGAATGAAACGTGGTCCTATGAACTCTTTAACCACTTTCCAGACTCTTACCTTGACCCCCGGGTTCTCCCTTCTCTCCTTTTGCAGCGGGTCCTTGATTCCCAGGGGGCCCTGGGGGCCCAGGCGAACCCTTTGGTCCTGCACACAGAAACACACCGAATTATCAACTACCCTTTTTTTGACAACCATTAACAAATTATACCCATAACTTTAAGGAGGAAGAGAAACTGAATTTCATAGCTGCAATCTGCTCATACGTTTTTTCTTTTTTATTGAGGAACTGAGCCACTGTAATGTCATTTTTTCCTTCAACTCTGCCTGCTTGTTGTTTGCAAGTCAAAATGTTACATTTCTGTTTGAAGAACCTCTCGGTAAACATATAGACTGCCATGCAGCATCTCACACACCAATCTTTCTCTCGCATCGCTATCTTTATTCACTGGTTCGGCTTTTACCAAAGAAATTTGCTGATGATGACAATAAGAACAAAATAATTCCAATATAGGCAATAAATGTGACTGTTAACATGAGGATGTATATAAAATGTATATTTAATCATTTGTTAATTTGCACAAAACACAAAGCACAGCTGAGGTGATAAGAATCTCATTAGTTTTGCAAGTATGTGGTAGTGAACCAAAATGACACCAGGGTCCACGTGACTTGCTTGGCCTGAATTGGACAAATATTTTAAAGGTTTTGTCACATCTTGAGTCCAGCTTGGTCTACATGATATGCTCATTTTTATTTGTGAACTTGGTACTATATATTGTCTCTCTCTATACTTTGAATGGGAAACCTTGTACTGAAGGCCGCTTTGGGACTTAAGTTTCTTCTTAATAATAACAACCAGTGCAATATTCTGCAGATAATCATAATAAAACCGACCAACTTCACCTGCAACTCCTCGTTCCCCAGGTTCTCCTTTGAGACCCATTTCACCCTTCAATCCTTGAGGGCCAGCAACACCAGTGTCACCTAGAAGGAAGAATACAGATATGTGTACGATATGTGTGGAAGGACCACTGAAGCGTGCTGCATAATGCAAACAAACAGTGACAAATAGTCTCTATGGAGTCAAATCCAGGTCATAAGTTTTGTTCATTTGAAAAACAAAAGAACCTGAACCTGAAAGTTTTGGTTAAAAAATTTAAAAATACAACAATACATTCAAAATAAAAAGAAGTGTACAAAAAGTATTTTGGGGATGAATATAGTTTTGACTTAACAAATAAGCTAAGAGTCAAGAGTAAGACATTTCGGGCTTAATATTGAATTGATAAGTGTGGTTGAAAGAAGTACACATATAGTTGTGCAATAATTAAGCAATAAGATCCGGGAGGCTGGACTTTGTCACATTATTGAGGCTCCTCTGGTTCCGAGAGGAGGAAAAGTTGGCGGGCGGCTTCTTGAAGACTCTCAAACACTGTTTGGTTATTATGGGCTGAGCCGAGTCATCTGTCACTTTATCCAGCCTTTTTAAGCGCTTCTCTAAAACCATTTGAAATGGTTTGTAAAAACAATGCCATGTTAAAATGAGTGCTAACGGTTAGCTGAGCCAACGACATGTGCAAGGCAGAAGTAGTCGGCCAGGAGCGATCAACCTCCTGTGACAAATCCAGCTTTAGACAGATGTTAGGACCTCCCACCTCATTAGCATGAAGACACATAAATGAATGAATGAATGTAGGTGAACAGACATGTAGAAATAAATATATGATGTGTATTTGTTTTATTAAGTTATTTATATAAGCATTTTATGTATTTAATCTTTTATTTATTTCAACAGTTATTCAGCATTTTATTTGTCTATACATGTATACATTTACTTAAACATTGACCTATTTATTTCTTTATACATTTATTTTTTTAGACTAAATCATGTTCTTTCTTCCGTAGTTCCAGTTATTAGAGCATAAGAAAATTGTTGGGCGCTAAATTTTGCGACACATGTTAGTACATTAACTTCAACTTGAGCTCAAATGAACTGCCCTCTTCTTGACTCACCTTTAAACCCCCTCTGTCCTGGTGTGCCTGTTTGCCCATCTGTACCAGGAATACCAGGAGGTCCTGAAGATACACAAAATAATGGCTAGGATGGATTAACTTTGCCCTTTGCAGGTTTAACCTCAACAGTTTGTCTTAAACCTAAAACCCACCCTCGATATGCTAACAACCAGTGAATGCTTTTTGTGATGAATGCAAATTTTCCTTACGTGTGACTTTAAGTATACACACACACATAGAAACACAGGTGTATGTCCTACCTGATACGAGACTGATGTTCGTCAGTTGGCCTTCCAGTTTGTGTGTGCTGGTATTAAGAAGGTGTATGTCAGCCTGCAGCCTGCCCAACAGACCTACGTCTCCAAACAGACTATTGACCTATTGTTGCAGCAAACAACACAGGAACAGAAACAAATGTTATGCCTTGCATTGGTTACAGAAATTCTTACCTTCTTACAATTTAATGCATGGACTGTTTGCTAGCTGATAACCAGCTCACAATTATTGTTCATGTGGTCAACAGCATAAAACGCATGCTATTCAAAACAGTGTTTAAAATACTGATGGCCAAATTGAGCAGAAAAGATATTAGAGGGCAGGTTGTCTGAAAATAGATCATTAAAGGGCGTTCCCGTCCACCAATTGGGCCATAGGCAGTCCTGATGACGAATCGACATCGCTCTGTAAAAGCTGTTTCTGTTGGGATGCGTTCTTTGCCACTTGCAAAATATAACAGCCTGGGATTCTCTGTACTAGCTGGGCTTGCCGTTTTGTTCCCTTATTACTGTCTATATGCTAAGCTAACCAAACTGTCCAACTCTTGTTAACACAACTGTTGTTAACACACACATGAGACTGATATGGTTCTTCATATCTAACTTGCAGAAAAGAGATGTTGAAGTGACTTTAACATAACTGAACTCAAGGTACATAAAAAAGTAAAAAGTTCAGTAAAATGTTACATATAAACATCAGGAGGACCTGGCTCTTCAGGGCCTGCAGATGGCCCTTCAGCGTCTTGGTTTCTTGACTGTTGTTGAAGACGAGAGTTTGAATGTGGTCATCACCCAGAGGGAGGGGGTTGGATATCAGCTTATTGAATTTGGGATTAGACAATGAAGTCTGCATCGTGATAACTGGCACAGAAAGGAAAAAGTCAACCAGCATGTTTCATTCAAATCCATAATACAAAATGTCATTGAAATAATCTTGGTCCACTTCAGCATATCACATTAAAATATAAAAATAAGATTACAAATAACACTATCTGTAAGTGGTCATACCTTTATACATGAGAAAGGCAATAAGGGCCGACTGCAAGATGATGACAACAACAATCACATTAAAACACCAGCGTCTTGTGGGCTTTGCCGGCTTCACATCTGAAACACATACAGGAAACTGTATTTAACACACCACAATGGGATGGGTCCTGGATGTAGACTGGTCCAGATCCATTCACAGCACGGTACGTGAGTACCAATGTTTTAAAGTGGATGCAGGCAGCCACTAGTAGCCAGTGAAGAGAGCGGAGGAGTGGCGTACACCAAAATATTCTTTGTTCTGTAGAAACATGAGTGACTCTGAAAGAGAATCCGCTCCCTGTGAGCATATAAAACTCTTTCAAAGCAAACAAAAAGCAACAATTCTTAGATTCAGTTAATTCTACATCAAAACATTGCTATGAAATTAATATTCTATTCATGCCAATTGATCCTAAATGTTACACAGTTTCACTTCACGGAAAGATCTGAACAGACCTATGTAGCATTCATGTTGAAATATCAAAACCTGACTAATGACATAAAACTATTGACCTGTTCCATTTGTTTGGCTCTAATAAAGCCCCTGGACACTATTTGTCAAGCACCCTATGCCATGCTAAATATGTGGGTTTTAAGCCGCTAGTGGAACTAAAACAGTGTTGGACTAATAAAAATATCTGCTGTGACAAAGAGAAGCTTGCTGAGTGCTGCACTGCCGCAATCTTGGTCTGTCAAAGTATGAGTTAAGAAAGCTAAGAAGGTGGAATCGGAATTTATACGCACTTGGTGTCAGTCATTACTTTCTCTGTATAGATTGAGACGACATTTTTTTATGTTAAAAACATTTGGAAACCTTGTCTTACTTTGCCAGTAAAGTATCCATAAAACTGTTCAGTGTGACTTGTTTATACCAAAACAGTTTGTCCCGTGACAAAGACCGTGTGCTTTACTTTTTCACTCAGATAAGTTGCCATAACATGGATGGAAGTTACAACCTCCGGTTACCAACGATCCGTTATCTATCAGGTACTAACTACACTCAGGGCTGCAGCAAAATGAGTTGCCCATGTAGTTAGTCTGTTCATTCCGTGTTCTTTGAAATACAATTCTATGAATCTCGTTACCATGGTTTCCCTCACGGGTGGTAATAGCTATAATCAATCTATTGGTTTTAAATGACTCACCGTCAGACTGGAAGCTGAAGAGATCAGTGGTGCTGAGTGACATGCCAAACAGAGGGTTACTCCTGGTGTATGGGACTCCATCCCCTGTCTGATCCACTGATGATTCCATGCTCTCTATAATCAAGAATAAACTTCACTTCCTGCTTCAACAACTCATATAACACAAAGTACATGATGTCGTAAAAACAGTTCTGCCGAGATTGCAACACAAACGGACTCACATAGATTGAAGTAGAAGACGGAACGATAACTTATTTGCAGCTGAGGTGGCAAAAATTCAGCAGCACACAGTCAAATAAAATGAGGAAGTTACTCAATGTCAAAGTGCAAGAAAGCCTTGCAAAACATATATTGTTCATCACTAAATGTGTCAAAGTTTGGGTTTATTTCGTGTCTTGTTTTGTATTTTCCTTTTCCTTTTGTATTTTCTCGTGTCCCTAGGTTGACTTCACTTCTTTTCACTTCATGTTTTTTTTCCTTCCCCTTTGTGATTTTCCGCCGTGTACCTGATTTTTTTATGCTGTGTCTGTGGGGTTTGAACCTCTTTGAAAAAGGAACGGCTCTCTCCCGGCCCGTCAGGGGACAAGAACCCAAGAATATTGAACAGCTTAAAGATTAAAAATGAGAAAAAAAGAATTGAATAACTAACAGAAGCAATACAATTACAAAATGCAATATCGTCCAGTCTGAGATAACCATCAATATTGGTTCACATTAGGCTTCTCTCTGCCTCTCAGCTTTTCCAATCTTGCGAGGGTGTCCCTTGTGCTGCTGTCGTATGTGATTGGGTGCAAATTCAAACCCAGCTCCTCCTTCTTGCTTTTAAAAAATATATTTTCTTTTTTCCCAAAATCACAAATTACAAATTTGCCTCAGAGGGCTTTACAGTCTGTAGACATGCGACATCCTCTGTCCCGAAACCCTCCGATCGGCACAGGAAAACCTCCCCCAAAAATGAAAAACCCCTCCATGGGGAAAGAAAAGGGAAGAAAGCTTTGGGAGAACGTCAGAGGAGGGATCCCTCTCCCGGGATGGACAAACTACAATGGATGTTATGTCTACAGAATAAACAATGTAAAAGATGTACAATACATTCAATTCCTATCATAGAAATGATTCAAGTAATTGTGAGAAGTAAGCCAGACGCACGGCAAGACCACTGCAGGGGCAACCACATCAGATAGAACCACCATCCACAGAAGCCTGTGGGGAGGGAGAGCACAATACTTTAGGAGAGGGTAATGTTGGTTTATGATCACAGTAATAGTAATATGATTAATATTAAAAAAAATAATAATAATGATGATAGCAGGGCACTCTCTCTCCATCTGATGGCCGAATCTGAAATCCCTCACTGACCAATCCCTATTGACTAAATATTACAATCCATTAGAGACAGTGCAGAATATACAGATAGGGAAATATTCAAATTTAATCTAGGTTAAATGAGGAGACTGGTAAATAATTAAATTGTCTGACCTCTTCACAGACAAGAAATGTCCACCCTGAATTACGCTTAACACAACAGGTTAACAGGTCAACAGCTCGACGCCAGGCCCCGACCCCGCCAGTACCGGCCCCCGAGACTCATGACTCCGACGCCTCCAGTCCCCGCTCCCCGACTCAGGTTCCCTCCCTCCCATCCCGTGGTCCTCTCCCACCCTCCCGTTGGTGATTTCAGCGCCGTCTGGGTTCCGGCCCCTGAGGTGGGGGTTATGGGGGGGGCTGAGCGACTCCGGAGGTGTTCCGCGTCCCCGAGCCGGCGGCGACTCCGGAGGTTTCCCGTGTCCCCCAGCCAGAGACTCCGGAGGGTTTCCCGTGTCCCCCAGCCAGAGACTCCGGAGGGTTTCCGTGTTCCCCAGCTAGCAGTCGGCACTCCAGAGCCAGACGACTGACCGTCCGCCAGGCCGACCCCCGGAGCCCTCCCGGCCAACTGACCGTCCGCCAAGTCAACCCCCGGAAGCTCCCCGGCCGTCTGGCCGCCCGCCAGAGTTTCCCGGGCGGTCTGACCAACGTCTCTGGTTTCCCTCCCTCCTGCCCCTTGTCCGCCCTCTGCCAGTCTGGGGCCGTCTGGAATTCGGCCCTTGAGGGGGTACTGTCACAGTGTGGTTTTATTTCCTGTCTTATTTTGTAGTTTTATGCCACTTGTCTCCGTGGGTAACTTCACTTCCTGCCTTGTCCTGTCAGCCCCTGTGATTGTCTGATTGTTTCCACCTGTGTCCAATCACCTGCACCTCCGTGGTGTATTTAAGCTGTGTGTGTCTCTTGTCACTGGTCGCCTCATTGTCTATTGTCCTGGATGTTCCTAGTTCCAGCCTGCCTTTATGCCCCGGTTCCTGTGTGTGTTTTTGCCTGTTGGCCCTTTTTATTTTTTGCCTTTTGACTATTAAAGTCTTTTTGTTTTCTCAATCTGCGTTTGAGTCCTGCCTTCCCCGCATCCCTGACACTATTGTTGCAATGCTATTGTTAGGGATTTAAGTAAAAGTGCACACCTACTGCCTAATACCTAGGGTATTTTGGGAGTTTTTTTCTCCTGTCAGGTAGTAGATAAGCAACTGAATGCAAGGCAGTCGAGTGAGGCAAATGTCTTGAGTATTGGACCACATGAACTGTATTAAACCATGTGATGTTCCTCGTTTGTGGAACCAGCTTTCACTTTCAGTCCGGGGGGCAGATTTGGTCACCTCTTTTAAGATAAAGCTTAAAACTTTCCTCTTTGATATCGCTTATAGTTAGGGCTGGCTCAGATTAGCCCGGACCAGCCCTTAGTTAAGCTGCTATGGGCTTAGACTGCTGGGGGACTTCTTAGGACTTCAGTTAGACTTCAAGAATGTCTTGGAGACATCAAAACTTGACCGGCAACTTCCTGATGCTAAACTCAGAAAAAACGGAAGTTATCCTGACCAGGATATGACCTTCAACTCGCATATAAAGAAGACTTCAAGGACTGCCTATTTTCACCTACGTAACATATCAAAAATCCGGAACTTCCTGTCTCAAAGTGATGCAAAAAAATTAGTTCATGCGTTTGTCACTTCCAGACTGGACTACTGTAATTCTCTGTTATCAGGCTGCTCTTGTAAATCTCTTAAGCCTCTCCAGTTGATTCAGAATGCTGCAGCACGTGTATTAACAAGAACTAAGAAAACTGGAGTTCTCTTTGACAAGGATATGTCCTTTAACTCTCATACAAAGAAGACTTCAAGCACTGCCATTTTTCATCTATCGAATATATCGAAAATCAGGAGCTTCCTGTCTCAATGTGCATCATATTACTCCTGTATTAACTTCTCTGCACTGGCTCCCTGTTAAATCAAGAATAGATTTTAAGGTACTTCTTCTCTCCTACAAGGCACTTGCTGGTGAGGCACAGTTGTATCTTAAAGAGCTTATAACACCTTATTGCCCTACAAGGCAACTGCGCTCCATAGATGCTGGGTTACTTGTTGTTCCTATGGTTTTAAAAAGTAGGCTGGGGGCCAGAGCCTTCAGTTATCAAGCCCCTCTTTTGTGGAACCAGGTTCCACTTTCAGTCTGGGGGGCAGATTCGGTCAGCTCTTTAAAAGTAAAACTTAAAACTTTCCTCTTTGATTCTGCCTATAGTTAGGGCTGGCTCAGGTTAGCCTGGACCAGCCCTTAGTTAAGCTGCTATAGGCTTAGAATGCCGGGGGAATTCTTAGGACACACCAAGCTCCTCTCTCACGCTCTCGTTCTACCATAATTCACATTTTATTAATGCACATGACTAATTCAGCTTCTTTCCGGGAGTTTTTTTTGTGCTTTCCCCCCTATCAGGTCTCCGTAGATCGTGGTTCCTTCGGGACCCTGGTCCTGACACCTACCGTGGCCATGCTGACGCCTGCTGCGGCCATCATCATTATTATTTTAGATATTAATCATATTACTGTACTCGTAAACCAACATTACCCTCTCCTTAAGTCTCTGTGCTCTCCCTCCCCACAGGATTCTGTGGATGGTGGTTCTATCTGATGGTGGTTCTATCTGATGGTGGTTCTATCTGATGGTGGTTCTATCTGATGGTGGTTGCCCCTGCAGTGGTCCTGCTGTGCGCCTGGCTTACTACTCACAATTACTTGAATCATTTCTGTCATAGGAATTGCATGTATTATACATTGTTCATTCTGTACACATGGCATCCATTGTAGTCTGTCCATCCCGGGAGTGGGATCCCTCCTCTGACGTTCTCCCTAAGGTTTCTTCCCTTTTTTCCCTCTTGGAAGGGTTTTTTCATTTTTGGGGGAGTTTTTCCTGTGCCGATGGTGGGTTTCGGGACAGAGGATGTTGTATGTGTACAGACTGTAAAGCCCTCTGAGGCAAATTTATAATTTGCGATTATGGGTTTGAGATTTTAAAAATCCTCAACAAATAGTTAATCAAACCAAAACGACATTCTGGTACAATCAATTCATCGGTAGTAGATCTGGACTCTGGCTCCGCCCCTCAGCCGTACTCCTACAGCATCTCCTTCTCCGTCATTGGGCCGCCCCTCCCCGCTCAGGATCCTACGGTGGCCCTGAAGTGCAAAACATAACGGCAAATAGGAACGCACAACGAAATAAACTTCTTACGGAAAGGGTAGGGCCTTATAGCAGATAGCAGACCCTTCTGATTGGACAGACGGACTGTTTGTCTTTTAACAGGAAATGATACAGGGCTCTCAAGTGTCACGCATTGAACGTGACAGTCACGCATTTCGGTCTCTTGTCACACACTCCCGCCACACATCCAATTCCTCACGCCAAGGAATCGGACTCCGGTCCCCGAGCCATGTCGGCTGTAGCGTCCGCGGCGTCCACCGGCCGTAGCATCCGCGCCCCCCCCCCCATTTTATTAGTTATATTTAACACCTAAATAATTGAACAACAAAACGCCGGTAAAACAATGGTGAAACACTAGTAGGACACTTTTAAGACACTTGTAAAACATCGCCATCTCTCCACCACCACGTCGCTCGCCACCACCATTGCGTGCCTTCTCCACCCTGTCCACAAAGATGACTACCGACTATTCCGATGTGAATAGAATGCTACTCTCAGAACTCTCAGTCCAGGTCTAATGTGACTAATAAAGCTGCCTCCAGAAGAAATCTGTGCTCTTCGTGTCTCTGTCCTTTGTGTACAACTGAATGTGATTGGCTGCACATTCAAGCGTGGCTCCTCCCCATTCTTCTCTGCATTCCTCCTCGACTATAACTTGAAACCTCTCTTTCCCTCAACCTTCCAACATTCGAACACGTTCAATGAATATGCCTGTAGCTTAAAGCTTCATCGCGTAAACATTGTAATGATATGTGAAATATAACCCCCAACCACTAGATGGAGGCGCCGGTGGTTGGTGCATGGATAGAGGCTCTAGGATCAGCAGAGAAAAAGACAGATATACAACAAGAGTCCTATTACAGAAATCAAAGTACTTGCTCAACTAGTAAGTTGGGTCTTAGGTCAGTAACATTATATATAAGTAACAGATATATCATCTAATAGCTAGTACACTTTAATAATAACACATCTTAAATCAACACATTTTAACCATTATGTTAAACTCCTAAAATCTAAATATTTGCCTCGCAGGGCAGTCCTACATCACAATCCATAAAGGAAGGCTTCAGCGTCCTTCCCTTAGAACAGGGGTATTCAACTAAAATGTGAAGAGGTCCAGTTAGAGAAAGTTTCAAGAAGCAAAAGGTCCGGAAGATCATAATGTGACTACTTAGAGAAACAGACTGAAAAACTAATGAAACATAATCAGTGATTATGAAAAAAGTAAAATAGATATCAACAAGCTGTATTTTTGTTGGAATGCTGCCTCAGCATATTTGTTCATAAACCTTTATTGTTGTGTTGTGCATTTGGGTTGAGGCCATTATCCAGACGTGACAATAGTAGTCTATGTTCCAGCTTATTCTTTACATGTTATTTAGCTGACACTTTTATCCAAAGCAACTTAGGTTGCATTTTCAACCCATGGCTTTTTACATTCTTGCTCAGGGAGCAATTAGGGGTTAAATGTCAACATGGAGAAGTCAGGGCTCAAACCACCAACCTTACGGTTCCTTAACCCCGGCGCACCCTCTCTACCCCGGCGGCACGTCTACACCCACATAAAACTAACAGTAGTCTGCATTTTTAGCAATTCTTTGATATTCATTTCAGCTTTTCTCACTTCTGTGTTTTCAACAATTAAAATAGATTTCAGCGTTTAGCTTTCAGCATTTCAACATATTTTCTGCAGGAAATACATTTTAAAATAGTTTAGCTCAGTGTTTCCTGTAAGTGTGCTTAAATTTACTTGAATTCATTTCGCTGTGTCATCCTGTAAATGGGTCAAAAGCCACGGAGAAGTGCAGTCGAGGTCCTTGTGTCACAATTGCTTTGCCATTCATAACAATACAGGAAGCTGGGTAGACTTACAGGAAGCTCATTCATTTCACCGGCGTTACTCTCATTGACCACCAGATGTCGCTGTGATGTCATTTTCTCTCACTGTAAATACTGGAGTATTTGGGGAACTAGGAGCTCACCGCTGAGTGTAATTTTAGAAGGTTTCATTCAGTTCCTTTTTATATTTGCCACCTGTTAATCATCGAGCATTTGTGGCTTTAATTTTGTAATTGTGATTCAAAAATGTTGCCCAAAGATATTTTATATTCAATGCTTAATTCATTTTTTAGAAAGTAAATCATGAAACCGCAGACTTCCTTTCTCCTGCTTACCCTGTGTCTCTTTATGTCTGACAAAGACGAAAACGGAAAGGGAGGCCACTTTCGGTAACTTAATATATATATATATATATATATATATAAATAAATATTCAGCAATAGCCACTCTACGCTACAAAGAACCAATATAATTGAGGATTCCTCCCTATGAAAACCCCGAGAGCCATTAAGAGCCGGATGATAACACAAAAAAACACTTTACTATATATTAGAATTGTAATTAATTTTATAGTGACTCAAATTGCCTACTGAATCAAGGAATGTCCCAAATGTATTGGTCATTACTTTTGTGAAAGTATAAGTTCCTTATAGACAATAGTATTTGTATGTTGAGGGGATGAGGAATGCTGCGGCCTTCGGTTTCACACTAAAAACTACCCCATTAAACCAAATAAAACAAGCCCTTAATGTTAATTATGTATTACGAATTACACCACTGAAGTTGTCTTTTCATGGAGTCCTCTCTGTATTCCAAGCTGTACAGTGACTGTAGTGAAGCCTCCTCTGCAGCCCGCCCGTTGCATGCATTATTCTATCGGCCCGCTTTGCGCGCATCGTGATAAAGTGTTTGACGCAGTGATGGTGACAGAGGCTTTGAGTCGCTTTTATCCGGCAGCCAGGTGATGGAGGTCCGGCCGCTCATGTGGAATATAGGGTAATTAAAACCGCAACAAAATGCGCCAGCAGTTTCTTTCTCCGAGGGCGAGATAAGAGCGCGCTTCTCTGGTGCTTGGACCGGAAAACAACACCGACCGACAATGGGGGGTTTACCCCAGAAGACGAGGTGTGTACATCAAACATGCAGGTGGCGCATTTTAACATAGGAGCTGTAGGCCTATTCGCCACTAAATAGCACACTGTGTTTGCGTGCTTTTTTTACGCTACAAATGTCCTCCGCACCAAAAATGCACTATTAGCGACATAAAATAACCATTTTGAAAGATGACTGGACGCTTCTGTTTGAGTCATTTCAGAACAGTGGCCAAATTTGGTTTTCAAAGAGTAACCTCAATCAATCCGCCTCTCCCACTGTGTCAGTACAGTTCAAAGTTAACTTAAAATATTAAAATATGATAAAATACAATTTGAATAACATATATATCAATAGATAGATAGATAATCGATTAGTCCCGCAGCGGGGAAGTTCACGGGATTATAGAGGTTACCCCCAGAGACATAGTTCAAAACAAGTAAAAAATATTGTAAATAAGCAGTAATAAAAGATTTTAAAAGATCATTATTATATATGGAGAACACACACAGTTAAGCAGCCTGACGGCAGCAAGAGGGGGGCGCCTGCCCACTTCTTCACTGGGGGGGGCTGACAGCCAGGGCTCTGCATGTTGTGTGTTTATGTTTGTGCAAGGCTGATGCCACCAAACCCACTGTGCATGGAGAAGTTTGTTTACATTTCTGTGTGTTTTTTTGTAATTGTAGCCAAGTTTTCTTAATCTTTGGGTCGACTTGCAAATGTATCTTCAGAATCTGATTCTGTTACAACAAGATCAGGTTCCAATTCACTTGAACCTGGATACCCGTTATACCTCCTATGTTGAAGTGTCCCTGAGCAAGACACCCAACTCCTATTTGCTGCTAGGCAAAAAAAAATGTATGGGTTAAAAATGTGTGGTAAGTAATGTAAGCCAGGTGTAAGACCACTGTAGGAACAACCACCATCAGATGTAACCACCATCCACTAAAACCTGTGGGGAGGGAAAGCACGAAGAGTGTCAGTAATGTGGCTTTATGAGTACAGTAGTAGTAATGTGACCAATAATACTAAATGATAGCAGCAGCAGTTACAATCTCTGAACTTTTGTGTGCAAGATCCCGCTGGGACCTCATCAGTTATGATTGATTTTGGCTTAAAGCCCCCTAAATTATTTTCAGATTAGTTTAATCCATTCAGATGTGTAATGTTGTAATGTAAAATGGAGTTTTGTTACATTAAGCTTGTATTGCCATAAAATACATATTTTATGTGTATAGCAAAAGTCCATGAAACCAAACATTAGCAGCAGCAAACACACATCAAATATTCTGGGATGTTTACTTTTTGTTAGTTACTTCATGCTCAAAGACAGCAGGCAACAAGCTAGCATGCTAATTAGCAAACAAACTCCAATAATGCTAGTTTGCTAGTTAGCACGTATCGTGTGGAAAGCACAAGTAAACAAAATAATGATTATAGTTCCAGGGGTGCTTCATTAAAAAATCACGTACTTAGAGTATATATATATATATGGGTATATATATACTATATATATATATAGTATATATATATATTAGAGTCTGTAGCCTTGTTGTTTCAGCCTGTTTATGTCACTCTGGTTCTGTATAAACTCTTCGTCTTGTGCTGCATCCGGTGACGCTCTGAACTTTACGCATGCGCGTTACACATGCGAGCAGTTTTGTATTTAAAAGTAAATGTTTCAACCTACCTGAATTAAAACTTCATTACATTACATGTCCATTACTGTGCTATGAACGCACCTTGTTAAAAGCAGTCTATAGTTCGATATTTACAACGTTTTAAATGAAATATTAAACACGTTTTTTTCATTATTATTATTCCGACCATTTTATTAATTCATAGGAAGACAATATTTTCTCTATTTCAGCCTTACATTACAACAGAATAAATTAACAACAAATCAGCGTGTTGAAACATTGATGTTGGAACCACATTTTAGTTGGTAGACGTTCAGACCTTATTTCAACTATAGATTTAAACTGGACATCGTTTAGTGCCCACTGTGCTCAACCAAAGAAGGACTTAAGAAGTGCTTCGTTCAACAGCACGAGATGAGTGACCGAGTCCGCTCTGTCACTTTTCATAAAGTGCTTTTGATCAGTACCGTGTAGTTTAACTGAACACCCACTTATACGGTTTTACAATCTCAAAGTCCGGTTCCTGGTTCCGGAGGAGAAGTCCACCAGACGTCTGGAGGCAGGTCCACTGGCACCGTCCGATCAAGTCCCGGTTTAGTTCCCGGTATCCGTGTCATCACCGGCGGAAATAAGCAAGTTGTGCAAGCAGCAACAGGGCTGTGTGTGTGTGTGTGTGTGTGTGTGTGTGTGTGTGTGAGTGTGTGTGTGTGTGCGCGCGCGCGTGTAACTCGTCTCATGCTATCCCTCAGCTGACGACGCGTCGCGCCTGGAGCAGAAATGTAGTCTCTGGTTCGGACGGCTCGTGAGGGCTCCTCTCTTGACTTGGAGACGAGTAGTATCATTGGACGTCGTCATCCGCTGTCCTTAAGTGTAGAAGTCGGTGATTGGCCCACTGCGCTTTGAACGTTACGCGCACCTCCGGTTGGTGTGTGATCATTTGAATGAGTGTGAGTATGTGCGCATGGTGATGTGATCTACGGACTGTGTGAGGATCTGACTGTAATACAGCGGTGGAAATCACCGGATGTGTGAGAGCAGCGCGCAGTAGCACCCAAAGCCAGTTGTGTAGTAAGTCACCGACCATGACGCGCCGGAGCGCCTTTACGCGAGCAAGATGTCATTAGTTACCAATTAAATACACCGAGCAGCGATATTTTGGAGGAAAATAACTATGTTTTAGTCGCGTTTGTTATATTTTGGATACAAAAAGGCCAGAAAGGGGGATTGGGAGAACAGGGGACGAGTTCTTCACAAAAGAAGCGATGGAGGAGCAGCAGAACACCACAGACGGCAGCGAGGGGGAGAGCGTGTCCCCGTCTCCCGGCCTGCCTTCGCCTCCCATCCGGCCCCTGCAGGTCGCCCAGCAGGCCCACAGAACTACCAACTTTTTCATCGACAACATATTGCGGCCTGACTTTGGCCGCAAGAAGGAGCACGGCGGCCTGGGCCCGCAGGCCTCAGGCCGGGAACGGGTGCACCCGGCGGTCAGCAGGCCGAGCCTTCCCGGGACGCCGTGCCAGGACTCGAACTGCAGCAGCGACAGCACTTCGTCCTCCGCCTCCTCGGCCTCTTTGGCGAGTCCCAAACAGAGTAACGGCTGCGCCGGAGGCGCCGTCTCCACCGGGAACAGCGGCGTGAAAGCCGAGGACAGAACTGGCGCCGGGGCCGGGGGGGAGAACACGTCCTCCTCGCTGGTGGTGCTGAAGGGAACCGGGGCGTCCACGCCGGAGAGCCAGCCCTTGCTCTGGCCCGCCTGGGTGTACTGCACCCGGTACTCGGACAGGCCCTCATCTGGTAAGGCAATAGTTTCACGAAGAAAATCTCCTCGAAGCCCGCAATCGTGTTTCAGAATGTACACACAAACAGATACATCACACGTGTAGCAATATTATTTTTACACGATTTCAAGATTTTTCTTTTAATAAAGATACACGATCAAAATAATATTTTAAATGATTGTAATCCAAACAGTTCTCTGGTTGAACGCACTTATTGTAAGTCGCTTTGGATAAAATGTAATGTAATCTCATTTTAAATATACTATATCTTCATAACCTAATGTTACGTTATATATATGTATATATCCTACAGCACGTGTTTTAAATAAAAAACAAGCTTTTCATATGTTGTTTTTATCGATATTCGTGTTTATACGAATACTTTATTTCACTATAACAATCCACATTGGATTTTGTTGGCAATATATTTATATGTATATATATTCTGTTTTGTATCGTATTGGACCGAGTCTCCGTTTCTAACGGAAGATTTTATCTAAATACTGAAAACGCGGATTCCTTAGCGTGCCTGCTGTTTAAACATTTACATTTGTTTCAATAACAAGTTCTACGGCTTTTCTATCTTCTTTGTTAATTTCTATCTTATTTTAGTTTATTATTTTTTCATCTAATATTTTTAAATTCCATTTCTAGTGCATCGTTCTATTTAACTCACAATCAAAGCAAAAAGAACGGGGAACTTGCTCTAGATGGGATTTATATATTTTAAATAGAGACAAAAGAGCATCTTGAGATTTTGGACATGAAGCTGCAGGCTGAGTCAAATTGTGTCTTTCAGGTGTCTGATTTATTGAATAAGTCCACTGTCTTTTAGACTCAATCTGCATTGTTGTATTTCGATGTTGAGGATCAGGGTTGAACAGATGTGAGCTACGAGCGGTGACGTGGGAGCGACAACAGACGTTTTACACCGATATGAAGTCACTCGTGTCGTTGATCGGCTGCTGTGGGACATGTGAGCGACCAGTGAATCACGGTGCAATAAATCTAAACAGAATTAGCCGTTAACGGTGTCGATCCGGCCTCCCGCCGTCACTACAAGAGACATTTTCTAGTTTCCCACAAACACAAACACTGCATGTATGAAACGTATTCATTATTTTGAACTTTGTTTAATTGCTGGTTTTATCCTGCACATTTATTATTTTATGTTCTGTGTGTGTAGTATTTATTAAAAGTATTACGTGTCTAAATGATGAAGTTTGGGCTCCTGTATCCATTGTATATATGTCATTAAAACGACAATCACACACACGTGAATGGGTTATTAATTGAATACAAATAGTGCCCTGATTTGATTTGTGCTTTTACCAATTAGAAAAATAAGAATAATATGTATCCTTTTTATACGTATCTGTAGTATCCTCATTAATGTTCTTTTCTCATATTTATTGTCACAATCAACATGTTTAGTCCTTTGCAAACAAGCTGATATTGACGTGTTTTTCTTCTCAATCATTGTTCATTATGCGCCGAATATTTATGTCCCCGCTCCCCTGTCCTTTCGTCCCTACTGCAGGCCCAAGGACACGGAAACTGAAAAAGTCAAAGAGCGGCAAAGAGGACAAGAGGCCGCGCACGGCCTTCACGGCCGAGCAGCTGCAGAGACTGAAGACGGAGTTCCAGGTGAACCGCTACATCACGGAGCAGCGGCGCCAGGCTCTTGCCCAGGAGCTCAGCCTCAACGAGTCCCAGATCAAAATCTGGTTCCAGAACAAGAGGGCCAAGATCAAAAAGGCCAGCGGATTCAAGAACGGTCTGGCGCTGCAGTTGATGGCGCAGGGACTGTACAACCACTCCACCACCACCATCCAGGAGGACAAGGAGGAGGACAGCGACTGAGGACTCTCCTCACACCCTGTACAGTGTAAATGAATGCAGTACGTCTAATTTAATAATCCATTTTGATGACAAGGACTTCTTCATCCTCCTCTTCCAATGGGACTATCCAGCAGACTCTTCAGACTGACCTGCCACCGCAAAACCAAAGAGATTTTATTGTAAAAAAAGAGCTTGGACACTTTCTGGAACAGTAGAAAAGGCGCTTGTTGCAGCTGCTGCTGCGGCCTCGCACACGCACGATCCGAATACCGAGACCAGCCACCAGGCATTGAGTGCACTGGTCATCACGTTCAGCTTTTCTTGTTTTTCCTCTACAAACTGGACCAATGGCAGTACATTTACACACTTAAAGTTTCAAAAAGAAACATCGCAGGAAGGGGGGTAAACATGCTTTAAAATATGTTGTCGACACGAGAAACACACGTAAACCCCCCGGTTTATTAAAGGGATATTGGAAAAATACTATTAAGTCGTGGTCTTAGAACTATTGTTATTGTGCCCTTTTTAATGGGCATTTAAACAAGAGGGAGTTTATGTAGAATTAAAAATGTATATGCACTTCCTCTTGCTGATTCCATTTTAGATATCAAAATATTTCAATGTGACAATTTATGGGCCAAATTAAATAAATTATAAATAACGATTCCGATCATACAAAATATGAATAAATAATTAAATGGTGCAAAATCCCAATTTTAGGGGGGAAATTATATCATAGCCGCAGTATCTCTATAATCCTTTGAACCATATGCACTTCTTTCTGTCTATTTTATTGCTGTAAAAAAGACGTAAAACATTTTCAATAATTCACATTGAACCTAACTCTATTCCAACAAAATCCTGATATTTTTTATTTTACAGTGACTATTAATCTGCTCTCATGTCGTTATCATTCTCTTTTAATTCTTCTGTTTGTAGCCATCATTTAGTTTGGATAAAACCCTTGTGGAACAGTTCATACAGAGGGTCTACATGGTGTATCCTGTATGTCCACCTAATCACAAATGGACTATTTTCCCCTCTGTGTAAATTTCCTGGTGTGGCCTTTATTTTGACACATAAAGACATTTGGAATACAAAGTATGTTTGAAGAGGAGGATATAGTATGTATTTAAACCATGTTTCCAAATAAACACTTTTATATTGGAAAAGGACCCCCAAAAAACCCTCAGGAACACAGTGAGCCATTTTATTTTCTGGTGAGTGTCAGAGAATATTTAATTAAGAAATTGAAGTGTGTTTTTGTGTGTGTGGGGCGGGAGGTGGAGGGCTGCAGCTCATTGGTTCAAGTGAGTGGGACAACTGAATCCATATTCATAAGTCTTTGGAAGGAGGGGAATTTACACTGCGAGACGCACCGCTATCAGCACTGTTAAGTGTTACAGAGCATGAAATTGCCTCTCCGTCTCTGTGTTCACTCATTTCATCAGCAAGCCTTTGTAGGCCTGAAACAAAAGTATAGAGGTGTTATAGAGAAAGAACCATGTGTTTGTTTGTGAGACGTTCAACAGCAGCTTGGCACGATCAGGACCTGGAATCACACCTTACTGCATTAAATAAATAAAGCAGCTTACACTTGGGCCTTTGTTTTGAATACAATTTTATATTTGAAAGTTTACACTATAAATATAATCTAAAAATACCTTTTTTTTGCCAAGAAGAAACCCATGTTTCTTGAAAAAGATAAATTGAAGCAATTGCTAGGCTTTTTGTGCAGAAACTGACATGTGTTTATTAATAATAGTTCTCAAAAGTGATGACAAGCAACAACCCCCTGGCCAGATAACCCATTATCTTCTTATTGTTGATGTATCTGCTGTTCTATCTATTGTCCTCTTACTCGGCTAAATTACAGGAGGAGGCTTTGCATCTGTACGGTCAGAGAGAGAGGGGGAGGCGTTTTAGGTAGATATGGAGATAAAGTCCAGCTTTGTCAAGCAGCTGAGTGTCTCAGACGGTAAACTGAGAGCTGTGTTGCTGCTGCGGACAGCGGTCCACTGTGTAATTATTTTAATACCAAAAGACTTATCGAGTAAGCATCTTCCTGATGAAACCTGTCCACTTCCTCTGGCCTGGAGCTCATCTGTCAAGCAGAGCCTCATACTTCCGTCATGGGAAGAGTTTGTCTCATCTGTAATCACTCTGGAGCCGAAAGAAAGCATAACCCCTTCTTTAAAAAGGAAAGAAAACCGAGGGGAACCGTGTGCTGGGATCCATTTGTCAAATCCAAAGGTAAATGTTGTGACAAGCTGAGTGGATCTTTGTCTCTACCTGTTTTCTTCCATTCAGCTGGTCTCAGATCCAACACCTCTGAAATTATATCCAGTAACATATAATATAATTTATGCACATGCTTCCATCCTGTTTTTCAATTCATGCATAATCACATAACAAAAGTGAAAATTGGAGTATGATGCAAATTTACAAACAATTAGACAAATTAACATTTTCCTGCTAATTACACTTACAATGTGTGCGTGTAGTAATAGTGAACCACGTTTGCAAGTGAAGCCGAGGGACAGCAGCATGTAGACGTGAGCGCACAACTTGCCCTGCGGCTTCAAAGCAGCTTTCATTTCCATGCAAATGAGTAATAAGAAGACACACTGCTGCTGTCCTCCGTACCCACGAAGGAATACGTGCATGGGTGTCGAAACCAACACGGACTCATTCATGAGGAAGAAAACAAAACATTCTCTTATGTCTTTGCTCTTCCTGGTCAGGTGAAGGTATTCTACAAACAAAATAAAATCAAATCCAAACAAAATAAATCTTTTATGTGATTTAAGTCAAACTATTCTTTATTCCTTTCTCACTGGATAACTGAAGAGGAAACCCAATTCCTCAGATGCTATATAGAATTCTAACAGCCATTTAAATAATATTTCTGTGTTCAAATACTGTAAAAAAAAAAAAAAAAAGTCAAGGGGTTCAAGTTCAATTGCTGCCTTACACTTTCGAGTGGAGTCAAATTGGATTTACAATTTGGTACAACTCATAATCTTTTGTTTAATTTAGCTATGGATTGCTCACTGTAAGTTAATATGACTGTATAGTACATGTTTAATCAACTTAACGTAAATTTAAAAGAAACAACTTATTATCAAGGATTCTGTTGACCAAAGTAGTACTTTCAACTGAGCAACGTTTAGCAAGCAAAGTTTAAAAGATGTATAAGTCATTATCATGCTTCCTGTTCACTAGGTCTGACTAATTATTTCAACTCTCTTATTTGAGTTAGAAGGAAATGTTCAAATTACCTTCCTAGTTAATTTTACTAAAAAGTATGCAATGTTTCAAATGACAATTTATAAGAAACACAATGTCTTGTTGCAAAAATCATATTTATTTCTTGCATTAAAATAAATAGTATTCTATACTGCATTCAAACAAAATATTGAGTGGAGATAAACAGAATTTTCACAAAAGGCTCATACAGAAAAACCTTAAAAGTCAACGTAAAATAGACTTTATAAATTTATAAAGCAAGATCATATATCTTTCTCGAGGCAGTTCAAAATGTCTTTAGTGTCTGCAGCTTTGTAGACCTCGAGCACCCTTGGGACCAGGTCATCAACTACTGCGTCCAGCTGGCCTTGGAAAATGTCTGAGCATGCGAGTGGCGAACTTAATTCCCTTCACATAGGTTAAGGTTCGCCACGTGCCTTAACGTTAGCCAACGTTATGTCTCTAACTACCGAGCGCTGCAGACGTTTAAGCCACAACACAACTAGTCCATAAACTGACAATAGGCCCCGTCATTACAGGAACGTTGGCTTGATTGAATTATATCTCTCTAAATGTCATCTGAAACATTTTTGATAGGATTTCATATATGACAACCATTCTATCGTGTCTGACTCATCGTTCTTGCTGATGAGACCCACCACAGTTGTGTCATCGGCAAACTTGACGATGAAGTTCGAGCTGTGCATTGCTGCACAGTCGGGAGTCAGCAGAGTGAACATTGCCGTTGGACTGTTTTGAGTGCGGTTCACTCAAAACAGTCCTGACGAGCAGAGATGGCTCCTGCTGGCCAGGTTTTCACCTGCTTCTGAAGCAGTTTTGTGGGTCTGACGAGCGGTCTGTATGCTGGAATTAGCATGACAGAGATGTGGTCTGAGTAGCCGAGGTGGGGGCGGGGCTCCGTCCGGTACGCGCCTGGGATGTTTGTGTAAACAAGATCAAGCGCTACTGATGGCGCAGGGCTACTTGAACAGCGAATAGCATGAACAGAGATTAACTTGAATTAGAAACATTTAAAACATTAACATTAAAAACACTTGAGCACACCAATCAACAAACAACACATTGTCAACATCAACAATTTCCTTTCTCTGCCAGGGCTGCATGCTATGTGGCTAGTGTGGTAGAGGGGATTCCCGCGCCCAATAAGAAAATTGGATGAAATCAGGATGGTGACGATGGCCGACGCGGACCTGCAGTCAGTTGTTAGGCTCATAAAGGATGGATGGCCTGAACACATTAGCAACGTCCCCATGGTCGCGAGACAGTAAGTCCAGGTAAAATCAGAGCTGTCGGAACACAAAGGCCTTGTCCTCAGAGGTAACAGGATTGTGGTGCCTAGGTCGCTGAGAGGTGAGATGCTCCAGAAGATCCACGAAGGTCACCAGGGTCTAGACAAGTGTAGAGAGAGAGCGTGCAAAGAAAATTCTCAAGCAAGCGGACCCTGTGATGGCACTGATGAGCTATAGGTCCACTCCCTGCTCCACCACAGGCTTCAGTCCAGCCGAGCCGTTGATGGGGAGGAAAATCAGAACCACACTCCCCACTCTAGAGAAAAACCTCCTGTCCAAATGGCCCAGCAGGACAGCTGTGAAGGAGAGGGACGACAGGGAAAAGGCTAAACACGCTCACTATTACAACCGTCGTCATGGAGCCAGGCCGCTACCTGCCCTGCATCCAGGAGATGTTGTGTCCTCCAAATTGGATCATGAAGACTCATGGTCTCTGCCAGCGATAATCTCAAGCGAGAGCACCACCCCAAGGTCCTTTGTCATCAAGACACATCATGGAGCGGAGCTGCGGCGGAATCGCTGCCACCTCCAGCCAGTGCCGGTTCCCCAGCACGTCCCAGCAGCACACGGGGAGGTCTCAGGGACAAACACACACTCTGACGAATCCAGCGTTCCTGTCAGTCAGAGTTTGGCCGCACCCACATCCCCTCTGCCCGGTCAGACTGTGACCAGGTCTGGACGAGTGTGCAGCAAAGTCGACAGGCTTGACCTGTAGATAAGTGCATATTACATGTTCGGGGGTGGGGGGGGGGGGGGTGGTGGACAATGTTGATGTTGACAATGTGTTGTCTGTTGATTGGTGTGCTCAAATGTTCTAATTCAAGTTAATCTCTGTTCATGCTATTCGCTGTTCAAGTAGCCATTTTCAGTTTAATTGTTTCTTTGTTGTTATTGACTTAACACTCAAAAGAGAGGGAGGTGTCATATACGGTACTCTACTGCGCTTGCACAGATACTAGGGGTTATATGGGAGTTGACGTGTACTGTAAACGTGGGGCTCATGTGACGATATTAAAGAAACAGCCAGAGAACAACGAAGCCTCCCCTCGCATTCATGTACACTTAGTGTCATGCATTTAAGGAAAATATATTAACATGACAACTTGTTTAGTCTCTTGTGTCAGTAATATTTTACAGTCTTTCTTACAGTCTTTTCTTACAGTCTAATTCTAAGCTAATTCACACACAAAAACGGTGAAATGATTGGCAGTATTTATTTTATAGATTTTTCCTCTTACGATGAAACCCCAGCAAAAACTGTTAAACAAACACCTTCAATAAAGTGATTAACATTTTCTTGCTAATTACACTTACAATGCTAATTAAACTTAACGTTACAGAATAAATACACAAAGAAACTGAACCTGCTTTGTGATTATAAACTAACTATACATTTGTTGTCTTATTTAAGTTCTTCTCTCGATCTGAAACATATCATTCTCCGGAGGAGAAGCTTTTGTTGCTAAATTAAATGAAATGTAGTCTTTCTGTGTGGAGTCTGCATGTTCTCCCCGTATCTGCGTGGGTTCTCTCCGGGTTCTCCGGCTTCCTCCCACAGTCCAAAGACATGCTCTGGGGATCAGGTTGATTGGTGACTCTAAATTGCCCGTAGGTGTGTGAATATGAATGGTTGTGTGTCTCTGTTATCCTTATGATTGGCTGGCGACCAATCCAGGGTGTACCCTGTCTATCGCCCGAAGTTGGCTGGGATAGACTCCAGCCGCCCTGTGTGCAGGATGAGCGGTTTGCGGATGGATGAAGATAAGGGCTTATTTTTTTTGTAATTTGTTTGGCTTTTAAGACTTTTACTGTCAGGCGCAGCAGGTTGCTAAGCAACAGGAGCAGCAGAGGTAAAGCTGATAACGCAAGCAGGAAGTGACCCCGTACGCCAGACTGTTCCATTTTCAGAGACCGCTTGGCTCAACCTATGCAGTTGTTGAAGGACGCAGGCCAGGTCTACCGCGAAGGCTACTGACGGCTGCAGGCTAAAAGGATGACGACTATGAGACACAGGTACCGGCTACTCCTCCCACACACAGGCC